ACACAGAAAGTTTCAATGATCTAAAACAAAGTTTAGAACATTTGCAACATTCTTTTATGTAGTTTACTTTCTGAGTGACCAATCTAGTTTATTGCTAGTATTCTAGAATTGTTGACAGAAAAAAGTACTTTAAATCTGGGTGTGATAATACACACCTGTAATCTCCACACTCGGGAAGTTGAAACAGAAGGATTGAAAGTTTGAGACCTGTCTGGGCTATATTAGATGGTTCCAGATCAGCTTGGGTTACGTTAACAAGACCCTGTCTCAAAGAAAAACACAACCAATAAAACCAAAGAGTACTTTATCATATACCATTATGGATAAGAGAGCTTAATTTACAGAATAATTACTGTAGAGAAATCAGTTAGGATATATCATTAGAGTCACATTTTTATTTGTTAATATCCTTGGTGATATTAAAGAGATTTGGAGTATATTACCAAGTTACTCACTGTTTTTTTCTGGTCAAAAGACTAGATATCTAGGGAAATGCACATTAATTTAAAAACTTGTGAGTTAAAAAAAGCTGTAGCATTTGCTGTTTAAATATGAAATGCATAAAAATGATGACTCTTGATATAGTTAATTCTTCAGAGTTTTGAAGGAGCCGGATTGGCTGCTATCAGGTATGAGGGCCTGGTGGGAACAGACTTCTAGTTCTGCCATAAAGGTTTGTGTTTCACAAGTTTTAAATCAATTTAAATTTTAAAATTTAGAGGCTGGGAATATTTGTGTTCAAGGAAATTCTTTGTTTAATTTTTTAAAATGTGTTTCTCAGATTCACCAATGTAGATGTTCTTCTTACATATTAATTAGAACATAAATAAATGATACTGCTAATCCATAATCCAGAATATTGGGTAAAGGAGTATTTCTTGATCCTTTATTTTTTTAATTTTTGCCTCCCTACTATTCATACTTTTATACACTCCCAATCAATAACATCTTTTTATCCCATGAGTCCCAGGGCTGGGGTGTAGGACTGGGAACAACAATTCCTCTCATCACCTCTCCACAGAGCCAAGTGTCAGACTTCAGGAAGTGTAGTTGAGAGTCAGCAGTCTGAAATTTGTTTACCTTCCCATTTTTAAGAAATCTGTTTTTGTTCCATGGAGAGGTAGTTAGAAGTTTAAGATTCAGTATGTTAATGGATGAAAGTTTTAGAAATAAAAACTTTTCTGAACAATACTGTAGGCTCTAAATAAAACAGGGACCATTTTTCTTGAACAACAAAGTTAAGCAAATAAATTGATGGTTATAGCAACACTAGAAGTAAAGTACCAGAAATGTAAGTCATAACAGGATTTGTTTTTTGTAGAATTCTATATTACAGGTTATAAAGAACTGAAATGTGAATACTATTTAAAACAATTTACATAGTTATGCCAGAATTTAGGATTTTGAAAAGAGGTATGGCAGATTTTTAATAACAGGTTTAATGAAATATTCACATGTCATACAATCAGGTATTTTTAATTATTTATAGATTTTTTAATCCTTAGATTTACTTACATTATGTATAGTAGGTAGTCTTTTACAGAGGCCAACAATAACCTTTAGTCTCAATTTAACAGATCAAATTATTTTATATTACCATAGGGTGTTTGTCTTTACATGGGGAAATGGCATTGTATTTATCAGTTTATGTCAATATATACACATATTTTGCTAAGGTAACTGTTTCAAATTTCTTTAGCATTTCTTGCTCAAATTCTTGTGCTGTCTGGGTATGGTTATGCACCTCTCTAATCCCAGCACTCCAGAAAGAGAGGCAGAGGATTGTAAATTCACAGCCAGCTGAGCTACATAGGGTAACCTTGTCTCAAAATACAAAAATAAATAAACAAATAAATGAATCCCTTGATTCTAAACAATGGATTGATCAAAGTATAGTTTTATAGGTTTATAATTCAGCCAAATAATTTTTTTTGAGGTGCTGGAGTTTGAATTTAGGGTTCTTGTGCTTGCTAGGCAAGTGCTTTACCACTTGAGCTACACCTCCAGCTCCAGTGTAGGTTATTAACACTGTAATATTGGCCCATAAATTTAAGAAACCTTACTAAATGGTGCTTTGAATTCTGTGCCATGGCAATTAATAAATCTCAAGTATGTATCAGATATTTTCTATGATAAGAGAATCTAATTGAGAACTATTTACAATAAAGGAGAGAAAGGAGAGAGCACTAGAGAACTAAATCACTGTTTTGTAACCAAAGAATAGTTATGTTTTAATTCATTAATTAAATTAAAACCATAGGAATGTCTTTGGGCAGACATGGTGGTATATGCCTATAATTCCAGTACTCATAGCACCTAGAAGGTGGAGGCAGGATGTAAGGCCAGCCTCAGCTACATAGCAATACCATGGGTTAAAAAATCAAGGGCTGGAGATACAGCTCAGTAGTCGAGTGCTTGCCTAGAGTGCACGGGCCTTGGGTTCCGTCCCCAGTACCACAAAGCAAAAAACAAAAAAAAAAGTCCAGGCTGCAGAATGGTTCAAGTGGTAGAGTACCTACCTAGCAAGCATGAGACCCTGAGTTCAAGTCCCAGTACTGCAAAACAAAGCAAAGCAAAGCAAAGCAAACAAAACAACAAAAGCCAACCCACCTAAAAAAAAAAAAAAAAAACCCAAACAGAACATTCTAAATCATCTAGAACAAAACTACAAAAAAAAGAAATGAAGAAAATGTGTTATCATTTTTGAGGTCCCACTGTGTGGTAGGAATCATGACAGTTAATTTGCATGTCATTGTAAGTAATCATATCTTAATCCTTATAGCTACAAGGTACCTCTTTTCTGAGGTTTTAGTTCTTGTTGCCATTTTACTTCAAATTTAATACTGTGTGCTATCACTCAGATTAGGAGTTCATAAGATCCTAGACTAGGTAGTGTCAGAACAGTTTTTCTAATTTCTATTTAAGCTTAATGATCTTTGTTTTTGTGTTAAAGTGACATTACTTTTCAAAGTAGCATCATACTTGTCTTTAAAATTTTTTTTAACTTATACTTCCTGGGAGCTTTCCTGTCTTTCTCAGTGTTATAAATGTAGTCAACAACTAGTATAATTTATTTTTGTTTGAACTTGAGTTAGAGGAATATGTCTGGGATCTCAACCGTCACCCATTATTGACCAGCGATGCTACCCTGAAGAACTTAAATCACTTGATGACAGAAAGCATTTTTATCTTTTTTTTTTTTTTTTTGTGGTACTGGGATTTGAACTCAGAGTGTTCACCTTGAGCCACTCCACCAGCGGCCCCCCCCCCTTTTTTTGTAAAGGGTTTTTTGAGATAGGGTCTCACGGAACTGCTTACCCTGGCTGGCTTTGAACTCCGATCCTCCTGATCTCTGTCTCCTGAGTAGCTAGGATTATAGGCATGAGCCCAGCTTTATCTTTAAGTCATAAAGAATTTTTAAAGCATTTAAAAATAAAATTCTTAACAACCAAGATGCCCCACTATTGATGAATGGATCAAGAAAATGTGGTACTTGTACACAATGGAATTTTACTCAGCCATGAAAAACAATGAAGTCTTATCATTTGCAGGTAAATGGATGGAACTAGAGAACATCATTCTGAGCGAGGTCAGCCAAGCTCAGAAGACCAAAAATCGTATGTTTTCCCTTATATGCGGACTTTAGATCTAGGGCAAATGCAGCAATGTGGTTGGACTGGGACCACATGACAAGGGGAGAGCACATTTGGGTGATATAGAAATAGGTAGAAAACCCAAAACATGAAAGTGTTTGATGTTCCCACTCCAGAGGAGCTAATACAGAAACTGTAAAGCAACAGAAGTTATCATGAGAAGGGGATCAGTAACCAGGGTAAAGATCAGTTAGAGATGAATCAACATGGGTCATAACACATGTACACGAAAGCAATGCTAGGAATATTTCTGTATAGCTATCCTCAACTCAACTAGCAAAAACACTTTGTCTTCCTTATTAGGCTTGTCTCTTTTCTTCAACAAAACTAGTGATAAAGGCAGAACACGACCTGCTTGGAACTGAGGGGGGAATGGGGGAGAGAGTGGAGGAGTGGGGCAGGGGGGAGAAATGACCCAAACAATGTATGCACATGTGAATAAAAGAATAAAAAAAAAGAAACATAGAGGTAAATAAATAAAATTAAAAATCTGAGTCTTAAAAGTAATTACCAATGAGGTGTAGAACTGGAGGTTGGGATGGTGTGGGTTTTAGTAAGTTGGTTAGGTAAGCTGGAGTTGGGGGTGGATTTTGATTATAGTAGGTCTTATAGTATTAGTTTTTAAACTATGTATGTATTACTTAGCTGAAAATTAAACTATAAGGTCAGTTAACCCATATGAAGTACATATTTAAAATGCATTTTTATGTGGAAAGATATTTTAATGGATATGAATCTTAAAGGCTTTGAGATCTTCCAAAAGGCAGAACTTAAAAGTCTACCTTGAAAATTAAAAAAATAAATAAGTAAATAAAAAATAAAAATAAAAATAAAATTTTGGGGCTGGGGGTGTAGCTCAGAGGTAGAACAATTGCTTAGCATGTGTGAGGCCCTGAGTTCAATCCCCAGCACTGAAAAAAAAAAATCAAATTATTTGATGTGTACTTAAAACATACTTTATACAGTGTTTAGATAAGCTGGTCAACCAGCATACAGGACAAAAGATACATTTTATTAAACATTGATATGTCAGAATAAGCATTTTATTTTTTAGTAAGCATCCTTTGGTAAATACTCTGTGTATATTGTATTTGGATAAAGTAAAAATAATTATAGTTAGATGTCACATAATAATGGGAATAAGTTCTGAGAAAGGCATCATTAAGTGATTCCACATTATTTGAACATCATAAAGTATACATAACACAGCTAAGACTGCTGTGTTACTAAGTGATAGAACTCGTGGGACCACTATCACAGATACAGTCTGTTGTTAACCCAAAAGTTGTGTTACATGGCCCATAAATGTATTGTACGATAATTCAGATTAAAAACTAAAAATAATTATTTTATAGAAGTAGAACCTTGAATCACAATTTGATGGACTACGAAAGAAAGAGATGTTCTCCAATAAGTTATTAGCAAACCTTTTTCAATCAGCAGTGCTAATTACTTTTATAAAAAAGCCTTTTGGAGGACTAGAGGTATCCTCAGGTGGTAGAGTGCCTGCTTTGCAAGAACAAAGCCCTGAGTTCAAACTCTAGTCCCACGTAAAAATAAAAAATAAATCCCAGCGGAGCATAAAAAGCCTTTGGATCAGACATTTTATACATGTCTAATTTAAAGTTACAAATGCATAACTTTTTGCTGGGAGGATAAGGAAGTATGTTGGAATCAGTGTAACCTGAGAAATGAAAACATTCTTTTGTTGCTAACATACAGGTATTTCTTAACAGCTCAAGTGTATTGTTCAGAATATATCTTTTTCTACTCTGAGAAAGTTTGGGTTAAGGGCATAGCCTAAAAACACATGAAAGAGAGCATTCTGGTTTATGGATTAGATTGCATTTGTAAACACGATTACAATTTGGTGAATATGAGTCAACTAAAATTTTGGGTAAGAAATTTTCCTACGTGCATTTATTTGGATGTTAATAATTTAATTTTTCAAAGTTTATTAAAACATTGCTTCTTGTAGCATGTAAACTTATGTTGGGTGGGAAAAAGTATAAGTGGGAAATTGTTTAAACATGTAAATTAAATGATCAGCCCTAAAATTTTTGTTTTTTTGTGAAGTAATCTGGATTGCTTATTTTATATGCTGGGATGCTAGTTGTTTTTTCTATTAATACACTTAACTTGCATTCTAGCTTCGCCATTCAGAGACAGGCATCGTGTGGTGGGTTGTGTGACAGTGTCTGTCAATAGTGAAGAGAAATAGTGCCAGAGACACTTAACCCATCCAATCTCACCCAGGGTATAGGTCGGTCTCGTTTTCAGACTTCTTCATAAGTCTTTCTTTCTTTCCTTCTTTCTTTCTTCCTCTTATTTTTTTCTAAATAGTGGATTGATACTGATTGAAACTAAACCTTTTGTAAAGTTTTAAACTTTACGTTAATATTATGAGAAGAAGAAGAAAAGTAGATAATGAAGGTTGGCATGTAAGGTGTTGACAAAGCAGGTTTGCAGCCACTTTGTGTATCTAGTTATATTTTAGTATCTTGGCAATGTGAATGTTTGCCTTATAGTTTTTTTTCTCTGAATATCTTTCTTCTTTGATCTGAAAATATACTCTTATATCTGGTGACTTTTATCAGATAAGACCTTTAGAGTTGAAGTCATTGTTACCAGTAAGAAAAATTATCCTTACAAAGAATAACTTAAGGTTTAACAATGTGTTTTAGACCAGAAATTATTTCCAAATATCCTGTGTCAGTTTTTAGGATTAGTTTCTGAATAGTCAATAGTTTATTCCTTCTCCGTTCCACTATTGGTCCACTTAGCACACTTACAAAATTTTATGACTTTTGTTTCGGTGACTTTTTTTTTTTTTAGAAAACTCAATTGATTTTGCACATTTACTAAAAAATTATAAAATACATATGTGTATTTAAATGATAGGGATCAGATTTGATCTTGAGTTAAGTATCATTTCTACCTCACGTTTTAAATCAGCAAAAGGTATTTATTTGTTTTGAGGACTTAAAGTTTCCAATTTCAGGGTTTTCTATAAAAAGTATGGGTAAGTTCCATATAAAGTAACTTCTCTTTTTTGTGGCATTTTAATTACTAAAATGATAGTTAAATAACTTCTAGTTGACATATCTAGAACTAAGTTCTTAATTTTTAAAATATAGTTTTAAGGAAGATAAACATACAGGTTTCTATATGTGGTACCACTTAAAATCTATTTTCATTTTGACCTCAAATTTAAAGTACTGGCAGGTTTTATCTGCTGGTCTTTTTATCCCAAGTATTTTGAATATTCATAGTGCACAGTAATGATTCCATCAATAATTTTTGTACTGCCAGGAATGGAACTCAGGGCTTTTTGCATGCTATGAAAGTGCTGTACCCTTCTGTCAATTCTTAAAAGAAGTCATATATACAGTTTAGGTTATCTATAATTTTTGGCATTTGAACTAGTAATTGGCTACTGATAAATGTGGAGTTATTAGACTTAAATACAGAATACTATTAAATATGATGATCCCCTTCACTTTCAAATTTTAAATTAAACTACCAAGATTAGAAATTTCCATTAGTAATTTGTAGATGGGACTATCAGTTTTCTCTTTCACTTGTGGTATTTTCTATGTTCACAGAAAATATTGTGGAAAAATTAAATTACTCTATGTAAATTAAATTAGGTTTAAAAATAATTCTATCACAAATGAAAAACAAAAATTTATTTGCATGTTACTTGGATGGGAAATAATTTTAGGAGAGAAAGAAAAACTTAGAAGTTTATAAAGATGAACAGCAGACTTAAGGAACAAATAAAATTATGAAGTTACAAAGTAGAAATACTCAAATATTCTGCTCAAAAGAGAAAATAAAAGCAATTATTAAAACACTTTCATGTTGGAGTTTCTGTATTTTTTATAATTAAACCTAGACTGTACATTCCTAACAGTTAAAGAATAGAGACTGCACCAAAAAGGATATGGGGAGAGAAAGTAGTTGTCATATTTTGTTTACAGGAACATACAAATAAAAATGAATATATAGATGGGGCAAGATTATATTAGCATTTTAATTCTGTAGAAGGCTAGTTAAACTGTTTCTTGATATCTAATGATACTATGTCTGATAGGTATTTGTATATATATTAACACAACATTCCCAGGAATATTCTGATGCTTTCCTGGGAATGCTTGAAATTGACAAAAAATGATTAGAAATCTAAAATGTTCTTGATATCATTGTTTTTAGATTTATATTTTAATGGAATAATACTAAGGGTATTTTTATTCTTGGTAGATTTATGGATTAACATGCAAGTAGGTTTTGTCTTATATACAGTTTCAGGAAAGTTATTAGATCACTCTTTAGAAATAGCACGTAGTTACCACGAAGCACTTAATATTTTCCATTTCATAATGCTGCTTTAACAATATATATTCAAATAATTGTGTAGTATATCCTTTTTTTTTTCCTTCAGCCTACATTTATTTGCCAATTTAACTTGGTAAAATTCAATATACATTTCAAATTTTGGCTTCTGACTGACTATAAATTGAAATTCCCATGATCCTGTCCTTGGGTTCAATTAATTTGCTAGAGCAACTAATAGAACTCAGGGAAATACATTTTACTCCATATTTTAAAGGATACAAATAAGCAGTTCAGTGAAAAAATACACAAGGCAAGATCTACAAGGGTAGTGAATGCAGAAGCATTGGTCCCTGTTGTGACACCTCTCTCCTAGCATATGGATGTGTTCTTGATTACCTTCCTGAAAGCCTCTGAACTCAGTCTGTTTGGATTTTTATGAAGCCTTCATTATGTAGGGATAATTGATTAAATATTTGGTCATTGGTGAACAACTCAACCTTCAGCCCTCCCTTCTGTCCCTCATGGAGCTCTGAGTTCACACCCTTTGAGCACATGGTTGGTTCCCTTGGCAACCAGTCCCCATCCTGTGATAATCTAGCAACTTTCCTAATTTACCTGATTCATATAATCTCACAGGTGTTTGAAAGTTAGTTTTAAGTGAGAAAAAAAAAAGACTGTCATCTTTATCATTCTGAAGCAAAAGGCCAAAATTATAACCAAAAATACTCTCAATGTTCAGGTCACTTAGGGAATTACAGGAATTAAAGGAGCTGTAATTTAGGAATCTTGAATCTGAAACAAAACAAAACAACAAAATACATCAGAATGTCACAGCCACATTATGTGGTATTGAGTTCATTATTGCTTTTCACATATACTTTCCATCTGTCATTGATAGGGATCCCTGAGATGTTCATATTCTGTATCATCATATGCATGAAACTTAGATTCAAAACAGAGGGTGGGGGAAAGCCACTTTATAGAAATACAAGTTCACAGCATTAATGCCATATCCTTTATGTGTTCCACTGCAGATACTGCCTGTGAACTACTTGTATTTCTCTGCAGATCAAAATCAGACTGATACACATGCACACACATGTACATACACAAATTTAGTTTTATTTTTGCCAATAGTTGGAACAGATGGAGGAATGTTTTAGACATATCTTTCCTATTTTTTCCTAAAATGAGTTCTGTAGTATTTTTCAAAGTTAGGAAAAAACTTTATATTTAAACCCAAAGTGGCTACAAATCAGCTCCTAAACTGTCACTGACATTAGCATCTAGATTTTATAGTTCTTACAAGTCTTTTAAAATACTTGTTTACTAAGAAAACATTGCAATAATGCATGATACAAATTTGATAGATTTTTCTTTAAATTGGAATGCAGTTTCAAAGTGACTGAATTTTCTAATTTCAGCTACTGCATTTGACAAGGATACAAACTGGAAAATGGAACTGGTATCATCTATTTCCTTTAGGTTCTTTAACTTACATTGGGCTGAAAATCTTTCCATGTGGCATTATGTACATTACATTTTTGATGGCTAATATTAATTACTGTGCTCTTTAGCCTTGATAGTAGTGAAAAATTCTGGGTGGTTGTAGTTCTTTCAAATAATTTAAATGTTTGATATATATTTTTCAATTGAAAAATAGATCTTTGGCATTTGGCTTGTGGCTATGTAAACATTAACATTCTTACATCTTATTCTTTATAATTGATACGAGTATTGTAATTTCTATATGGCACATCACAGTTTTAAGTTTTATTGTACACTTTAAAACTGTGGCATACATGGCTATATGTGGAAATTAAATTTAAACATATTTTAGTTGTCTCACATATTACCTATTTTATGTGTATGATCATAAACCTTTACATATCTTATACAAGATAAAATGGTTTTTGTAAAGTTTTATGAATAACCATTTCCAGCCTAAGCAATGTTTAGCATCACTCTGAGGTTAAGTTAAGTTTGTCAAAGTAGTAGTATTCTCAGTACTACTACTGCCAGTTGCCACACAGTCTGAGAAGATCTACTTAATTCTTTTTTGCTAGGCATAATAGATATATGGTTTTATTTTTTAAAAACCCTCTTTATAGGGATTAATTCTGAGGCTCTCCAGAGATTTTCATGCTTAACTAGACTTAGCCAGTAAAATTTACTGTTCACTATCATGTCAGAAAATTACCTTAATAGTCATAATTAAGCAGGCCCTTTCAAGGAGAGAGGTAATGGGCAGTGGTAACCCATTTCTGAGCATGTAACCAAGTATTTTGTAAGAGAAATCCATCTAGTATTCCTTATTCTGCTTTGTATTTATTCTTAAAGGATGGATTTACTTGTTTTAGAGTTCATGGTTTTGAATTGCCACTTCTAACTTCTGGAGACTCTCAGTGGTTAACTTGTTTATCTTCTTCAACCCAGCATGTTCCAAATCAAACCCTTTCACCTTTATTTTCATAGATTTTACAATCAATTATAGTGATGGTACCAGTTCCATTTTGCCCCCAATTTAGTTGATTATATATTTTTCTATTTATTTCTCATTTTATAATTGATATCTGGAATAATCAGCAGCTCTTTTCTCATTTATTTTCTCATATTTTTATTCCAGGATTTGCCTCTGAAGCAGGGAGTGTCTGCATTAAAAATGACCTGTAGTTCTCTGCTTCATAGGTTAGAAACTTATTTTAATATTTTGTGGCTAAGCACAGTCCCACTTTTCAAATTCTATAATGAATTATTTAATTGGCATTGAATGTGGACCACAAGCATATGTTTCATATTGGGGTTTTCTTTATTACTTTAAATGATTAAAGTTCAACAGAACGTCCAGCTGAGGCAATAAAAAGCTTTATTCTTGCTTTACAGCTTAAAACACTAAATTACATTTAAAAAATCTATCGATTACAACACGAAATAAAATAATGCTATTTGGGCATTTTAAAAAATTATATTTCTTAGGCCTTGTACGCTTAAAGCATTTATATTCTAAAACTTAACCAAATTCCAACTATTCATTTTGGGGAAAAGCAAATCAGTTCACAAATCACATTTTCAATGGGACTGCTAGCCAGCATTGGTGAAAACATGTATAGTGTATTTACTCTTGAATTGTACACTGCAGATGCTTCTTCAGCTCCCTCCTCTTCCTCCATGGGCGGTGCTTGCAGCTCCTTTACCACCTCTTCCAGCCCTACCATTTATTCTACCTCAGTCACCGACAGCAAGGCTATGCAAGTGGAGAGCTGCTCCTCAGCCTTGGGGGTAAGTAACAGAGGGGTAAGTGAAAAGCAGTTAACCAGTAACACAGTTCAGCAGCATCCAACAACCCCGAAGAGGCACACAGTGTTGTACATCTCACCACCACCTGAGGACTTGCTGGATAACAGTCGGATGTCCTGCCAGGATGAGGGGTGTGGATTGGAATCTGAGCAGAGCTGCAGTATGTGGATGGAGGATTCCCCCTCCAACTTCAGTAACATGAGCACCAGTTCCTACAATGATAACACTGAGGTACCTCGTAAATCACGAAAACGAAATCCAAAGCAGAGGCCGGGGGTCAAACGACGAGATTGTGAAGAATCTAATATGGATATATTTGATGCCGACAGTGCCAAAGCACCTCACTATGTGCTTTCTCAGCTTACCACGGACAACAAAAGCAACTCAAAAGCTGGAAATGGGTTGGTATTCATATTTTTTAAAGTTCTATCACCATTATACAAAACAAACAACAAATCATTCCCAACTTTTCTTAATTGCTCAGCTCAAGTTTGCTTATACAGCAAAGATGCTAATATTCTCACTGAAATCCGTGAAAATTTTAGCTTAATTATCAAGTTTTATTGGAGAAAAAATAAACTAACAATGGATTGTAGCGTTAGATATCTTATTACTGGTTTAGTGAGGTAGTAGAAAATGAAAGTAATCTATTTTGAAATAACTTTCAAATTTCAAATGGAATTGTATTTTTAAAGGATTTTAAAATATTTTTACGTATAAAAATAAGTAGCAATGTAATAGCTCTAGCTAAAACAACTCAAAACATTCTCCAAAAGCTAATTTATGCTCTTTAGCAGTGTTTCTCCATATGGCTTGTTACCATTACATTTTTGAGAAATTTTAGGTTTTATTTTGTTTTTTCTTTTTACCTCTCCAAGACAAGAAAAGAAATTGATGGCCAAATTCTCATCCTATAAGGTTCATATGTTTTAAGCTTTTTTCATTTGATACACTGTGCCAGTTGAGGATTTTTTTTAATCCCTATTTTTTCCGTGATTCTGGGTAATGGAACAGGATCATGGTACATGTTTGAGTTTTTGTCCATTTGCACCAGTACACACTACTCACTAAATATATTTCAGTAATTGTAATATAGAATATTCACTGATAGAATGTAGGCTAGTTTGACTTATTTTTAACTTTAATTTCTTTTAGTACTTTAATTGTAATGTTTATTTATCTTATTAAAGTAGATTTTCCTACAGTATATTCAATGTGGTTTAGTAAAATGTAACTCACTGAACTCAGAATTAATTTTGGGATGCAGGATATGATTTTTTTAGTTGGCCCAGGATCCCTTATAATTTGAGCTTATCACAAAAAGTAGTACAAAAGCTTTAAATTGGTTTACTGCTTGATCATTATCATTGTTCTCTCTTACATTAAAAATCTAGTTGAATATTATAATGTTCTTAATATATGTTAAACATGTCCTTAGATATACCCTCCGTACATTTAAAAAGTAATAGCAAGAATTAGTCTTACATTATTTTCTTTCATACTTTTTATTTAAGCTCCTTTAGGATGAAATAGTTAAATAAAAATAAACATTAAAGTGCTTTTCAGTTTTAGAAAGTCCAGATTAGGAAATTTTCTAAAAGAAAACAAGATATGGCCTTTCCTAAAATGTTGCCACCTAACAGAGTCAAGAATTCCAGAATGTAATAGTTTTAGAACTATTAAATGTATAAGGCTTTGAAACATAATACATAATCACTTAAGTAAGTGTGACTAATATCACAGATGTAAAGGTTTCATCAATTTATAAATACATTTATAAATTTATTTGGGTTTCAATGGAAGTCTCTTAAGTTCCAGTGAACAAGATCTTCACATTTGTGCTAAAATAGGTGTTGAAGGTTCAAATTAAGAGCAAGTAAAATTTTGACTTAGGGACACAGTGATTTGTAGCTGCTAAATAAAAAAATATCTTGACCTACATCTTTTTTGCTTATACTTTTATATGCTAGATAATATCTTAGAAATGATTTAAGTTTACCCAGAAAAAGTATAATGCCACTGGTCAAGACAACAATCTTTCATTGAAATAACTTAATTTCATTGAAATAATCCATCAAGCAGCAGAAGAAATGTCTATCTTCTTAGGGAATGGAAAATTATTTGGTGGTAGTATATAGAAATGAAGTTTAAATTTTGAATTTAAAGAAATACTGAGGAGGCCTGGAGGTGTGGCTTAAATGGTAGAGCACCTGCCTTGCAAGTGCAAACCACTAAGCTCAAACCCCAGTGCTGCCAAGAAAGAGAAAAAATGAAAAAAGAAAAGAAATATTAAGGAAAGGCTGAAACTAAATGTAAAATATATGGAAAAATACACCTTGAAAACAATTTTGTAGCCTCTAGCTAATTACCTGTGTTCTTCAACAAAGAGAAAGATATTAGAAGCATGAAATGTTAAAATGTTTTGAGAGATAAGTTATATAACACCTTATATATAATATGCCATGTTTTGTAGTTTATATAATGACACATATATTTAGAAAATGAACTTTCAAATATGTTGTATGTAGCAGTTTAGTCATCTTTAAGATACCATATATAAATCTAGTAACATGTGGAAAGACTTTTTATAAGTAAAATGTTAAGAATTTATTAAGAAAAAAATTGAAGAGAAGTCTGCTTTGTATTTACTTAAATATTGCTAACCATGTCATTCTTAAATTCTTCAACTAAATGCACTAAGAATGAGTAGCCCCCATTTCTTCTTGACATTTCTGTGAGTTCAGATATGATGCCATGTGGATATGAAACCTATTTTAGGCATCTTATAATGAAAATTATTTTGTGATACAGACAATCAGGATTGTGTAGTACAAAGGAATTAGAATGTCATTTTAAGATTTGTGAATAGAATATGCCACACACTGGAGTTTCCTTTTTAGTTCACGTTTATAAGTTAAATTCCAGCTTGGGGTGTTAGCTCAGTCATAGACTGCTTACTAATATGAGAGAGGCCCTGGGTTTTATCCTAGCACCAAAAAAATAAATAAATAAAACCCCATATTACTAATTGCTCTTTTCTTGTTTTTTCTTATGGCATTGTACCTTGAGAATTTATAATTTGATTTCAAGAATTAGTTGTTTTCTTTGTTTTACATGTCTGTAGATCTAAATATACATATTTTCTAGTTTAACACTTAAACTTAGATAATAAAGACTTTAAGAAATTTTAAAATATCATTTCAGAGGCTGAGATTAGGAGGATTGTGGTTCAAAGGCCACCCTAGGCAAATAGTTCAAGAGTCCCTGTCTTCAAAATAACCAGAATAAAATGAACTGAAGATGTGGCTCAAGCAATAGAGCACCTGCTTTGCAAGCACAAGTCCTGAGTTCAAATTCTAGTCCCACCAAAATAAATAAATTAATTAAAAACTATTTCAAAGCCAGGAGTGGTAGTACATTTGCTATAATCTCAGTATTCTGGAGGCCAGATCAAGGCCTGACTTGGCTTATATAGTGATTTGCATGCCAGCGTGGGCTACATAGCAAGACCCTGTCTCAAAAAAAAAAAAATCATTTCAGAAATTGCTTAATTCCATGTGTTATTCTTTATGCCTCAATGTATATGTATATATTTTGCCAACTTACTCTACGGTCTTCATCCCAAGTAAGGTATTTTGTTTTGGACTAGTGGAGTGGCTCAAGTGGTAGAGTGCCTGCCTAGCAAATAATGGGGCCCTAAGTTTAACCCAGTGCCACCAAAAAAAAAAGAAAGAAAAAAATACTTCGTTGTACTGCAGTAATAGAACTCATTTTCATTTATGTCCCCACATAAAACATTAGCTTGACTAGCATAAGTGATTGTAAAGATCTATCTGGCCAAGTTGATTTTGATGTACCATACATATTTTCTTTATATTTCAAGATAAAAATTTCCTTCCTTGTAATAAAACTTATACAGATGAATTACTACTATTTAAAAAATACAAGAAAGTAACCCATAATCAATACACAAATCACACAATACAACCTTTTTTTTTTTCCACATTACTGGTGACTGAACTCAGGGCTTGTACTTGCTAGTGCTCTGCTACTTGAGCCACTCCTCCAGCCCTTTGATGGTTTTGCTACTTTTTACTTTGTTTGGCAGTACTGGGATTTAAACTCAGGACTTAACTACTTGAGCCACACTTTCAGTCCTGTAAGAAAGACAACTTCAATTATCATTTTTGCTATGCTGTCTTTCAGTTGCTTTTTGTATGTCTAGGTAGAGAGTATTTTTACATGGTTTCAATAAATGATGTTTTTGCTTTGATAGTAAGATGAATGAAAACCCAGAATGTTATTATAGAATTTCATGTGTAAGGAATTGCACACTATTCAGGTCAAATGTATGAATGTCTCCCAGAATGATTTTTAAAAAAACACAAGTTTCTTGTCCCATCATTTCAACTTCAGCTGAATATTTTTGTTCATAGAGTCTGTTCTTCTAGAGCCTTTTAAATGACTTATATAGGTGATCTTTGACTTAATTATGTCAAACTTACAGATCCTTGTACAATTAAAATCTGGTCTTTCTTATCTTAACATTTGAGAAGTTCCATTTTCCCACTGCTTTCCATTTTTGTCCCTTTCTTCTTCCTATTTGCTTTCATCAGCAAACATTTTTTCAATTCCTGTTGTTTCATGAACTGTGCAAGGTTCAGGTGATTTAAGTACAACATTTGCTCTGAAAACTGCCACATACTTAAGTGGTCCTTACTGCATTTCTGTCAATTCCACCCCTTCTTTCCTTCATTCTTCTGCCCTTTTTCTAGCCAAGGGGTTCAGCCTAGTTCTCCTTTTATTGAATCTACTGCCTTTTTTCCCTGTGTTCTTGATGATTGAGACAACAAGTTGTTTACTCCTGGAGTGGTAAACATTAGAGACAAGTGTAAGGCTGTTTAGATCCTCTGTATTTGAAGTCGTAACATTCCTCCTCTGATCTGCTTACTTGAGATTTTTGTTCAGTTTATGAGTTCTTAGTGTGAGTCAGAAAGCATGATAGCTCCTGACTTTTTAAAACTGTACATAGAGCTGGGCACCTACGGCTCACCCCTGTAATCCTAGCTACTCAGGAGGCAGAGATCAGGAGAATCTCAGTTCAAAGCCAACCCAGGCAGATAGTTTATGAGACCCTATCTGGAAAATACCCAACACAAAAAAAGGGCTGGCGGAGTGGCTCAAGTGATAAGAGTGCCTGCCTGATTAGCAAGTGTGAAGCCCTAACTTAAAATCCTAGTTATGTCCCCCATTCCCCCACAATGTATATGGAGGGCTAGAGGTGTGGCCCAAGCAGTAGAGCACTGGACTATCAAGTACAAAGCCCTGAGTTAAAACTCCAGTACCACCAAAAAATAAAAATAAAAAAAAAAGACTATCAATAATTTTAAATCTTCTTGCTCAAAAGAAAAAATGACTAACAGTATTGTTGTCTACTTGTTTTCATCACATATTTGCAATGCATTAGCTACTTTACAGATTAAGTAAAATGGTCTAAAGTCTTAATCACCATTTGGAATATTATTTTCTTTGAACATATATTCCTTATAGCAAATGCATTATAAACAAATAAACATTACAAACACAATTTTAAAAAGTAATTTAGATTTCCCAATGCTGTAAAGCCCAGATTAAATTTTTTGTTGAGAGCCTTATTCATTTAATCATAAATAAAAATAATCTAAAAACTCACACTTCTAGTAAACATTATTTATAATAAAAGCTAATTTCCCATAAAAATTAAATCACTGATTTTTTTATTATAAATTTCTCTTTTTACTGAGAAAGACATCTAAAAGAATATACTTCGCATATCTTCATTGTTACTGGATTCTTTTGGCCTTTTTTTGTGTGCATATTGGTTTGTTTGTTTTTATACTCCCACTTTTTCTTTTGCTTTGCAAGTCCTATTAGAAAGCAATAGTAATAGCTGATCTAGGTGGTGCATGCCTCTAATCCCAGATATCTGAGGCAGAGATGAGGATTTTTGAGTTCAAGGCCAGCCTGGGTTACATAGCGAGTTATAAGGTAGCCTGGACTGCATAGCAAGACCCTGTCTCAAAATACCAAAATAAAATAAAATAAAAAGTAAGTAGTACTAGTAAATCTTTGAGTTTTATATAAGGCTCACATATATGTAATTTTATAATTTTGTTTTGGACTTTGATGTGAATGATTAGTTTGATTGCATTCAATCTTCCTTCTTTCTCCTTCATGTATTATTTCTTTACCGTCCAACTTTCTTTTTTATATCATATAGTTAAACTTTGTTAAAGTTTAAAGATACTTTAAACTGTATCTTTGTCAGTAAGCTAAGTAGTTGGTTTTAATGTTATTGCCTATCCTGTTTCTTCCTTTATCTTAGATGACTTTTGTAGAAAACTGTTTTTGATACCTTCTTCACATTGTGCTTTGATTTCTCAGAACACTGGACAACCAAAAAGGAACTGGAGTAAAGAAGAGCCCTATGTTGTGTGGACAGTATCCTGTTAAAAGTGAAGGAAAGGAGCTGAAGATAGTTGTACAGCCTGAGACCCAACACCGAGCTCGGTACCTGACTGAGGGCAGCCGGGGCTCGGTAAAGGACAGAACACAGCAAGGCTTTCCTACAGTAAAGGTACTTATATGAAGAAATGTCTCCAATATTACTAATTATTTTCTTTTTTCATTCTTTTTTGTCCTTGGCGGTACTGGGGTATATACTCAGAATATTGTCCTTGCTATGCACATGTTGTAGCCCTTGAGGCACACCCCATCCTTTTTTGCTTTGGTTAATTTTCAAATAGGGTCTTAGTTTGTGCCCATGCTGGCCTGCATATAATACTCCTATTTACACTTCTTGCACAGCTGGGATTATAAGTGCACACCACTACACCCAGCTTTTATTAGTTGATACGGGGTCTCATGCACTTTTTGCCTCACCTGGTCTCAACTACAATCCTTCCGATCCCTACCTCCCAAGTAGCTGGAATACTGGTGTGTGCCATTGAGCCTAGTTATTTTGGTTTTTTAACCTCAGCAAAATCTGCCTAAGACAGAAAGGTAGAGTTTTTAGCTATTAAAAAAATAGAGTAAAAGTCTAATTGGATCCTAATCCAAATACTACTTTGATACCATTTGATTTTTAGTTTAAATAAAAGGTGAGATGAGAACGTGTTCTGAAAAGTAAAATGTCTGCAAATCATGAATTACCTTTCTATAGTTGATACTAATACTAAATTTATCCCAAACATTAGTTTTTTAGAAGAAATGTTTAAAGTGAATGTAAATATAGTAAAAATTATTAAGGACTTGAAAAAAGAAAAAAAAAAGTTGGCTAAAGTCATCAGAAATACTGAACCTAAAAAATAACTGGTTGATACATAAGAAATAGAATAATAATTGAGGACATCTTTTTGAATTCAGAATAAAAGTGAAACAGTGCTTAAATTTCAGCACTTCAGATATTTTGTTGTAAAGAATATTCCTCTTTGATGACAAATCAGAAAAAAGTGTCATGGGTGATGTTTAACAAGTATTCTTACCCCTTGTAAAATACTGCTCAGGGAGGAGTGTTGGCTACTTAACTTGATAGATTCTTATTAAGTACAGTTTGTGAAAATGGGTCAACAGTATTTAAAGGTTATGTAGAGTTGAACTGCCTTTCATTTTATGCTTGAAAGCATTTTATGGCTGAAAGTCAGTATTGGGAAACTTGCCCATGACTATTTATAAGGTTGGTTAATAGTTACTAGTACAGTCTTTTCTTACTGCAGTCTTACCTATCACTCTAACCCATCTTCAATCCTTTAAAACCAGGGCAAGTAACAGATAATGAGAAATTCAAGTTTATACTTTATGTAAATATTTGTCTATACAGATATTTTGATAGTTTTGTCAATATTTTTAACCTAATTGCCTTGACTTCATGTTACTTGCTTAGTTAGATGTATTGTGAGATTAATTGCCAAACTATCACAGGGAATGAATTGGCTGACTTTTACATCCTTGTTTATCCATTCATTCAACAAACATTGGACCCCTGCATGTGCCAGGATCAGGTATTGCTAATTAATAATGTGAGTAGTTTGCTTGTTTGTTTGATCATTGTCTGATTGTGATAATCATTTCACAGAGATACCACTGCACTGTGATTGTAAAGATGTGTGGGGTTTTTTTAATAGCACTTTGGTATGTACTGTACAAATTATTTTATAATTTTTTCTGCACACTGTAACATCAACTTTGATTTTTAACTGCAAGCCTTATCTAGAATTAAAATTGCAAACATTTGCTTGGCAAGAAAGAACTGAGAAATAAATTGCTGGGCACTGGTGGCTCAAGCCTATAATACTAGTCACTTGGGAGGCTGAGAATGGGATGATCGTGGTTTGGAGCCAGCCTGGGCAAATAGATGTGAGATTGTGGCTCAGGCAGTAGAGTGTCTGTTTTATAAGTGTGAAGCACAGAGTTCAAACCCCAGTCTCACCAAAAAAAAAAAAAAAAAAAAAAAAAAGATTGGAAACATTTGTTTTCGAATGCTTTTAAATGTTTATGTGTTCTTCCCCATATGAATTATTTGTGAAAGGCTTCCTAGAGATCCATGGGTCCTGGTTTGAGCAAGCAGTTTTTTTAGATCATAATATTCTGGTCCAGGATTTCATGATGTCACATATATATGACATCATATGTATGTATGTATATGTGTATATATATATATATGTAGTTTTAGAAAATGAGGTTCATTTCCCTATTGTTCATAGAGCTGCATTTCAAACACTTTTGTACCAAAATGGCTCTTAGTAGAGTAAAAATTTAATATATATACTCCTATATCACGATAGAGACTATGACACTAATACAATTCAATGTATATCCACTCTCATCTGCTTCAGCATGAGTTATAAATGATAATTTAGTATCTAACATCTAAAATTTTAATTAAAATGTTGTTATTGCAGTTAAACTATAGTCTTCTGCAGAAAGTTATCTAATTCTCTTCTTTTTTCTTTGGTGGAACTCGGGTTTGAACTCAGGGCTTAGTACTTGCAAAGCAGGCGCTCTTCTGCTTGAGCCTAGTCTAGTCTTGATCCCAGTGTTCCTCATGCCTCATCCTTATGAATGCAGAGATTATAGGCATGTACCACCTCTCCCAGCTCCAACTCTCCTTTATAAAAATGTTTTGGGCTGAGGGTGTGGCTTAGTAGTGGAGTGTTTGCCTACTATTCATGAAAACCTTCCTTCAACCCCCAGGACTGCAAAAAAAACAAAAACAAAAACAAAATTAACCTGGATTTTCCTTTAGGATTTAAATTGTTTATTATAATCCAGTTGCTAATATAGGATTTGGTCTTAAAATTTTAGTTTTATAATTATCTCTTTGGAAATGCTAATTAGCAGTTCTGTTGTGTGTTTATTTGGTACCAGCTGGAAGGCCATAATGAACCAGTAGTGTTGCAGGTGTTTGTGGGCAATGACTCTGGTCGAGTGAAACCACATGGATTCTATCAGGCTTGCAGGGTAACTGGACGAAATACAACTCCCTGCAAAGAAGTGGATATTGAAGGCACCACTGTTATAGAAGTTGGCCTTGATCCTAGCAACAACATGACATTGGCGTAAGTGTTTAGTTAGATTTCTCATTTTCTAGTATACTTTTCTGATAGACATAAAAATATTTCAGCTTCTAGTGTATAAAAGATTTTAAGGGTTTTATTAAAATGTTTTAAGTATTACAAGTAAAAAAAGAGATTACTACTGAATTGTAGTAATCTTAATGGTTTAATTTTTTTTATGTGACTTACATTTGAACTCAGGGCTTTGTGCTTGCAAAGCAGGCACTCTACTACTTGAGCCACACCTCCAGGCCATTTTCCTCTAGTTATTTTGGAGATGGGGTCTCCTGAATTATTTGTCCTTGCTGGCCTCAAATCTCATTCCTCCCAATTTCAGCCTCCAGAGTAGCTAGGATTACAGGTGTGAGCCACTGGCCCCTGGCTAGTGATTTAAAATTTTAAAGTTATTTTTGTTAAGCTTTTTGTAAAGTACTCTTAATCCTTAAATTGAGTCACAACAGCAGCAAATATATTGATATGGGGGTAGGCCTATGTTATTATTTGTAATAGGTAACTGCTAAAGAATTTTCTTCAGCTGGTTTTCAGATTCCTTTTGAAAGCCATTTTGAATAGATCAGTAAATAGTTAAATGGAAATAGAAAATTTTTAAAAATTTAATAACAATTTATTTTCATAGGGCTGGGGGCAGAACCAAAGTGGTAGTGTGCATGTTTAATATGTGTGAGGTGTTTGGTTTGATCCCCAGAAATTTTTTTAAGTATTTATGTACTTATTGTTTAAAAAAAAAAGTTGGGAGCACAGTAATTAAAAGATAAAAATGTACACTTCAAAACTCAGTTTCCTGGAGGTATGAGCCAAGTGGTAGAGCTCCTGCCTAGCACGCACAAGGCCCTGAGTTCAAACTCCAGTACCACCATAAAAGAAAAAAATTAACTTCCTAAAAATACACTGGTTCTTTTCTTTTTTTTTTTCCCCTAGTACTGGGGCTTGAACTCAGGGCCTTCACCTTGAGCCATTCCACCAGCCCTTTTATATGATGGGTTTTTTCAAGATAGAGTCTCACAAACTATTTGTCTGGGCTGGCTTAGAACTGAGATCCTCCTGATCTCTGCCTCCTGAGTTGCTAGGATTACAGGTGTGAGCCACCAGCACCTGGTGAAATAACCACTCTTTTAATGTTTATCTTCCCAGGCTTTTTAAACAAAATTGAGATAATACTGTGCCTATTGTTTTGTAACCTGTTTTTCATTGAACATAGGAATATTTTGCCATATCACTAAATGCTGTCTTATACTTTTTAATGTCTGTATAATATTCCATTTGGGGAGCCATTTACTGATTTTTTTTAAATAACCCATTCTATTTAATATCTCAATCAATTGCAAAAAAGAAAAGCTAAATTTATTTTTTGAAGTATTGTAAGCCATTAATTGTGTTCAGTTTTTGAAATAGTGATTTTATTACTTTATTATTTCTTACATTATTATAATCAGAAGATTGACAAGATTAGGAGCTATGAATGTTTAGAAATAATTAATAGATAAGCACATTTTTTTAAAAGAACTTTTTAAAGAATGGTGTACTTTTTATACAACAAAGTGTCAATTCATATTTTTTTTCTGTGTTAGGGTGGACTGCGTAGGAATACTGAAGTTGAGGAATGCTGATGTTGAAGCCAGAATAGGAATTGCTGGTTCCAAGAAAAAAAGCACTCGTGCCAGATTGGTTTTTCGAGTTAATATAATGAGAAAAGATGGCTCCACTTTGACACTACAAACACCCTCTTCTCCAATTTTATGTAGTAAGTAAGAAAATATGGAGATACTAAGTACATGGAAGATTTTTTATAAATTTTTCTGTCAGTCTTTCAGAGACCTCTAAATTTTAGATGTTTCACATAGTCCAGCTTGTGGTCATGCAAAATTTAAGATTTTAAATGCTGTAGTTAAGAGCCAGGTGTGGTGGACACACTTGTGGCCCCAACTATTCAAGAATCTGAAACAGGAGGATCACTTGAGCCCAGTTGTTTTAAGGCCAGCCTGGGCAATATGAGGAGTCCTTGTCTCCTAGAGAAAAAAAAGTATTTGTATTTTCTAGGCTAAACTGAAGGTGAGAAGTTGAAATAAAATTTAATTCGTTGTAGTTTTATATAAAAGTAATTTGAGCTGAGGATGTAGCCATTGGTGAAGTATTCACCTAGCATGCATAAGGGCCTGGGTTGATTCTTCAGCTCAGGGGTTGTGGGAGGTGAATTTACTGGAAGTAAATTGAAACACCAAAGGATTTCCCAAGCATCTTCACTGTGGTAAGTTGCTGTGGCCCTAACTCTGTTTCATGTTAAAACACAAGAGTCAAGTAAGCAGAACTTTGTATTTAATAGCAGGTCAGAAGTTCTAAGAACGAGTTATAGTGTAGTGAAGTGGGAAATGAATTTATCATTATTCTTTGTATAGAAAGAAAATGACTTGTGGGTGTTAGTGCATTCAATTTCAATCATGTTGTTAGAAGGTTCTCTCCTTTGTTATGATTTCTCTATAATAATTATTATAAATAGAGGAATATCCCCTTTATATATTAAGAATAATTTCATTATGGATTATTTTCTTTAGGATTACTTTCTCTGTTTGTTTTGTTTTTGTTTTTTTTTTGAAACAGAGTCTTGATAAGTAGCCCAGGCTGGACTTCTGCCTCATGAGTGTTGGGATTGCAACATATATCACCAAACCTAGCGTGGCATTGCTTGTTAAATAATTTATATTTTATTTCAAAAGAGCAAAAGGGAATTGTTCCATTCAGTTGAATTTCCTATTGGATTGCTATGGGGTCCTATGATCTTGCTACTCCTTGAACAGTTGAAGAACCGCCCCCCTTACTTAATTGTTCCTCAGTTTGGCAAATTATTCATCTTTTATAAATCATTTTCTTCTCTTTTAAATTATATTAGAAATTATCACACTTATACCTTAGCTTACCAAACACCCCATTTTTAAAAAGAAAGTGCTAGAAATAATATTTTTCACCCCAAGAGAGCTCAATTGGATTTCTTTATCATAATTATGCAAACTTTGGGTTTTCCTATTAGTATTTCCTTGAAGTGTTTTCTAGGTAATATTTATTTGTAGATAGGCTACTTTTAAAGATTGTAGATTATGTCCATTCTGTTATGTTCAGATAGGACAGAATGAATGATCCATATATATATGGTTCATTGAGTTTAAAGCTTTCTGAGTTTAGAGTGTTCAATTTCTTTTTTTATTTCCCAGTATTGGGGATTGAACCTGCGGCCTTGACATGCCAGGCAAGCACTCTACCACTGAGCTATATCAGTTTCTGAATTTTCTGTAATTTATGATGTGACCTGACTTGAATATTATTAGGTTGGAGCTCCAATTTTATGGGAATAGATGCAGTTCTTGTTTTACATGATGTAATACTTTGAGCATGACCATAGCCACTCTCTGAAGGCCAGAGCAAAGGTGGTGCTAGACAATTCAGTTCATATTGCTTTAGCAGGAACTGGAAAATGCCAACTTTGTTTGCTCATTCCTTCATTTGTTCACTCCTTCCTTTCTTGTTTTGTTAAGGTATTGAATATATACAGCTAAAGGTGGTAGGATATATGAAAGAAATAGAAAATAGAAGATTTTCACCTGTAATTATCGTTTATTATCAGCATTGATGATAATATGTGTCTACATTACAATGAGTGTATCTCCCTGAAAAGATGTGTCTGGTATAGATTAAGTAACCCTAGGAAGTAAAGTATACAGTGGAAAGCATATAGCGCTAATAATAAAAGCCACTATATTTTGAACTCTGGCTATGTGCCTGAGATTTGTTAACTGCTTTAAAGCATTATGTCATTTAACCCTCACCATCACCTTACATGGATTCCATTCTGTAGTCAATGCAACTATGATTTAGAAACGTCACATATCTTCCTAAGATTACATAACTAGTAAATAGGAAGGTCAGATTCAAAAAAACCTCTGCTTTTGTCCACTACATACTGTATTGCCATCATAGTCACTTAAATTGTAGCATTGAGCCCAAGTTCAAACAATCCACTTCATCCAAGCCTTGGCTTCTGAGTGATTCAAACTGTGGATACAGTATAGACATGTATTTTATTCCTTTAATTACCTACATCGCACTTAGAGAATTAAGCATTGACAGTTGGTACCTTCTTCTAAAGAGGAGGAATTTTAAGATAACTAGAAAAGAAGTATGACATTTTTCAACACATATAAATGATTGTCTTAGGAAATAAAATGTTAAATACCCTGGTTTTCCTGTTAGATATTGTATAATGTATCAAATTATTTTACGTACTCTGAACCCCATATGTTCAAAGACTTGTGGCAATGATAATTTTTATTTAAAATAAAACTGAGCTGAAAATGTTGGTACACCTATAATCCCAGCACTTGGGAAGCTGAGATGGGAGGGTCATGAGTTCGAGACCAGTCTGTGTTACGTAGGAGAACCTGTCTCAAAAACAAACAGCTGGGGACATTACTTAAGTGCTAGAGCCCTTCCTCAATACTGCCAAAACAAATAAAAAGTCAGAAACCAATTAAAATAAAACTGGCATTGTATAATATTTTTCAGAAAGCTATCAGAAGAAATTTGAGTACTTGATTAAGATTAGATCATAGTAGGGGAAAAGACCTGGGAACCTGTGAAGCAGTACTTGGTATCTGTTTAATTAATGTGACATGAAACATTTTGAAATAAAAACAAAGGAACAAAAGAGAAAGAGAGACAGGAAGAAGAGAGAAAAAAAATTTTTAAAGTCCATCCTATATTAAAAATACTAATTTTGGTTGATCCTCATAGGTTTTACAGTGAATATTACGGGTCAGGTCTACAAGTTAGTTGGTTATTTACTAGCAACACAATGAAAGATATTAAGTTTTAAAAATTGCTTTTTAATTGTTTTTGCTTAAATGTTAGACTTGATGAAAAAAAGTATTAACAGAGTCTGGTGTTTGCTAGGCAGGTGCTCTGCCACTTGAGCAACTCCGCCAGCCCTTTTTTATGTTGGGTATTTTCGAAATAGGGCTTCTCAAACTGTTTGCCCAGACTGACTTCAAACCTCTATACCCCCGATCTCTGCCTCCTGAGTAGTTAGGGTTGTAGGTTTGAGCCACTGGCTCCCAGCCTAGAAAAGGCTTAACATAAATGTTAAGGTCTTTGGAATTGGAGGTAGATACATTAAAGGGAAACTGAGATGAACATACTACTTTTACTACTGCTAGAGAATAGGACTGAATCTTCAGTCCAAAATTAGAGAGAACAATCTGCCCAGTCAAAGCATCCTTCTACAGTTGTCCTACACCTGGCTGAGAACAGCCCAAAATGTATTCTTTGTTCAGATAGGCAGATGCAGAACAAGAGAAGGAAAAAGGCTAGGCTCGGCATGCAGAAGTCCTGCTTCTAATTCTCATCTGGAAAGTTCATTCTTCCTCTCTAGTGTGCTAACGGAGTTTTCCCTTAATGTTATTATACCTTACCCTGTTTGTTCCTGATAACAACTCTGTATCATTCATAGAATAGGAATTATTCATTTCACTTTTTATATATTGGGATAGGTAACAAATCTTGTTTATTCATAGTGGAACATGACAGATAAAAGAGGTAATCGAGCTTGTTTCACACTATAGTCTACTATAGAATATGGAAAGGATTTTATTTTGATTAATTGTAACAATAATATGCTTCCTAAATTATATGGCTTATAATTTATTGGCAGGGTATTAGCATATAAGCATTTAATTGCTTATTTTAAATTTAGGTACAATCAAGTTATGTTTTATGTTCCATAAAATGGAAGTTTCTTTTAAAACAGCTTTACTGAAAATACAACTCACATACCATAAAATTCAACCTTTTAGACTGTACAGTTAATTGGTCTTTAGTATATTTATAAAGTTGTGCAACCATAACCATTAAATAACTCTAGACATTTTTATTATTATACCCAAAAGAAAACCTATACTCAGTAGTCACTCTTCATTTCCCTGTCACCATCTTCCCTGACCACTAATCTATTTTCTGTCTTCATGGATTTTCCTATTTTTGACATTTCATATAAAATGAATCATAAAATAAATATTCCTTTTGTATGGCCTCTTTACATAGCATGTTTTAAGGTTCGTGTATATTATAATGGGCACTTCATTCCTTTTTATGGCTGAATGATACTCCACTTCATGGATGTGTATCACATTTTGTTAATTCATTCTTTGATGGTCACCTAGATCCTTAAGTTCTCTTGGGATGATATCTAGGAGTGCAATTGCTGGGTCATATGGTAGACAGTTTTTCGTTTAATATTTCTGTGAATTTCTATGTTAAAATTCACAGAAGAAAGTTGTTTAGAAAAAATTTCTGTATAGTTGTTTTAATATCATTTAAAAATATAGAAGGAAAACAAATTACTTGTTCCAACTTGATCATGTTGTCTCTGTTCCTCATTCATTCACTTGCCTTATGTTTTAAAAGTATGATATACTATCAAAAATTTCATATTCATGGAATCAGTCAGCAAATTTAGTCAGGCAGAGAAATTGTTTAGATGAACTTTCTTTCCTTTTTAACATTTGAACTTACTGGAGACTACAATTTAATTCAGATAAAATGTTCTACATTCTAATAATAAAATATTGCTTCATTGTCCAGTAATTTATTCAATAAAAATTAAATCCAGTGGTTCTCAATCCTAGAGTTACCTCTGTTGAATTAAAAGACATAGCACTTAACCAGAATCTCCAAATGCAGATCTTAGACATGTTTGTTTTTGAAAAGTCTTATAGTTTGGTTTTTAAATACCTAATTAATTTGGTGGTACTGGGTTTTGAATTCAGGGCTTCACAATTCCCAGGCAGGCCCTCTACTGCTTGACCCATTCCTTCAATCCAATTTTTAAAATTGTAAGTGGGGTCTTTAGTGCCCAGGCTGTTCTTAAACTCATGGGCTCAGATACATAGCACCAACTCAGATTACCATCATAGTAATATAATGGATAGTTAGAATGTGCCAAATTGTGAAAATAAAGAAAATACAGCTTTAAGGAGTTTATAGTGTAACAGGCTAGGGGGAAAAAACAAGTAAATTAACCGCCAATTGTATTATAAAATTAAACTAACATATACTGTATATGTGCATAAAATTATATAAACTTTTAATTATTTTGTCAAATTATATGAAGATATGACATCTCCAGTATATTTGCAAATAGGTTACAGTGGAAACAGAACATTTAATTGAGATTGCTCAAAGATCGTAAAACTTTTATGTCTTGATGGACAAAGGACATGAACATGGCAAAATGGGGTTTAGAAGGGCATTTTGGACAGAAGGATATACATATAAACACTTCATGATTCTTTGGAGGAAATTAAAAAATTTTGATAAGATAGGAACAAAAAGATACACTTGCAAAAGTATTAAGATGTGAGGGTAGAGCTTGGGAGGTTGGATATAGGGGAAGAATTAAAAATAAACATAATAATGCTTCAAAAGATCTTTTTATTTTAAAAATTAGAATATTTGTTACACTGTGAGTTTCTGGTGTATTTATTTATTTTTTGTATGAATATAACCTTTTTTGGCAGGTTTGAGCAGTGGGATGAGAGGATAAAAGGACGTAAATTAGTAAGAAAGATTGGAATTAGAATAAGCGAGAAAAGGAACAGGAAGTTAGGAGGGAAATAGAAAAGGAAGAGGGACCAAAAGGTGATCAAGGTAGAAGGGAGTGGGGGCAGGGGGGAGAAATGACCCAAGCCTTGTATGCACATATGAATAATAAAATTTAAAAAAAAAAGGTAGAAGGGAGGAGAGGAAACAGAAACTTGTTTTCTCCATCTAGAGCTTCTCAGTGGAAAGAAGGCCTTGTGCCAAGATTAATGCTGTGCTTCGGTGGTCTTGAAACAAAAACAAACCTGTTTTGAGTTGTTGGTTTAACAATGGCTATTGTGTCCTTTGCCCTTCCTTTGTTTTTAAAGAGATAGAAGAACCACTCCTTTTACTTAACATCTTTATAGAGTTCTCCAGGCAATATAAGTATAGATATATTTTTTGTTTTGGTATAAATTTATATTATTTTGTTATATCAAATTAAGAATATCAGTTTTCGGGCTGGAGGTGTGGCTCAAATGGTAGTGCTCCTGCTTTGCAAGTATAGAGTCCTGAATTCAAACTCTAGTCCCACCAAAAAAAAAAATCAATTTTTTATCTACCCTCCTGTGGTAGTTTTTAATAGGACAAAATTAATTATACTTTTCTATAATATATAATGTATATATATTAGATTTTATCTTATAATGCTTATTAAACTAAATCTGACTCTGAATTTAACAATTTCCTATTTCTCTTATTTTTACTTGTACCCTTAGCTTTGGGAAAAGAATATCGTTAACTTTCTCTTTTCATTTTTTTCAGCATTATTTTTGAAGTTTCTCTCTTAAAAACATCTAAAATAATACTTTTTAAAAATAATTCTATAAAGGTGGCTGCTTTTTGTGTACAATAATTTTCAAGCAATGTGATCACATTGAAGAGTCAGGTTATGTGGTAGAATGTGTGCTTCTCTTATATGAAACCCTAGCTTCAGTCCCCAGGACAAAAAAAAACCTCAGTTTACAGATTACTTAAAGATAAAAATAAAACCATTAATGCTTAAATAATCCTGACTTTAGTTCTGCCTAGTATGGCATCTTCCTGTTAGGTAAACATTAAGCTTTTTAATAGAAATGGCTTCTTAAAAGGTCAAAAGTTAAATTATCTTGAAAAGTGACAGACTAGTTCTTTTTGTAATATAAATACAAATATGTAGAAGATGGATATATTCTAAATCTTCAAGACCTCATTTAGCCACTTTTTGGGTTTAATACATAAAATAACAAAATGAGAAATGAGAAAGAAGTTTTAGCAGTCATCACTGACACGGAATTTCCACGTAGTATTTGAAGATAGAGGGAGCAGTCATCACTGACACGGAATTTCCACGTAGTATTTGAAGATAGAGGGAAACATTGTAGACTATGCATTTTGTTCTGTTAGTGCAAATCAATATAATTTCGCACCATTTATTCTAATAAATATTTACCATATTTTTCAACCGTCTTCTAAAAACAATTATCTAGCTCTTAAGTTGCTTCAAAAAAGTCACTTTTTAATTTTTTTACTTTTTATTTGCATTTATTTTATACTGAATTTATTCCCGATCCATTGTTTTTTATTTCTTCACTTTCTTCTGGGATCTTGTTTTTCTGTGCAGCCTCTTCTGCTTTAGGAGCAGTTTGTTTTTTTAGTAAAGTTTGTCTCAAAATGAGATTAGGACCTCATATATAGGTTATCCAACCATGAACTCTATAAGTATGGCAGTGCATTTTGGGTTCATTCATCTGCTTCAATGACCAAAGAACCTATATCTAAATCCTTAAGTTCTTCATTGCTCCCTGTATTTCTAAGAATGTGCAGTAAACATTCAGCACTCTTTGTGCTAGAAATGAATAGGACTTTTTAGTTTTTTCTCTGCTCTCTGTTAGGGTAAAAGTTGCAGAGTAAAGAAATTTAAATTCAGAGTCAAGAAAGACAACTCATAAAACTAGATACATAATTGCAAGTTGATTTAAGGTAAGCAATAAGAAATGTAGGTGGTTCTTTTTATACAATACTTATGTATACCCACAGCTCAACCAGCAGGAGTGCCAGAGATCTTAAAGAAAAGCTTACATAGCTGTTCAGTGAAAGGAGAGGAAGAAGTGTTTTTAATCGGCAAGAACTTTCTAAAAGGAACTAAAGTTATTTTCCAAGAAAATGTTTCTGGTAAGTAGGCATATTAGTGCTGCACAGATGGTTCCTTGTTTCACTTGTTACACAGTCATAGCTACAGAGTTAAAAAAGTTCAAAAATTTAGTAACTGTTTTTATTTCAGATGAAAATTCTTGGAAATCAGAAGCTGAAATCGACATGGAATTGTTTCATCAGGTATATTTTAAGCCTTTCTCTAATTTGATTGTTTATATTCTGAGCAATTCACTTACTCTTAAATTTTCCTGAACCAGTATTTTAAATTTTATCATCATATGGAATTGATGTGAATCCATTAAGCATTTTTTTTTGTAGGTTAAAATAGAATTATTCCTCTGGTGTTAGAAATGACCAATTCTCCATTTTCAAAAACTAAGAGCATCACCAAAAATTGCCATTATTCATAAATGAAACATTTTTTATATACATTTTCTCTGAAGATTTAAATGATGTTAATCTACTCTATAGTTAAGTTAAAGGGAGATATATTTATTTATTTAGTATTTATGTTTCAGGAGCTTTGTGTTTGTTAAAGTTCCTTTCTTGTATTTAAAAACAGCCTGGCATGGTGGTGCATGCCTAGAATGCCTGATCTTGGGAGATGGAGGCAGGAAGATCATGAGTTTGAGGCTAGCCTAGCTACCTATTGAGACCCTGTTTCAAAAAAACAAAGAAAAAAGTTGGGCACTGGTGGTTCACACCTGTAATTGTAGCTGCTTGGGAGGCTGAGATTGGGAGGATCAAGGTTCAAAACCAGTCTGAGCAAATAGTTCAAGAAACCCTATCTCCAAAATAACCAGAGCAAAATGGACTGGAGATGTGGCTCAAGTAGTAAAGCACTTGCTTGGCAAGCATGAAGCCCTGAGTTTGATCCCCAGTTCCACCAAAAAAAAAAAAAAAAGAAAAGAAAAAAGTCTGAATTTATAGGACCTTGCTATATATCTGTATTGTTTTCCACATAACAGGGAAAAATAACTAGAAAATAAGAATTAAAGACTTGAGAATTAGTATGCAGAGCAAATAAGACCAAACCCATAGAAATTGCTACTAACAGAAGAGAAGGCTAAACTTATGAGCCAGTTAGAAGGCACATATAGAAGAATAGTATGTAAAGGTACAGATGGGGAGGTGGACAAGATAATGAGTGTAAAATACTCAGAGCCTAAAAATTTAATGTATGGACCTGATATAGATAGAAAAGAGCACAAAAAAGCAGAGATGTGGAAGAGACAAGATTTGAAGAATCTATAGCCAATTTATCCAAAATGCTTGCAATTCCTTTGTGGTTTTTAAATTTACTTTTTATTCCTCTGGGTATTAAAATCTAATAAAAATTTAGAACATTTATATCCAATGTATGGCCAAATTCAAGGTTTAAGTGCACAAGAATACCTTTACTTGGTATACCAGTGTCTAGTTCAGAGGTTCCCAGACCACCGTCCCTTTTTTTATCCCCCTTCCCCAGTACTGGGGTTTGAACTCAGGACCTACACCTTGAGCCATTCCACCAGCCCTTTTGTGTAATGAGTTTTATTTTTTTGAGATAGGGTCTCAAGAATTATCTCCCTGGGCTGGCTTTGAATTATGATTTTCCTGATCCCTGCCTCCTGAGTAGCTAGTGTTACTCAGGAGCCACTGGTACCTGGGCCACCATCGCTTTTGAACAGCTTGAGCCACTGGTACCTGGGCCACCATCGCTTTTGAACAGCTTGAGCCACTGGTACCTGGGCCACCATTGCTTTTGAACAGCTGGCTTTAAAGTTAGGTTTTCCTACTCCCCAAATTTAATACTTTGCTAGAATTCACAATTCTGGAAAGTACTATGCTTATGTTTATAAATTTATTGTAACAAAAGGATAAAAAATGAGAACCAGGGCTGGGGGCTTGGCTCAAGTGGTAGAGCACTTACCTAGTAAGTGTGAGGCCAAGAGTTCAAACCCCAGTACCACCAAATAAATAAATAAATAAATAAATAAATAAATAAATTTAAAAAAGAAAAATCAGAACCAGCTAAAGGGAGAGACATACAAAGCAAAATCTGAGAGGGTCCCAAAGGCAAAGTTTCTGAAACCCTTTTGAACTCATTATCTTCTTAGTACATCACTGTGTGACAAATATGCAAAGTTTGCAACCAGGGAATCTCACCCAAGTCTTTGGTGTCCAGGGTTTTTATTTGGACTTCACTACGCATTGCCCACGTAGCTGACTTGTAGTCTCCATATTAGATCTGATATGGCATGTTTCAAAAGCTCCTACCATATATCATGTTGTGTTAGTTTATCTGGTGGCCAAATCCCCAAAGACATGCCTATCAGAACGTTGCAGGAGCCTAGAAATAATCTCCCAGTAGCCACAGTCAAAGACTAGATCTCTCTGAGTAAATTGTTTACTAGACAGTATCACATAAAGTGGAGCTTCCTATATACATAGCCATGTAGAAAGTTTTTCTCTAACCTTACTCTAGTCCATTCTGTGGAAGAGACATATACTGTTGGACATATTTGCTAGGAATTCATTGCCAGACTGGTCTTAACTGACGCTCTAGTACCTGCTTTGTCACTAGTAATCTGTGTTGTCTGTGAAAGACAAGACACAGTTGTGCCCCATTTTTCTAATCTTTGTAGATTAGAACAAGGTATTAAAGATACCTTTTATATATAGATAGATAGATAGATAGATAGATAGATAGATAGATAGGTAGAACAAGATTAAACAGGTATTTCACTTGATTATTTGAAACTCTCTAACTCTTGACATTTTATGCTCTCATGTAACTTGATGAGACCATCCAGACTCCCTGTATATCTGCAGTAGTTTACTCTAGAAGACTTCTGAAGTTTAGGGCAAACAGTATGACTTTTCTGTGATGCTCATAATACTTAATAGATACTCATAAAATACTTGTCAGTTCATTTTATTCCCCTTGAAGGAAAAGAGGACTCTGGTCTAAGGTCTATTTGTTTTTTCTGAAGGCATTTCAACCCCTAATTTTTTAAAAACAGATTATTATATACTTATATTTTTACTGCTGACTTAAGTTTAATCCATGGAATACTTTTGTGTGCCACATGCATGTGTTGATTTTGACATATTGGTTAGATTAATGTTGTCCCCTTTTTAACACTCTCTCCTTTCCTCTCCCTTCCTCTGTTCCTCTCTATTCCCTCCTTTCTTCTCTATTCCTTTCTCCCTCATTTTTTCCCTCCTTCCCTTCCTCCCTTTCCTTTTAGTTTCCCTTGAGGCATGGGGTAGTTATGTTCTTAAAATACTTTTTTTTTTTTTTGCATACTTGCAGAAACTCTAGATATAGCCACAGAATAAGAATATAATTCCTGTCTATTTCTGTGTCTTATTTTTATGGTTATTCTTCTTTAATCTATTGTAGCTGACATAATTGCCCTGAAAAGAACCTAAATCATAATATGATCTACCATTAATTCTGTGATTTTGTTCATTTTTAAGTTTTTATCTTTTTCAGAGACAGTTTATGATATATGTATTTTTTCATAAGTACCTTTTTGGAAAGTGTTTTCTTATAGTCAAAACTGGGATTCTACAAAATTGACCCTAGACATCATATTATAGGGGAAAATCAGAAATTAAATATTAGAAGGAAGAAAATATGTTGAAAGAAAAGAAATCTTTGAACTGATCATGGTGTTTCACATCTGTAATCCTAACATCAGGAGGCTGAAGCAGGTGGGGTTGCTAGTTTAAATTTGGACTACATAACAAATTCCAGGCCAACCTGGGCTACATAGTGAAACTGTGTCTCAAAAAATCAGGGAGGGGGGGTGTGGGGTAATGGGGGCTGCGGCCTTGATACTGGTGGCTCATGACTGTAATCCTAGCTACTTGGGAGATTGAGATTGGAATGATCACAAGGTTCAAGGCCAGCCTAGGCAAATAGTTGGTGAAACCCCATGTCCAAAATAACTAGACCAAAATGAAGTGGTAGAGTGCCTGCTTTGCAAGTGTGAAGCCCTGAGTTCAAACCTCCCCCAGTCCCACCATAGAGGGATGGATGGATGGATGGATGGTAGGGAGGGAGGAAGGAAGGAAATGTTGGGGCTGGGGGTGTAGCTTGGTTTTTCCCTTGCATGCATGAGGCTCTGGGTTTGATCCCCATCACCGCCACCAAAAAACAAAACAAAACAAAACAAAAAAACAGGAAGGAAGGGAAGAAGGGAAAAGAAAAGAAATATTAAACCTATACAGAAAAGGTGAAAGGACATCTACAATACTTAAAAATACCAGAAGATGTTATAGTACAAAAGACTATTTAAAGGTAAATAGTCAAATTCATTATTAGCAAATTGCATTATGAATTATTACAGTAGGTAGTTCACTTGCAACCCCAGAATCAACTCAATATAAATATTGGATTAATGAAGACTGGAAAAATAGTCCCTCATTTATTGTTTGACTTTTCTAGTCAAGGCCATAAAATACCAAATATGTGTGCATGGTCATTATATCTACTGCCTTTTAACCAATAAATGAATTATTTATAACCTCATTGGCTATTTAAATATGTATATATGCACATTTGTGTATATGAATATTCATATGTATAAAAGAATATACATATGTGTGTGTATATATAATATATAGATATCTGTGGGAAGATAGAATTATCTTTTTTTCCCCCTTTTTTCTGGTGATAGTTGTGGTGATTAAACTCAGGACCTTCCACAGGCTAGACAAGCACTCTACAACTTAAGCCATGGTACCACAACAGAGGAAATTCTTGAAAGAAATGCCAAAAAGATTTTCAGCAGAATTTATCAGAACAACTAGACTAAATAAAGAATTAAAGAGAATATATATTTCAAATTGTCTCTAGTAGAAACTTGGTAATGTGTTCTTGGTCCAGGCTAGTTATATGTATCCAATACTTTAAAATGCATTTTGCATTTTAAATGCAAAATTAAATTTAAATGAATAATTATCTCATAGGAAAATGAAAAATATCCTATATCTTTGTATATATTGCTTATATACACTGAAAAATATTTTCTGCTAAGGGAAAAATAGTTATCTTGAATTCCAGAGATTTTTTTCTTAGGAAATTAAAATTCTGACATTTCTTTTTTTTTTTTTTATCCCAGAGAACATTATACCTGCTCTGAAAGCTTGCCAACCTTTTGTATATTTTGTTTGTATTCCTAGCTGAGTGGTAGTTAATTATTCCTCATTTTTGAGACTTCTGTTGGAAACAACTTATGATAACTTTTCAGTTTACTTTTTAATTCAAATCTATTTTATTAGTTAGGTTTTCTGTTGAGGAGAATAATTCAATTGGATTTTGCTAGATAATTCAAGACTAAAAGAATACTTAACTAGCCATCCATTCAGCTATATCCTTGATGCGAGGTGGACTGCTTCTGTGAGGGAATTTTAGGGCAAAAATGAGAGTAGCTGGGCACCAGTGGCCCACAGGCAGCAGAGATCAGGAAAATTGAGTTTTGAGACCAGGCCTCATAACAAAAGAAAGACCCTATCTCAAAATTAACTCAACACAAAAAAAAAGGGTGGTGGAGTGACTCAAATGGTATAGTCCCTGCCTAGCAAGTGGTAAGGCCATGAGTTCAAACCCCAGTGCTGGGAAAAGAAAAAGGCAAAAAAAAAAAAAAAAAGGTAAGATTTAAAAACTATCTCTAAGAAATTGCACTTCACATTTGTGAGGCAGATTCTTTACCTCTAGATATACAACTCCAGCCCATTGCAAGTGTGTTTTTCATGACCATATTTGTTTCCTGCTTCCAACTTCTCCTCCCCCCACCAAATAACTGTGGATGCACACACACTTATAATACATGTTTTTCCACCTGATTTGAAAGTATGTGGGGTTTTTTATTTTGTGTTGAGGGCAGCTAAGTTAGAAGGCATTCTGTTAATGTTATAAATTAGGAGCTATAAATTTATTTTTGTAGAATTTTAAGATGGCTCAGAAACAAATTAAATACTCAGAAATCAAAACCTTTACCATGACTTCATCTTTCCACTTTCTTTTCAACTGAATCCACCACCTATAGTCTAAATAAGAAATGTTATCAAAGTCACTTTACCCTCAGATGTCAGCTTTGTCCACCTGCATGTCAGATCGCCAGTAAAAAGGCATAATCACTACTCCTGAGGTTATTTTGTATTATTATAATTTACTAGTCAAATGTGATTCACATTATCTTCTAAGAGATATAGCTCTCTTGAAAAGTGTTAATGAAGCATTTATGAGCTGTACCTTTTTTTTTTAAACTAAGGATGGTTCTGTCACTGTTCTAACTAGAAATACATTTGACTTACTGGAGTATGAATAACTGAACCCTGTTTGACTTTAAATGTAATTAAAGTGGTTACAAGTAGTAAAATATACTGTGAACTACAAATCACATTGAGGCTGAACAGAACTTGTGCAACTGACTTTGCTGTTACTGGAGCATATTTTTTTTTCTCATAATTTATTTTTTTGGTTGTTGTTACTGGGATTTGAATTCAGATCCTTGCACTTTCTAGCCAGAGGTTCTACCACTGGAGTTATGTCTGAGGCCCCCCACCTGTTTTGTTTTTATTTTTATTTATTTGAGACAGGTTCTCACTCTGTAGCTCAGATTGGCATTGAGCTCATAATCCTCCTGCCTCTCACAAGTGTTGGGAGTAATTTACTTTTTTTTTTTTTAAACGGATACATTCAGAGTTGTAATTTACTCTTCAGCAAAGACATTTGAGTGTATTTTTTGTATGTTACTATTAACAAAGGAGACAGAATGAGGGATAAAATAGTTAGATTCTCATGGAACTTATATTCTTGTAGTTTGGAGAGAGACAAAAACCAAACAACAGCAAAAGACCCAATCAGTAATTTCAAGTGGTAATAAGTGGTGTTATGGAAATAAGTGCCATTGTGTCACCAGGTTGGGGAGGGGTACTCTTTATTAAAAGAATGGACTGAGAAGATCAGTAAACTGGGGAAAAGTGAAAATGAGATGAAATTGACAGGGAAGAGATGTTGTAAAACATTTGGATTTTTTACCGTAAAAGAAATATTTAAGATTAATGGACCTACCAATCTGAGCTTTAAAATACATTATTTTTTGTTGGGTGGGATGGTTCATGCCTGTAATCCCAGCCCTCAGGAAGCCATGATAGATCTCATGAAGCCAGCCTAGATGCCATAGTGACATCTTGTCTCAAAATAATAAAATAGAGTACATTTTTTTCTAATTAGCCTTTAACATTTTTTCAGCTAACAGTAAATATACTTCATTTTTAAAATTTAAATATTGCTTTTTGTCCTGACTCTTATACTTTTCTTTAATTAGAACCATCTTATTGTGAAGGTTCCCCCATATCATGATCAACATATAACTTTGCCTGTCTCTGTGGGAATATATGTAGTGACCAATGCTGGAAGATCTCATGATGTTCAACCATTCACTTACACTCCAGACCCAGGTAGGTCAAATGAAAAATTCTCAATCAAAATGAAGAGTTAATTTCCTAGTTCTTTGAAAAAAAAAAAAAATGTGAAGACCAGCCAGCCAAAAAGAAAAGGTTGCTCACTAAGTAAGATGAATTAATACTAATTTGTTTTGAAAATGGCATTATTTCCTAAAAAGACAGCCAAGAAATACTACATTTACTGTTATGTTAACAGAATCAAAATTCAGTTAATAGTTTAGTTTAGCTGGTTTTAGAGGATCTTTTTTGTTTTGTTGTTTTGTTTGTGGTGTTGATCATCAAACCCAAGGCCTCATGCCTGCTAAGCACATGCTCTACCTCTGAGCTCCACCCCTGGCCATAGGGTGCATTTTGAGAGAGGTGAGAGATAAACTTGGAGTGGTAAGTGATAATAACATCAAAAGTGTCAGACTGGTGGTGAATTTTGGGTTTTTTTTTTTTTGTTTTTATGTTGGTTTTTTTTTTTTTGGTGTTACTGGATTTGTACTTACTTGGTACTTGCTAGGCAGGCATTCTACTTTATGAGCCATGCCTCCAGCCCTGATAGTGAAATATTAAATATAATTTTAAGCATTTAGGTAAAATAAGATGCTTTAGAAATCAAAACAAGAGCAACTGAAATGTTAAAATTTTAGAAGTTATCTGGCTAAAAAGTGTCTTATGAGTTTTTGCCCACATTCATTTAGTTGCTGGAAGAAGAAAAAACCTTTTCCAGGTGAAGAAGGGAGAGCATTTTGGAAATAGAAGTTTTTTCATGTTACATTGACCTAGGCTTAGTTTCTGCTATGCTTAGTTAGCAAGCTAAGGTAGGAGGATCACTTGAGCCCAGGAATTCTAGACCTCCCCCCTCAAAAAAAAGTGAAAAGCTGGGCATAGTGTTTCATGCTGTAATCCCAGTACTAGGAAGGCAGAGACAGGTGGGATGTGAGTTCAAGGCTAGCCTGGGCTACATAGAAAGACCTTGTCTCTAAAAAAAGGAAACAAGGACTGGCAGCCTGCCTCAAGCAAGCAGGAGGCCCTGGTTCAATGCCCCAGGAAAACCAAAAAAGAAAACAATAGCTAGGGTTCTGTATAGCTATTCATCATCATTACTTTTTTCAATTCATCTTTCCTCTATGTTCTTTTTAGTCGTGACTAAATTTGTTTTTCGTTTTCTTTGTGGGACTACAGTTTGAACTCAGGACTTCATGCCTGCAAAGCAGGCACTCTAACCAGTCCATTTTTCTGCAGTTATTTTGGAGATGGGGGTCTTACAAATAATTGGCTCGAGTGGTAGAGCACCTACCTAGCAAGGTGAGGCCCTGAGTTCAAGCCCCAGTACTACCAAAAAAAAAAAAAAATCCAGCTAAAAACAAATTATAAGTAGAAATTTAAGTTTTTTAAAGATTAGTTTCTGTTCTTAAATCTTTAATTATTAAAATTAAATGCCATACATAAAAGGTATACATAGGACTTCTTATCTATGTAATTCTATATAAATTAGTTGGACCTACTATGCAGCATAGTAAGGTAGTTATTTAATTTCATTTTTAGGAGATGTGTACTTTTTGCCTCTTTGTTCAGCTATAACTGTTGACATTGTCATAGCAAGAATAATACATGAAAAAGGAACTCAAATCTCTTTTTATATAGGTTAATGAATATAAAATAAGTACTCTGAAAGCCAGATATTGTTGGTACACATTTACGATCCCAGAACTCAAGAGGGTAAGGGTGGAATGGAAGATGGCTAGTTGGAGACCATCCTGGGCTACATAGCGAGACCCTGTCTCAAAAAACATAAACAAATAAACAAATAAATATATATTGAAAATAGAAATTAAAGTGTATTTAAATAAAATTGATATATTGTTATTTGAATCAGAACCCATTTATTTGCAATTTATTTAACTATCATTTAGAAAAGAACTACAGTATCAGGCTCATTAAATTTAAAGTTGTTATAGAAGATTTAATTGATATGACTGGGTAGAGTAGCCCAGCAGTTGTCCAGTAATGCTAGCAAAGGGTTTTTTTCCCCAAAATATTGCTAAAAGAATATTCATAATGTTACAGATTTTGTGTGTTCATCTCAGTTATGTTGATGTAGCTTAAACATTAGTTAACTAATAGTTTCGGATCTGTATTTTTTAATAAATCATTTATGAAGGTAAATGGTAAGTTTTTTCTTGCTCTAGTGTTCTGATATGGTTGATAACTTTTAAATGTCTGATAGTTTAATATCATCTTCTACTGTGCTGAAATAGTCAACATGCATAGTGTTATGAGAAGGATTCGTAAACTTTGCTGTTTTGGTAGATATTTTGTTCACATGGAGATCAGTGAATCTCAGAGCATACAGACTTCTGGTTACAAAATATTACCTCAACCTAGAATTTCCACTAAACAATCAAGTTAATGATTCTCTGAGAGCATGCTCTAATTGAAGAGTTTTAAGATTCACATTTTGTTAGGATACATAAATTTAAATTTAAATACTTGAATTTTTTTTAAATAGCAACAGCTGGTGCTTTGAACGTAAATGTGAAGAAGGAAATATCTAGTCCAGCAAGACCTTGCTCTTTTGAAGAGGCCATGACAGGTACCAACTTGATTTTTCTCAAAAATTGTAATTAGGTGATCCTGTTTTCTCTAGAAAAATTTAATGTGTTGTTTTTTTCTCTGATCTTGTTATACTTAACAAAGGTGTCTTCCGTATTGTAAAATTAATGTTTGTTTAACTTTACTGAATGTGGAGACTTGTTTTTCAAATTGATATTTTCCCTTATTCAGCATATAAACCTAGCTTAAAATAAAAGCCAGGTGCCAGTGGCTCACACCTATAATCCTAGTTACTGATGAGGCAGAGATCAAGAAGATCGAGGTTTGAAGCCAGCCCGGGCAAATAGTTTGCAACAACCTATCTCGAAAAAATCCATCACAAAAAACGGTTGGTGGACTGGCTCAAGGTAAAGGCCCTGAGTTCAAACCCCAGTACTGCAAAAAATAAATAAACAAACAAACAAATAAATTGGGGCACACCACTGATCCCATCTCTTGGAAGACTAAGACAAAATGGTTGCAAGTTCAAGGCCAGTCTGGGCTACATAGCAAGACCCCATTGCAGAATACCAAAACAACAACAAAAATATATGTTGAAAGACATGTTTTGTTTTCAATTCTTCAATATTAAAACTCTTAAAAATAAAAAGCTGCTGGGTATCAATGGCTCATGCCTATAATCCCAGTTACTGATGAGGCAGAGATCAGGAAGATTGTGGTTTGATAACCAACACAAAAAGGGCTGGTGAAGTGGCTCAAGTGGTAGAGCACCTGCCTAGCAAATGTTAGACCTTGAGTTGAAGCCCCAGTACTGCCAAAAAAAAAAGTAAAAAGCTATGCATGGTGGTACACACCTGTAATCCCTGCATTTGATAGGCAACATCTGAGGCAAGGAGCTTTGTGAGTTTGAGGCCAGCCTAGTCTACATAGTGAGACCCCCGTCTCACAAAAAAGAAAAAGAAAAGAAGGAAGAAATGGTGAATATAAACTCATCTTCAAGATCTTATAATATGGTTGGTTAGATTATTTCCTTAGCATATTTCTAATACACGTGTGATACATAGTGATGAAGCTTTTGTGCCTTTGTGTATGAAGGCATAGATTTAATGGCATATTTTTATAATTTTGGCTTTTTCTTATTTTACTGCTCATGAATTCATATGCATTAAGTTAAATTTTAAGAGTTTAAATGGTCATTTATATTTTCAAGGGGTAAAATGCACTTAATAAATTTTATCAAATGCAATGAAACTTTTTTCCATAGTAAAATTCATACTCGTTGTATACATGAGTATACAATGATATATAATTTGCCATTATAATTTCTGGCCACAAATATTTTTCCAGAGTAGTTTAGTGAGGAATTATGAACTAGTAAATAAACCACTGAGGATTATCAGGGTTTTCTGTTTGGTTTTTGGCTGTCCATGTGTTTGAACTCAGGGCCTTGAGATTGCTAGTCAGGTAGTTTACCACTTGAGCCATACCCCCCAGCCCTTTTTGCTTTAGTTATTATTCAGATGTGGTCTTGTGTTATCCCAGGTTGGCCTGGCCCTCGATCTTCCTTTTTATGCTTCTGCATAGCTGTGATAATAGGTGCACACCACCCATGCCCAGCTTTTATTGGTTGAGATGGGTTCTCTCAAACTTTTTGCCCCTGATGGCTTTAAACTGCAGTCCTCCTGATCTCTACCTCCAAGTTAGCTAGGATTATAGCCATGAGCCACCCATGACCAGGCTAGGGCTAGATTACTTTTTTTTTTGCTTTTGGTACTGGGGTTTTGAACTCTGGGTTTCATGCTTTTAGGCCTTCTACCACTTGAACCATACCTCCAGCCCTAGATTATCACATTTAATTGAAGAAAAATTTACAGATCTGTGGATAGCTGTGGTTAACATTTATTGATCATATATTAAGTGGTAGGCAATATGCCAAAAAAAAATTTTTTTTTTTTTTTTTTTGCAGTACTGGGGTTTGAACTCAGAGGTAGGTAGATGTTCTACCACATGAGCCATTCCTCCAGCCCTTACCTGTTTAAACTTTAAATTTGTCATTTTAAATACAACAATTAAAGCTAGGTATAGTGTTACATGAGATCAAGACCTTCCTGGGCTCCATAGAGTTCGAGGCCAGCCTGTACTACATAGTGAGACCCTATTTCAAAACTCCCCAAAATATGTAAATAAATACAATAATTAATTAGAGATCCCCAACCAGTTTTAAAAATAGCTTTTAAAACTAGGAATTTTCCTTAACAAATAGCTTATTTTTAGTGATTCCTTGAAGTCAGAGCTTTAGTTCTCGTATCAAAGAGATTTAATTAGCTATATTTTAATGATGACTGCAGCATAAATGACTTGTAAATTTCTGTTATGGCAGTAATCCTTAAGGATGATACTTATAAATAGCTGTCACTTACACTAAGATTTAGAACTTGATACCCAAAGATGATATTATGGCTAGATATTGAGTACTTTCTCTCTAAAATAAACTCCCTCAACAGTATATACTATATACTGTTATATATATATTTAATATGAAAGTAATAGTAGTCAAATAAGATTAAGTGTACAGTATATACTATTTTAACAGTTTCTGGGGATTTTTCTAGAAAATGTTCTAAATATAGGTATAGGTATGTTTGAGTAGAAACAAATAGATTGCTCAAAGACTCTGGTACATGTTTAGGACCTAGGGGTAAAGTATTGATATGCATTCTTTCAGTTTGGCTTTGTAAGAAGTGATTAATTCAATGAGTATAAATTGAGAGCATATACTTTTAATCTAACTAGTTGCAACCATATGGCGGATGTAGGAGCTTGGAGTAATCTCATTTTATAGCTGGATAAACAAAGGCTTAAGATGTTAAGTAATTTGTTGAAGGTCACATAGTTAAAAAGTGATAGAGATTACACTGGCACCAGGCTGTTGGTACTGGTGGCTCACGCCTATAATCCTAGCTAGTTGGGGACTCTGAGATCAGGAGGATCACCATTTGAGACCAGCTTCAGCAAATAGTTTGAGAGATACCATCTCCAAAATAACCAGAGCAAAATGAACTAGAGGTGTCCAAGCTCACCTGATTTTTAAGCACCTGCTTTGTGAAGTGTGAAGCCCCAAGTTTAAACCCCGATTTCACAAAAAAAAAAAAGAGGTTGCAAATTAAATCTCCCCACAAAAGTCTATATTCTTTTCATTATCTTAGAAATCTTTTGTTTTCCTTGTTTAGTTTTTTTTTTTTGGTAGTACTGGGGTTTGAACTCAGGGCTTCATACTTAATAGGCAGGTACTCTACTGCTTGAGCCTTAAACTCTTGATCCTCCTGCTCAAGAGTTAGGATTACAGGCATATGCCACCATGTCCAGCTTTCTTATTAATCTTTTTTTAGTATTTTGGGCAGGGGCTCACGATATAGCCCAGAATGGCCTCAAACTTGAGATCCTTTTGCCTCATCTACTCAAATTCTGGGAATACACATATATACCATTACACCTGGCTTCCTACAAGTCTTAATTCATATTTTAACCAAACATTTATATTTGATGAGATGCTGCTAATTGCCAACAACAAATTACTACTAAATAGCTTGGAAATAATTCAGTCATAAAAGTACATTGAAATATGGAAAAAAGAAGCTGAAGTAGCTAGAGATCTCAGATCCGGAAGAACAACAGTATGTAAGTTTCCTGGGTTTTCTTTTTATCTCCCATTTATTCTGAACTGATTGACTGAGATGCCTACAACCTAGAACTGCTAATGGGCACTGAGAGAAAATAAACCAATAAAATACATAAGTAGACTAGGCCCTACACAGGTTAAACAGGGTTTACAGGATAAACCTGCTGAAATAGATTTAAGTAGGATCAAGAGTCTCCTTACATAATATGCATACTGGCCAGCAAACAAGAAAATAATCACTTTCACACTATGATCTAGGAAAATCACCACTTGAATTAAGAAAAGACAATTATATGAATATTACAGTAAATCAGATGTTATACATTCCTGACAAAAATATGAAAGAAGCACCATAAGTGCTTATGAATTCCTTTGAAAGAAATGAAAAAAATAAAAAAAAATTTTAGTTAAAGAAGTGAAGTTATAACAAGAACCAAATGGAGCCTATAATCCTAGCTACTCAGGAGGCAGCAATCAGGAGGATTTTGGTTTGAAGCCAGCCCTGGGCAAATAGTTCACAAGACCCTATCTCAAAAATACCCAACACAAAAACAGGGCTGATGGAGTAGCTTAAGCAGTAAAGTGCCTGCCTTGCAAGCATGAAGGCCTGAGTTCAAACCCCCAGTACTGCCCACAAAAAAAGGAAAATAGAAATTAAAAATACACAATTAAAATTTGTTAAAACTTGCATGATAGGGCTGGAGTATAGTTCAGTGGTAGAGCACTTGTCTAGAATGTGCAATTCACTGTGTTCAATCCTGGTACTGTCAAACAATAAATAAGTTACATCTCTTAAGTGTATATTTTGGAGATGGGATTTCCTGAACTATTTGCCTGGGCTAGCCCGGAATCATGATCTTCCCAATCTCAGCCTTCCTGGTAGCTGAGATTATAAGATTATAGGTGCAAGCTACTGGCACCCAGCTATATTCTCTTACTTATAATGGACTCAAACAAGACAGCAATAATAGTCAACAAGAAAATCTTCAGACTCATGGAAATTAATCAGCATACTTCTAAGGAATCCTTGGGTCAAAGAGAAAGCTTCAAAGGAAATTTAAAAAAAAATAGATTGAGCTGAATAAAAAATAAAATGTGCCATATCAAAATTTGTGGGTCTGGAAGTGTGACTCAAGAGGTAGAATGGCTGCTTTGCAAGCACAAAACTCTGAGTTCAAACCCCAGTCCCACCAAAAAAATTTTTTAATTGTGGGATATTGGACATGATGGTATATACCTATAATCCTCCATGCTCTGGAGGTGGAGGCAGAATTGATCACAGATTTGAATCCAGCATAGGCTATATATGAAGACCCTCTCTCTAAAAAAAAAAAAAAAAAAAAAAAAAGATTATCTCATGAACACGAAAATTCCTCAGAATGTTAGCAAGTAATATCCAAAAGTGTACAAGTGGGATTTATTTTAGCCATGGAAGATTGATTCAGTTGAGAAAAGCAATCAGTGTAATCTTCCAATATTAGTATGCTAAAGAATAAATCAGGACTGGAGGTGTGGCTCAAGCGGTAGAGTGCCTGCTTTGCAAGCTCGAAGTCCTGAGCTCAAACCCCAGTCTCAGCAAAAAAAAAAAAGAATCATTTCATAATACCACTGACACACGATACAACATCAAGCCAGGCATGGTTGGCACACCTGCAATCCCAGCTACTTGGGAGGCAGAGACAGGAAAATCAATGAGGCTCAGCTAACATTATACTTACTGATAGAAAGACAATAGTTTTCACCCAAGACTGAGAACAACACAAAGGTCTATCCTCATCATTCTTACTCTGTATACTATTTTCTGTGTACTGCCATAAGGCAAAAAAAAAAAAACCGAAAAGAAAGGAAAAAAGACATACAGCTTGTTCTTTATTTTGCAGATGGCATGATTATACACATGTTAAAAGTCCCAAAGAATATACAAAACAAACCGACCTACAACTGAATAATTAGTTCAGCCAGGCTGCAGTTTATAAGATCACATAAAAATCAGTTGTATTTCTATAAACTGACGATGATATGGAAACCAAAGTTTAAAACATTATCAGTTACAAGGCTCCAAAGAAAATGTAACATTTAGGTATAAATTTAAAATGTATAGGATCTCTATGCTGAATAATATACATTACGAGTGAAAGAAATTAAGTGAGACCTAAGTAAATGGGGGAAGAGATCGTACTGATGGCTCAACATAATAAAGAAATAAAGAGATGTCCTTTTTTGTAATGATTTTTGATCTGAAGTTCTGTTTCAGTCAAAATCAGACTATGAATTGAATTTTATTAGTCTCTAATAGAGACTAGATAAAAATAGATTTAAAGAACTCATGAGTTCTGGGTGCTGGTGGCTCACACCTATAATCCCAGCTACTCAGGAGGCAGAGATGAGAAGGATCCTAGTTTAAAGGCAGCCCTGGGCAAATAGTTCTCAAGACCCAATCTCAAAACCCAATCTCAAAAAAACACCCAACACATACAAGGGCTGGTGCAGTGGCTCAAGGTTTAGGCTCTGAGATCAAACCCCAGTATGTGTATATATATATATATATATATATATATATATACACATACTGGTGTATTTACATCTCCAACACAAAAAGGGTTGGTAGAATGGCTCAAGTGGTAGAACACCTGCTGAATAAGCATATATCCCAGTGTTCAAATCCCAGTACTTCCCCCCCCAAAAAAACCTCATAAGTATGATCCATTTCTCAAATACATGTATTTCAGACAATAATTGAGAAATTTATTTCTTTACTTTTGATCCATTTCTCAAATATATGTATATACACAATGGAGTTTCATTCAGCCATAAGGAAGAATGAAACCATATAGTTTGAAGGTAAATGGATGCAATCGGAGGACATCATGTTAAGTGAAGTAAGCCAGGCTCAGAAAGACCAAGGGTGAATGTGTTCTCTCATATGTGGAAAGTAGATCCAAAAGATAAGTTTATACACAAAAACAAACATTGTCATATACAAATTTATACGTAGAACATGTTTATAATAATGTAACTATTCTATGGAACTTGGGAGAGGAAGGAAAGGAGAAAAGAATGATAAAGAATCAACAATGTTGGACTGTATTACATTTGTACAAGTTGAGGATATAACAATATGTTATTGAAAGCTGTTCAGTATTGGGGGGATGGGAGGGAAGAGATAAGGGAGAGTAATGGAAGGGGTTGAGTAGACCAAAGTAAAGTATAGCGGGGATACGTCAAGAAACCCATTGAACATTGAGTTTGGAATTAATAATGAAAGACAGGACTATAAAATAGGTACCATGTGGAGGCGGTACTTGTGAGAGGGGAGAGGGTGAATAGAGAAAATGAAAGTGAGGGAAGATGGTTGATGGGCTTCATATACTTATATGAAATAAAGCAATGAAACCTCTTCCAGTTGCTTTAAGTGGGACAGAGAGGAGTTCGAGGGGGGAATATGGTGGAGGCAATCTAACCAGTGTACAATGTAAGGCTGTTTGGGATTGTCACAGTGAATTCCCCTGTACAATAAATATATCATAATAAAAATGGAAAGGAAAAAAAAAAAGCTGGGTATGGTGAGGTGCACCTGTCATTCCAGCTAAATGGGAGGCAAAGATAGTATAATCCTGGACCAGCCTGGCCAGAGAATAAATGTGAGACCCTATTTGAAAAATAACTAAAGCAAAAAGGACTGAGGGTGTGGCCTCAAGTGGTAGATGACTGCTGGCAGAGTGGCTCAAGTGGTCGAGCCCCAGCTTAGCAAGTGTAAGGCCCTGAGTTCAGATCCCATGCCTCCAGAAAAAAAGAAAAAGCAAGTGGTAGATGAGCTATGTAGCAAGCACAAGGCCCTAAGTTCAATTCAGTATGCCCAAAAAAGAAGAAAGAAAAAAATCAAGGGAGAACGTGTGTATATATATATATATATATATATATATATATATATATACATATAGTATTATCTACTTTATCTGGTATTTTGATGCCTCTCCTTGCTGTAAATCCATAGCCACTGAAAAATAGAAGTTGAAGGAGGTAGGAAATGCTTATTCATTTTGCTTTGGAAATTCTGTTGGTAAACCTAAAATAGTCCTTCTGTGTGGGGGGAAAAAAGTATTTTTTAAGTCCTGTATAAAAGAGAAATGTTTTAATGTGCCAACTTGAAAAATTCACATTTCATAAACAATAATTTAGAAAAGTAAATGTTATTGATTACTTGATGGTATTTTCTTAAATTTTTGTTGAAAAGTACTCTAAGAATCTCATAGTTCTTAAAAAGTTTTGAGATTTTTATATTGCCAGGCAGCCATATGCTAAGAAGGGAGTGTAACAGTGGTAACTAGAATTTAATCTCCTGGAGATTTCCAGTTATTTCCCAAAATATGCTCTGGTCATGTTGCATAGTGTATAATTCAAGGCACTTAGAAGTAGTTTGATGGATAGAGGTGACTCTTGAACTGCTTAAGCTTGTTAATAGTTAACCTGCAGGCTGGAGGTGTATGTCAGTGGTAGAGTGCTTACCTAGCATTCAAGAGGTCCTGAATTTGATCCCCTGTACTGTGTATATGTAAAACCTTCATTTTAAAGCCCAGCTGGGCACCAGTGGCTTATGCCCATAATCCTAGCTACTTGGGAAGCAGAGATCAGGAAGATTTCAAGACCCTATCCCAAAATGTCCAACACAAAAAAGGACTGGCAGAGTAGTCTCAAGTGGTAGAGTGCTTGCCTAACGAGTGTGAGGCTCTGAGTCAAACCCCAGTACTGTCAAAAAAAAAAAAAAGCCCATACCAGGAGTCCTCAAGCAAAAAAAGGTAAGGTAAATCTTGATACACCATTTTTTGTATCAGGCTACATTTAGGGGGAGGAAGAGATAAAGGAGAATGGTGCAGGGGGTGAATTCAAGTATGATATATTTGATACATTGTAAGAGCCATTATAAATGCCACAATGTACACCTATCCAGCACAATAATAATAAGAAAAAAATGATAAAAAGTATAGACATTTAAAATCGTGACTTATAGTCAACAAATTATAGAATGAAATAGTGGTCATTTTTGTGATTTTAAGCTTTTCTTTCTTTCTTTGTGGGTATGCATGTAGCAATGAAAAATACTGGATGTAACTTAGATAAGGTAAATATTCTTCCTAACGCCCTGATCACTCCACTCATATCAAGCAGTATGATTAAGACTGAAGATGTTACTCCAATGGAAGTAACAGCAGAAAAAAGATCTTCCCCTATTTTTAAGGTGAGTTATATTTAGTGTCCCAAATCTTGATCTCACATATAAAAAGTGCTATATTTACTTTTCCTGTTTTGTTCACATTTGTCTTGCATTGGATATTACTAATGAATTTTGCTTTTCAAAGTGAATGCTTCCTACTTCAACAAGATTGGTTTTAGTAACTTCCAGTATCCATTTTGACAAGGGAAAGAATTAATACCTGTGGGATGAAGGGTAGTAGGAGCTGGGCATGCTGTAATCCCAGCACTTGAAAGTCTGAGGCAGGAGGATCACAGGTTTGAGGCCAGCCGGAGACACTCAGGGAGATCCTAAATAAATAAAGCAAACAAACAAATAAATAAATATGCTAATTTTAGCATTTCCAGATTTTTATTTCAGTTTCTCCCCAGGCCTTTTGTATAACTCTTCCTCCCCTTTTCTCTTGTCTTTCCCTTTTGTGATGTTACCAGTGATCCACAGAGTAAAAGTATTTTGAAGTCTGCTATTCATGAGTCATAGTGTCAGTGTTCTCTTCCTGCCCTTAATTTGCCTAAGCATGTCAATAGCTGATTATTTTTCTAATTCCTTATTTGACTATGTTTACTTGCAATACTGAAAATGTTGTCATGGACAATCATAGTTTTGTACTTATTTTCTAAATGATAATTATAGAATGAAAAATTAGTCCTGCATATGCTTTTAGAATAGTAATAATTTTTAAAGTAGCATATGTACTTATTTATATATGTACATGTTATTTGGGGATTTTTATTTTTTTAGACTACAAAGACAGTTGGATCAACTCAGCAAGCTTTAGAAAATATTTCTAACATAACAGGAAATGGGTCCTTTTCATCACCATCATCCTCCCACTTAGCTTCTGAGAATGAAAAGCAACAGCAGCTTCAGCCCAAGGCATACAACCCAGAGACCCTGGCAACTATCCAAACACAGGACATCTCACAGCCTGGGACCTTTCCAGCAGTTTCTGCCTCTAGTCAGCTGCCCAGCAATGATGCACTCCTGCAGCAGGCTACACAGTTTCAGACAAGAGAAGCTCAGTCTAGAGAAGTATTACAGTCAGATGGTACAGTGGTTAATTTGTCACAACTGACTGAGGCTTCACAGCAACAGCAGCAGTCCCCACTACAAGAACAAGCACAGACTTTACAGCAGCAGATGTCATCAAATATTTTTCCATCACCAAATAGTGTGAGTCAGCTCCAGAATACTATTCAGCATTTGCAAGCAGGAAGTTTTACAGGTAGTACTGGTGGTGGCAGCACTGGAAGTGTTGATTTGGTCCAGCAAGTTTTAGAGGCACAACAACAGTTATCTTCAGTTTTATTTTCTGCTCCAGATGGTAATGAGAATGTTCAAGAACAGCTTAGTGCAGACATTTTTCAACAAGTCAGTCAAATTCAAAATAGTGTAAACCCTGGAATATTTTCCTCATCAGAGCCAGCAGTCCACACCAGATCAGATAATTTAATACCTGGAAGAGGTGAAAGTGTTTGTCCACAGACTGAAAACACATTATCTAATCCACAACAGCAACAACAGCAACAGCAAGTGATGGAATCATCAGCTGCAATGGTGATGGAGATGCAACAGAGTATTTGCCAGGCTGCCGCCCAAATTCAGTCAGAGTTATTCCCTTCAGCTGCTTCAGCAAATGGAAACCTTCAACAATCTCCAGTTTACCAGCAGCCTTCTCACATGATGAGTACACTATCTGCCAATGAGGACATGCAAATGCAGTGTGAATTGTTTTCCTCTTCTCCTGCAGTTTCTGGAAATGAAACTTCTACAACCACCACACAGCAGGTTGCAACCCCTGGCACTACCATGTTTCAGACATCAAGTTCTGGAGATGGAGAAGAAAATGGATCACAGGCAAAACAGATTCAGAATAGTGTCTTTCAGACCATGGTCCAAATGCAACATACTGGGGACAATCAGCCTCAGGTTAACCTTTATTCATCTACAAAAAGTATGATGGGTGTTCAAAATAGTAGTACTCAGCAACAAGGTAATGGTTTATTCCAGCAAGGGAGTGAGATGATGTCACTTCAATCTGGGAATTTTTTACAGCAATCTTCTCATTCACAGGCTCAACTTTTTCATCCTCAAAATTCTATTGCTGATGCTCAGAACCTTTCCCAGGAAACTCAAGGCTCAATTTTTCATAGTCCAAATCCTATTGTCCACAATCAGGCTTCAACAGCATCCTCTGAACAAATGCAGCCTCCTATGTTTCATTCCCAGAATACCATTGTGTTACAGGGCTCTTCAGTTCCACAAGACCAGCAGTCACCCAATATTTTTCTTTCCCAAAGTCCTATGAATAATCTTCAAACTAACACAGTAACCCAGGAAGAACAGATTTCATTTTTTGCAGCACAGAACTCAATTTCTTCACTTCAATCAACATCAAACACTGAACAGCAAGCTGCCTTCCAACAGCAGACTCCAATCTCACATATCCAGACCCCTATGCTTTCTCAAGAACAGGCACAACCCTCCCAGCAAGGTTTATTTCAGCCTCAGGTGCCCCTGGGCTCCCTTCCACCTAATCCATTGCCTCAAAACCAACAAGGAACAATTTTCCAGTCACAGCACTCAATAGTTGCTATGCAGAGTAACTCTCCATCCCAGGAACAGCAGCAGCAGCAGCAGCAACAACAACAACAACAACAGCAACAACAGCAGAGCATTTTATTCAGTAATCAGAATACTATGGCCACAATGGCATCTCAAAAGCAACCACCACCAAACATGATATTCAGCCCAAACCAAAATCCAATGGCAAGTCAGGAGCAGCAGAACCAGTCAATTTTTCACCAACAAAGTAATATGGCTCCAATGAATCAAGATCAGCCAATGCAATTTCAGAATCAGCCCACAGTTTCCTCACTTCAGAATCCAGGTCCTACCCAGTCTGAGTCATCACAGACCTCCTTATTCCATAGCTCTCCTCAAATTCAGTTGGTGCAAGGGTCACCTGGTTCTCAAGAGCAGCAAGTTACACTCTTCCTCTCTCCAGCATCCATGTCTGCATTGCAAACCAGTATAAACCAACAAGACATGCAACAGTCTCCTCTTTACTCTCCTCAGAACAACATGCCTGGAATCCAAGGAGCCACATCTTCACCCCAGTCACAGGCTACTTTATTTCACAACACTGCAGGAAGCACAATGAACCAGCTACAGAATTCTCCTGGCTCATCTCAGCAGACTTCAGGAATGTTCTTATTTGGCATTCAGAATAGTAAGAAACTCTTTCTAATTAATTTCTCACTACTCAGTTAAAATGGTCAGATGATAATGGTGATGATGCTGATGATGATTATAATGAAACAAAATTCAGTAGCTGTAAGAACACAGGCTGTATTTAGAATTCTACCATTTAAAGACTATGAGATCTTGGACAAGTTATTTGACCCCTATGGGCTCAATTTTCCACATCTAAAACTGATAATTTATATATTTGACAAAGAAATTGGGAAGATTGTGATAATACATTTAAAAATGTCTGTTTGCCATTTTAAGCTATGACTTCAAAGGCAAATGAAGACAGATAATATCTCAGCCAATTACAGTGAGTAGCTTTGAAGGAGGTAGACATCCATCTTTAATGTTTAGATACCATGAAATTACATAAGATTTATGATCATATCTAAGTAGTATTTGTATACTCTTAGAGGAAACCTAAGATTAATTCCGTTACCATTCCATGAAAACCTTTTTCTCAGACTGTCAGGTCTCACTTTTAGAAATCATGAATTTCCTCTGGCAAATAATCAACATTTTCTCTCATGAATTAATTAATCAGGTAGCTTCTGTTTTCATTGTCTCTGCAGACTGTAGCCAACTTTTAACCTCGGGACCGGCTACATTGCCAGATCAGTTGATGGCCATAAGTCAGCCAGGCCAACCACAAAATGAGGGACAGTCACCTGTGACAACACTTCTTTCTCAGCAAATGCCAGAGAATTCTCCACTGTCATCCTCTATAAACACCAACCAGAACATAGAAAAGATTGATTTGCTTGTTTCATTGCAGAACCAAGGGAACAACCTGACTGGCTCCTTTTAACTGGGTATCGTAAGTATTATATTTTGGCTTCCTACTGAAAAGCATCAATAATTTTATTTTTCTTAACAGGTTTGGGTTAAGTAATAGTAAAGTATGGCTTTCTCACAAGATTGTACTTTTGGGGCTGGTGCTATGTCTCAAGTGTTAGAGCGCCTGCCTAGCAAGCATGAGTTCCTGAGTTCAAACCCCAGTACCACCCCCCCAAAAAAAAAAGAAGAAGAAAAGATGTTACTTCTTTTTTTTTTACTCTCAATAAGTTATTTTGAATTATAGTTTATGGTCATATTATTAATATTGGGCATTCCTTTTGTCTCTTAACTACTTTGCCTTGGAATGACAGAATGTCTGGTAAACGCAAATTGCATTTCCCTCATACTATATATTGGGTATGGTCATGTCTCATTTCTCTTTATTTCAAGAAATAGTCAGAAAAGTCTATGGAAGAATAAATATGCTAAAACTTCATTTATAATAGCACAGTATACTTTGGGATTATTCATGGTGATAGACATTTTATAAATGCTGTCCTTCCCTAATGAGTAATGTTATTTTTTTTTCTAGAAATTTCCTGAGGAAAATCATGATTCCGGAATGTCCTGAGATCTTGTGGTTCGATGAAGATTACCGAATTGTTACTTTTAATACAAAATATGATAAAGAAAATGGATAGCTTTTCCTCTGACTGTAAAAGAGTTCATCTATGCTGCCTGTTGCAGTGATTAGCCACCAATGTTAACATATTCATATTTTGTATTCCTAATAACAGTAATGACTGAGAGTCTATTTGAGTTTCCAGCTGACAGAATTAATTGTTATTTTCCTAGATACAATGTCTTTATAAGTGCAGGTTAAATTCAAAGCTGGAACACTTAGTTATTATTGCTATTAGAAAATAATATTTGTCATGTTTACTTTTGTTCTTCATTATTTTCTTTCCCATATTATTTTAGTCAAATAATGGCTTATGAAAAAGTAAAGTTCAGTAATAACCAAGGCTGTGATTTTTTTTTTTTCAATACAGAAGGCACAGCTGTTGGCCAAAGTGAAGGAATCTTTTTTTCAATTTTTTTTAAGAAACTGATGGGGTAACATTCTGACAAATAAGCTGTATTAAGAACTGTGCACAGATAAGAGGACTTTTAATTAAACACAAAGGCAGATGACATACAAAATTGGGGACAGCTGGAAAGTTACTGATTTTTCAGAGAGTTCTTTGTTTTTTTTCTACTAAGGGGTATAGTCATAAATGTGCATAGAAAAATCATTATTTTGCTCTATGAAAAAATGAAAAGGGTAATATATGGTAAAGTATATTCTAGTGTCTTCTATAGTAGTTTAAACTGACAGTAATTTGAGTCTATTTTCTTCTTAACTCAGTCTTAGGCTGGTATTCCCTTTTTATATGCATCTATGTTATTTTCCACATACTTTTTATCTTTATTTTAGACATTAGTTAATAGAATACTGGCTTTTTGACTCTGTAGAAACGTAAAGAAAAAGGCCACTTTTATCCAAGGTGACCTAGCAATCCTGCAGCACAAGACAAGGAGTATTCTTTTAGGAATTATTGGGAGCTGATTTCTGAGGGAAAAAAAAACCCTGCATTTTTTTTTCCCATGAACGGTGCTGTTCTGAAGTCTTCAAAATTTTCTCTGTAATAGAAAACAGTATAAATTTTCATTGTAAAAAAGGCAAACAAAAATTTCTTGAAATATCACTTCTTCCTGAGCTGCAGTGACTACAATTCACTTGTCACCTCAGTGCTTTTACAGTTTGAAGTGGTCACTTACCTAATGGTTCCCACAAGCCTTAGGCTTTACAGGGTCATATCATTGGCTTAAAATGAAGAATTAACTTATGTTACTTCTATAAAGAGCAAAATAACACTCCAGAACTTAGAGTTGTAGCATTAGTTATACAGTTTTGGGTGTTCTTGCCACCTATGGGATGCCTGCTTCTAACTACCACCTGTGTCTGGACACGTGCTTATGTCTCATTTTTCTTTGGCATGTGGAAAGCTGTTAATGCAGTGTAAGGCCAACTGTGTGTGGCTTCTGTGTGTTGATATAATGTTTTGGTATCCTTGTCCATTTCTTCTATTTTTAAGTGTATAAAAATAGCCTGCTAATGATTGTTGAAGGCTACTTTTCTTTTTTTCTCCTCCTACCCTATGCATTTAATGTTGGTTTTGTTTATACAGCCAGATTTTTTCCCCTTTTTTGTGATGGTCTTCCTTTGTTCTTCTAATTTTTTTTCTCTCTCTCTCTTTTTACTTTCCTATATCCTTCCCTCCACTCCCAACCCTTTCTTTCTCTCTCTGATTGAGAGGCATTGAATTACGTTTTCAGTAGTACAGGCTTCTTGCCGATATGAAGGGAACTTTTCAGAAAGAGACCTACTCTGGGTCATTTAATTTTTGAATACAGTTTTCAATCGTTCAAGTTTTGGATGGTTTATATCTAATGTGTGTTTCATTTTTTTGGAAAGCTATATTTTGTATTTAGGAAATGGTATACTATTTTGCTATTTGTACTGAGTGAGTACATTGGCATAAATATAGAAATTTATATATATACATATATATAAACTATTCTTTTTTTGCCACACATTTTTGTGGTAAATTTGTGAGTTTGTCTGATGTTCTACCACAACGTGGCGTCTGATAACAGTGAGGGGGGGTTTGTTATGTCTTTATTGAGTATTTAAGTACCTTTTGAAACAAATGACCTGTTCATCTGTAGCCATTCCATCAGGCAGTTCCTTGATGTTATTAGTGGGCTAAAAGGCAGCTTACTGTGTGTTTGCTGGTTCTTTCATTCAGCAAAATGTTGGTTAAAGAGTAAGGAATCCTATCAAGGCAGTTGTATCAAATGGTGTTTTACAAGAATGAGCCATTCAGTCTTTGCTCACTATATATTTAATATTTTATTGTTATTTTTATTATTAATTGGCTTTCTGTATTCTATGCCTTTTATTTATAAAGACACTAAAAAATTTGTAATTTTAATAACATTTTCTCCATCTTGTAATACCCAGAGCTACTTTATAAATTCTCTGAACCAAAAGTGTTTTTCTCAGTATATCTCTTCTCCCCGTCCCCTAATATAGTTCAGGTTATTAGAAGGATCAGCCACACAATCCAGTGCTTCACTTTTAAAATGTAAAACTAACTCTAAAAGGTTGCCTATAATGTCAGAGAAAGCAGGTATTTAAAAAGAATAAAAATTAAAAAACTATTATTTCTGATTTTTTTTTCTAAAATCACATAGGAGACCCAAGAAGTGTATTTGCTCATCAAGATCTAATTAGAATGTTTGTTGATACTGTACCTTGGATGAAGTGGTGGCAAGAAGACTGGCTTGTGTGGTGACTTCTGTCTGTTCTGTGGTTTATCAGGAGGTTTATCCTTATAAAATGCTGATTGGCAATGCCAAGTCACCGGGACCAATTTTCTGTTTTATAATATCTAAGTTTAGAACAGAACATACACCTGAACTGTAGTGGTTTGATTGCATAGAGGCAGAAAACCCAGTTTTTATTCTCATAAATCTTGTGGTTATTTATATAAGGGCTGTGCTATACTACCATATTCTGATTCAATAATGATAGGGGTTTTGTTAGGTTTGGGTTTTTTTTGGGTTTTTTTGTTTTTTTACATTGTTAAATGTTCTTAACCCCTAAGGTCAATGTTAAGTACAACATTCTGAATTTGATTACAAAGAGTATTTGTCTTCTAATTGAAGAGTTAGCTCAGTGGTTGACGCTTGTGCTAATAATGCAGTTTCCCAATTACTGTTACAAGTTACTGTTACATATGGGAAGGACTCAGTGAACCAGCAAAGGCCTTGGAAACAATTTATTGATTTATGGCAGAAGGACCTAAATAAACTGTGAACCACATTTTATTTCTTTATATTGTTACATTCAACTGTTCTTGCTTTCAGTGACTCACATAAATACTTGGAGCTTATCTCTCTCTCTCTCTTTCTCTCTCTCTGTGTGTGTGTGTGTGTGTGTGTGTGTGTGTGTGTGTGTTACTCCTTATCATCATTCCATTATAGATCCACACCAAGGAGGGAAGATAATTAGAAGTCATATTTTGCTTCTGAGCTTTATCATGTTACCTTTCTGATTAGAGTATCATGTTATTTAGCCAATGCAAATGTGTTTCACCAAGACTCCCTAGAATAGGTTTTTAAAAGGGCTTTGTTTATTATAGAAGCAGTATTAATGACAGGCCTACTTCTTTCCATCCTTTGATTCTTCCATTCTCTGTTGCTTTTGTTGTTGTTGTTATATGTTCTATAGTTTGGGATGTCATTATAGTCCATTTTTTTGCCCATCAGAACCTCAGATAATCTACTTTGGAAAAATAGTGTCAAAGGAAATAAGGAAAAAGTTATATCTATATTTTTCTAGAATGGGCATAATAATTCCTTTTGACCTTTTTTTATTGTTTTTTGTTTGGCTTTTGGATTTTTTTCTGTTTTGGGGGCAAAGGGGTTGTTTGTTATTTTATTTTACTTTTGAAATGGGGTCTCACTGTGTTGCTGAGGCTAGCCTTGAACTCCTGGAAATTAAGTAGTTCTCTGGCCTCAGCCTCCCAGATAGCTGGATCTATAGGCATGGACCACTGTACCTAGCCCTTTTGACTTTTTAAGCCATTATAAATGCTTGTTTTGGATAAGTTAAATCTGTCAGATATATCAACAAATAAGGACCACAATAAAATGACTTAAATTCAACATAGTTATAAATATTCACTATGAGTAATCTGAGAATTTTTCATTTTTCTGTACAAAGTTTGTTATCTTATTTCTTAATTGATTTTTTAATTATTTGAAAATTATATGAGATCTGTTAGCTTATATCTGCATGCCTTCAGTAATTTTGAGGGACTCAATGAACGAGAAAGACTGTAATTCAGCAGGTATATTAGAAAAATAACACATGGCTTGGAGTGTGGCTTAGTGGTTGAGCACTTGCCTACCATGTTCAGGGGACTGAATTTGATCCCCACAGCACCCCCAACAAAGAACGAAAGAGAATTCAGAATATTTACCCTAATAAGTGGATTAGTAGAATCTTATATTTTAGAAAGTAATTTTCCTTTCTGCTTGATTTTTGTCATGAGAGCAAGTTGTGACGTAATGTAGTAGTAGTGCTCATAATGTAATAAATATCAGAATAATAGCTACAATATTATTCGTGAAATGTCCTAGTGCTCTAATTACTTTTTCAGGCTATTTTCATGCCATTCTAAGCCTCACTTATTAGTAAAATTGTCTTTTTATCCCACTTGCTCTTTCAGGAAATTTTTACATTACTATTTTATGCCTGTATTAAATATTTATAGAAAAGTGCCTTTTTTACTATGATAGTGCCCCTTAAAATTACAGTTTTCACTGTTGCCAAAAACATGTAAAAAACTGGTTTTACTAGGTCCCAACTTTCAGTATTTTCATTTAGCTATTCTTCATTTCCATAGAAAACAATTTTGTAAGTTCTTTTGACTGAAGAGTAACAAAAGAAGATGCATTGCAGGAATTGGTTCTTTGAGGAGAGTTAAGTAAAAGATTACAGAACTATACTGTTTGTCTTACATAAATCAGTTATTAAGTCTGACTTCATGTCATTTACCTGACTATTAATATTTTGCTGTCTGTGAAATTCCATGCACACAAATGTGCATTGTTAAATTGGGGGAACTATTTAAAACATCTTTGCTGGTCTTAATTAGATAATGAAAATAAATCACTAAGACATAGATTAAGTAATGCTTGGTAATGTCAACTTTTCTAGCTAAACAGGGCAAAGTAGTTCATTATAAGCATACTTCTTGCCCATCAGAACATCACTTAATTTGCCTAGAAAAACTAGTGTCAAAAGAAATGAGGATTAAGTTACTGAGTCTTCAGACCAAAAATAATTTCTTGCTACCAAATATAATTGAATTGAGTGTCCTTCTGGTTTTATTAATTCTGCTTCAATTCTAGCTCCTTAAAACAGTGGTGGTGCTTGAAGAAAACCACACATCCATAGCAGATCAAGGACCTTTGAGATAGAGCTGCTTTCCCATGCAAGTAGTTTTGTGACTGTTAGTGGCACTGAAAACTGCAAACCTTTATGCAATATTCTTAATGCCCTATTGACATTATGCACTTTAATCATTCCAAAGAAACCAAGAATGCTACATAGTGATGATTCCTTCTTAATGAACACATCTTAACTATTTACAAAAATGTATCCATTTTTGGTTTTGGTAGCTGACTTGGTATGTGTTATTGTTATGATATATTTATATCTGAGATAGTAAATAAGATGGCTTGGTATGAGGGTTAAGTGGCTGTTTTCTAAAGGATTAAGACCTTGAAATATTATTAAATACAAGGGGAAATTATTACACTTTAGCAAATTATTTTAAAAACATTAAAATGTTCAACTTGCTAATCTGTATGTTTGAGAATTAGTTAAAACTAACCCCATATCTGTGTATTTTGTGTCATGTTTTACACAGTTATATTAACATTATAGTATACAGTTTTCTACTAGTATATGTAAACCAGTGGTTCTCTGAGTATGGTCCTTATCCCACCAGCTAGCATCAGCATCACCTGGAAGCTAGTTTAGATATGCACATTCTTGGGCCTTGTCCCAGACATACTGAATCAGAAACTCTGGAATGGGTCTGAGCATTGTGTTTTAACAAACCCTCAAGATGATTCTGATGCACACTAAAGTTTAAGGACCACTGGTATAAACTATATCCAGTGAGAGCATGAAAGTTTCTTTTCCCACTTACAGAGATACTGTAATACATTATTCTTTGTGTAAATTCAGTTTAATCTGATTGTCTTTAATCATGTGTTGGCAATGATAATTTATTCTCAGTACTGCCTAAAAATACTTTATGTATGTATTCAATTAGTCTAGTTAATGATAATTCAGTTAACTTAGTTTGGCATTTTCTTGCCACTTACTAAAAAGTTTACATTAAATGGCTGATTTAAATATATAGGTGCAGTGTTCTGCATTTCTTTTTAATTGTTGTAACAGTAAGTCGCTAATTGATGGGTGCTAAAGTCTCCTGTTTATCTATCAAATGGGTACACTCTAGGCAATGTAATACAAGCTTTCTCTCCATTGCCTCTTACTTTACCAGCAGACCACAAATTTGCTCTGGCTAGACCAGCTCTCAGAACAAAATTATCATTCCTTATAATTATATTTATATCTGAGATAGTAAATAAGATGGCTGCCAGGCCAATATAGCACCTTATTTAATTTCTTCTTTTAAAAGATGAAATTGCTTTAAAAGTAGCTTGCTTGGTATAAGAATGTTGTAGTAGAGATATACTTCAGGTAAGAGCTATTTACTAAAATAAATATTAGACAATATAATGCACTATACAATTTGGGTATCTCTCTTCTCAGTTGCATGCATTATAACTATATGCTAGCCACAAGTAGATTTGTTCATTTTTATTTCCTAGTATAATTCAGCACCTCCATAGTCCATAATTTTCCACTACTTACAAATCACTAACTAGTTAACATGAACAAAAAATTTACTTGTCAGAATAAAAGTAAATATGTACTCACTTTCTAAAAATCACCACTGCTGTCTTTCCTTAATACTAGCAGTGGAAGTGTAAGTGGCTTACTCTACAAACTATGGTGCTGGCAAATACATAGGCAAACTGTCGAGAGATGCTGTAGTTACATTCCTCTTTTCTTACTCCCTTTCCCCACTTTATTGCATAGTATTTTTCTGTGCCCAAAGCATTCTGCCACAATTCTAGTCAACCCCAGTTTTTAATACCTCCTCTTAAAATCCTATTTAACCATATCACTGCTACTTGCTCACATTATTTCACATATATATCACACGTAATGCTTCATATTGATTCATTCCCCCCACTCCAGAAGTCATTTGCGTGGTTTGTAGGGATTTATTGTCGTCATCATCATTTTATCTAATGAACCTCAGGACAACACACACACACACACACACACACACACACACGAGCTCAGATATTTGAGTGGGTTTGGAATTAGACTTTTGTGTCCAATAAAGAACTATTGCAGCGAAGTTAGACTGATTCCGATGAACTTAATGCTTATTTCTTCTCATCTAATGAATGTATCTGTTCACCTTGTTCTCTTCTAATGATAAGCTCCAAGTGATTACTACTTTTTTTGGCAACTTTAATGAGTTTCATTCGCTTCTCTAGAGTTTTAATGAGTATAGTACAGATATTTCATTAACCTGTTCTCAAGTGGTTTAGTTACCATTCTGCCATTTAAATTTTTTATTTAATTTGATTTGCTCGAGCACACTGATCAACCACTGAACTGCCTTCTTCCATTGTCCTGCAATGATATAAGAGTTACATTTTTGTGTATATGGCTTTCATAGTTGGGATTTCAGAGCACTGACACCAGATATTTTCAGTTTATTCTCTGGGGGAATATCATTTGCATCTATGTTTTTAGCTATCTGTGATAACTTGTTAAATATTAAAAAGATATTTTGCTTCTATTGGAACATTTGTATACTCGCAACTATATTTCTGTAAACAGCTGCAGTCAAAAATAAAACATTGAAAGTTTTCATTTTGTGTTGGCAGCAGTCTTTTTTCCTCAAAGCTTTTTTTGGTGTATGGTTGTTGGTTTTCAGCAACATAAGTGTGGGGCTGAAATTACAAAATCATTAGGGAAGAGATATAAAATATAGAAATTTCTCATGCAGAAAACAAGTGATGATATGTTTTGCCAAGCAGAGTAAAATGACAGCCTTTTCTTGTTTTATGTTTAGTTTGTTTTTTGTTTAGTAAAGCAATACTTACATATAGAGGTACTTTTGATGAAAACTAAGTCTTACCCCTTAGTTCCACACTCAGATTTTGGTAATTATTTCCACACATGTAAATTAGTGTTTACCAGAATGTGGTTGGTACAACCACTAGTGGTACTCAAAATGATTTCAAGCAATACATGGATAAACATTTTAAACATTTCTAAACGTTTCAGTACGTGTTATAATGGGCTGGGAACATGACTTGGTGGTGGAGGACTTGCTTAGCATGCTCAAGGCCCAGTATTCTCTCCCCAGTGCAAATGAATGAATGAATGAATGAAAATTTGTGTCCACCAACCATACAGTGGGGGGAAAAGTGAGTAAAATTAAAAGAAAAACATTAAATAGTAATACAGATGGTACAAAAATATCATGAATGTAGTATATAAATAATCTTAAGAGATACTGTTTTAGATAGTATACTTATGCCTTCTTACCAAATTTAGACAGTATAAATATAAAATTATGTACTTTGGTCTCCCAGAAGCCCCATATGTAGGCAAAACATTGATCTGAGAATGGGACTACAATGGGATGTGCTGCCAGAAATACTGATGTAATGTCAGGTTGCATAATGTTAAGTACAGAGTCCAGAATAAGGAAGGTACTTGTCCAGTTTTACTTAAAGCTGGAAGAGCCTTACTCTAAACCAGGTGTGGTAATGCATATCTGTAATCCCAGGCTGATGCAGAAGGCTCATGAGTTTGAGACAAGTCTAGGCTACTTTGCAAAACTTGTCTTATAAAGGGAGCCCTATTATGTTAACTTGTAAGATTCTCAGCAGCCATATAAAACTAGAAGAGAACTGAAATGTCCCTGCCCAGGACAGAACAGGAACTCTGGAAATGAGCAAGTACAGTTTCTCAACAGCAAGAGGTACTAGGCAGGCACAAACGGCTTGCACCTGTAATCCTTGTTACTTGGGAGTCTGCGGTCAGGAGGATAGCAGTTCAACCCAGCCCAGGCAAGTAGTAGGCAAGACCCCATCTCCAAAACAACTAGAACAAAATGGACTGGAGGTGTGGCTCAAGCCTGCTAGAGCACCTGCCTTGCAAGCGCAAAGCCATGCGTTCAAACCCTAGTCCCACAAAAAAAAAAAAGGAAAAGAGGTACTGATTAATGATTGGTATTTTTGTGCTGTAGTTCATGATGCTAGCATCTCTTTTGCTACTGAGGCAATGAATACAGTCTATAATGACATGGACTTTTGAATTTGTTACTCCTGTGGAACACTGACTGCTACACGTTTCTGTGTAACCTCCGTGAATTCTTCAGTTTCCTTTTTTATAAAGTGGAAACAATAATAGAACCGTTCTTGTAGGGTTGTCACAGACTTAAGAGGATTACTACACGTAAGGTAACTTAGTTCCTGGCACAGAGTAAACACCACACAAGTGTTACCTTGTACTAGTATTATTAGTCCTGATACTACTCTCCTGTCTCTTGTGCACAAGATACCATTTCCTTCTGCTTTATTGAAGGATATATCTTTTTTCCCTTTAATTCTCCACTTAGTCATCCCATTGGTATGTATATTTTGCTGTAAGGTCTCTTATCTCTTAAAAGATAAATTACTTTCTTTGATCACATCTAAATTATTTCCACTTTCTTTCCTTCCATTCTCTCTTGAACCTATTCCAGTTATGCGTCTGTCACACCATTCTGCTGAAATTGCTGTTGTCAAAAATCACCAAGGAGGGCTGGATAGCTTAGTGGTAGAGTGATTGCCTACCATGCAGAAAGCCCTGGGTTCAATCCATAGCACTACAGATCACAAGTTTGAGGCCAGCTTGGACTACATAGCGAGTTCAAGGCCAACCTAGGATACATGGTGAGAAAAAAAATCACCAAGGAATGGCCAAGTCCACTCATCTTTCCTAAGGTCTCATCTTTCTTGGCTTGTTAGCAATACCTGACACACTTGTTCATTCCCTCCTTAGTGCACTTCCTTCACTTGACTTTCTAGGTACCTGTTGACTCTCCTGTTTTTTTTCTTCTGTGGTACTGGAGTTTGAACTCAGGGCTTCACACTTGGTAGGCAGGCACTTTACTACTTGAGCCATGCCACCAATGCTAGCCACTCTTTTTCACTCTCCCCTGACCTAACATTGTAGAGCCCTAGAAATCATCAGATCTCTATCATAACTCAATCCCTAGGTGATTTCACAATTTCATTATTTTAAATTTCCACTTCTGAGTTGAAGTTCTCCAAATGTGAATCTTTGGCCATAACTTGTCCCTGAACTCCAGGGTCTTGGTATCCTGCTGCTTACTTGTCAGTTTAACCCAGCCAACTTAATAGAAATCTCAATCATAATGTTAGGAGCCAAATTTGGATCACACTATCTATTCTTGCTCCAAATGCTCTTTCCAGGTTATTAACACAAATGGAATCTCTATTCTACTCATTGTCACAGCCAAAATACCTTTTGAGGTTTTTTTTTTTTTAACTTGACCTAGACAATCCACCATCAAATCCTGTTACCCCAACCTTTGAACTATACCCAGAATCTATCTACTGCTCAACACATCTTAGCTATTCACCCTTTTCCAAAGCATTGGCAGACTGTCTCCCTGCTTCCATGCTTGACCCTTATGCCTGATCCCTCACTTACCAACCAGAATTACTCTTTTCAATATAAGTCTTAGCACATCTCTGCTCAAAACCCTCCAGGGGAACCAGGCATGGTGGCACACATCTATGCTCCCAGCACTTAGGAGTCTAAGGCAAGAGGAGGGTCACAAATTCAAGACCAACCTGGTTTCCATAGCCAGGTCCTGTCTCAAACAAAACAAAACAAGAACCCTCCAGGGGCTTCCTAGCCTTAATTCTTACAATGCTTGTAAGGCCCCAGTGCTCTGATCCCAGCTAGTATACCACCTGTCAATCCTACTTCTGGGATTGCACTGAACATACCTCCTGCCTGGAGTGCTCATTTCTCATTATCACTTTGTCAGATCTTTATTAACTGTGGTCTTGGGAGGTCCTTCTTGATCATCCGTTATAAAACAAAACTCCCTCTTCTTTCTAGGATTTTTAACCAACTGATTTGTTTGTTCACTTAACTACCATTCTTCACAAGAGTGAGTACACTGTTGAGTTCCTAGTGCTTAAGAGTGCAGGCCTATTGATTAAGTCAGAGTAAATATTTCCCCAAAGCATTCATTTACAGCATTTCTCTTTCTTGATTTATGCACCATTCTCTTTCCTGAAGCTCTTTTAAACTTCTTTGAAATACCCTGAGAGGATCTGATACATTCTTCCATGACCATTCAGTGTGAAACAGCCCTGCTGGGCAAGTTATGACCATAATTTGTTACTGAATCCTCCGATCCTGTCTTCCAGTAGATTCCACTCTTGCCTGAATGTGTCTATCATTCGCTTCACTGATACCAGTAAGGATGGATTTGTTTTGCAAAACTGAATTTTACTTCTTTAATTTAGAACTTTTAAAATTTACACAAAAGTTAAGATGAAGGCAACACAAAACGTTTTCAGACTGAAATATCTAGCCGTCTGCTATTAAGGATACTATTGAGGGGGAAAACATCCAGTACTAGTTGGCATCTGGTGTACAAAAAAGTCCCGCCCAACCTGTGCCATCATTCCTTGGCAGGTTTCCCGTTTTCAGGCCACTAGGCTTGGCATCCCTCCTGCTATTTTCTTGTAATACACAAGAGGGCAGTCTTTCATCATCTTCTTCTTGAATTATAGCAACAGCGGAAAAGAGATGCAGTTCAATAATTTACATTCAAGGGCTGGAAGTGTCCATCGAGCGCAAGACCCTGAGTTCAAACCCCAGTACTGCCAAAAATAATAATTAAACTGGAAATTAGGATATTACGCCAAAATTAGGCTGGGATGCAGCTCAGTGGTAGAGGGCTTAGGTACCATCCAAGAGGGCCTAGCATCTCAAGACCCTGAGTTTGAGCTCCAACACCAAAACACAAACAAACAAAAAACTATGCCAAAATTGTTCATTAAGCCAGGTGCCAGTGGCTCACACCTGTAGTCCTACCTACTTGAGGGGCTGAAATCAGAAGGAGCTCAGTTCCAGGAGAGCACAGGCAAATAGTTGGTGAGAACCCCCTCCCCCCCATCTCCAAAATAACCAAAGCAAAATGGTCTGGAGGTGTGGCTCAAGCAGTAGAGGGCCTGCTTTGCAAGTAGGAAGCCCTGAGTTCAAACCCAGCCCCATCAAAAAAGTAAGTCATCAGTTTAGCAATGTTACAGAAACAACCTTCCAGAAATTTGTATAGATCAGATATATTCTTTGTGGAAAGCTACTGTTTTTGTTTTTGTTTTTTTTTAGCTACCGTTTTGAAGTATTGAAGGTACGATTTCCTTTCTTGAACTCACTTGGTATAGCAGATACAGAGTGTAGGTGTGTTGAGTTTTTTCTGCAAACATTAAATTAGAAGACTGAGGTAAGAAGAGACTCTTATTATCTGTTCATTTCACAGTATATGTGTGTACAGCATGCAAAGAGAGTTGAAGGAAGAGAATACTCATGTGAGGGATATTAGTCAATTGTGTAGTAATTGAAGCCAATATATACCATAACCAAGAATTAGATTGCTAACTACTAAACAAGTTAAGTCCCTTAGGCTACATAAATTCAGTCATTATTTTCTCTAAACAATTCCCTTCTGTCATAAACCACAAAGAGGAAATTAAAATAAACTGTTGGGGAGCTAGATGCTGTCTAGCCAGAGTTAGCCCTAAAAAGAATTAAATTGTATAGCTGACCATAAAGAATATTGTTTTCTATCATTTTTCTCCACCTCTCCCTGCTTTCCATGCCAACTGGCCTCTGATGCCTAGCAATAACAATCCTAAGAATCACCTACACTTAGTAATAAAACTATATAAAATGTTATGAATATAGCCTGCTCCCCTTCCTATTCATTCCTTATGGACAAAAAGAGAAGCCCAAATTTTGAACACTAAAGGAAGTCATGGAAGTTGAAAAAAGATACTTAGATTTGACTACATGTTAGAAAAAAAATAAGTCATATGAGTCTTATTTTCTGGCTTTGATCTGGTTGTCAACTGGAATGGACTTGCCCAAGTGATGGCCTACAGAAAGCCCAATTTTCTTTTTTTCCTCCTCCTCCTGTATTTCTTTTTTCATTAAGAATCCTGCATGGAAGTCTAGGTTAAAGAGGCTGCTTGGAGCAAAATACAGTGGAGTCTCATCCCAGATATTCTCCAGGCGTCTCTTCCACCCTTCCAGAATCTGAATGCGGGCATCCACTGGGAGATGCCCAATGCCATAGGTCAGCTGAGGCTCTAAGACCTGGAAGCCACAGAAATGCAGAGTGCCACTCTGGGGAGACACAAAACACAAAGGTAAGTCACAGGACCAATCTTGTCCCTCATACTGCAAACACACACCAAAAGAGTTCTGAGCTTCCCAATGAGAGTCCAGGCAGGAGACCTGAGGTACCCTGGGGAATCCATTCACAGCTACATTCTCTTGCTTTTTGTCCTCCCTTCCTCACTGCTGTTTTAGCCTATCAGCTGTGCTCTTCTTTAAATGAATGAAACCTTGAAAGTGTGCCAACCTGGGTCCTTTGCCAAAAGAGCTGAATGAAGTTCTATTACGTTAGGGAGAGCGTCTTGGTAGCTGACTCTTGCCAAGGCAAGCAGCTGCGCATTTCTCTGCCTATCCACATAACAAGATCAGTCTTAACAAATGATTCTTCCAGTAGCCATTTCACTCGCCCTCCTCTCCAACCCCCTTCCTTACAGGAGATTATTTTAAAGCTGGGCACGATGGTACATGCATGTAATCCCAGCTGCTGGGGACGGTGGAGGTAGAAGGATTATGGTCCAAAGCCAGCTCCAGGCAAAAAATGTGAACCCCAAATGAGCTCCAGGCACTATTGGCTTCCAAGAAATGTTTCCTTTGTCCTTTAAAGACTTATCCCTAAATCAGGTTATACAAACCAAAGTGCTGTATCATTCAATACATAAGTCTAAATTTTCCTGAGCTGGTTCCTTCTTGTGTGAAACTTGAAAAGTGTTTATTTACTTATTTATTTATTTGGTGGTAGTGGGGTTTGAACTCAGGGCCTCACACGTGCTAGGCAGGTGCTCTACTACTTGGTCCACTCTGCTAGTCTTAAAACTTGAAAACTTCTTGAAACATGTTCAAGGCCAAGCCTTCACTTAGTGCGAATTGTCAAACATCTATTTCAAATTCCTGTCTGGCATGGGATCGGAGTAGGGTAGTGTGTTCCACACGTGTGGTTACTTCACAGTTCCTACCGCACAAAGTGAGGTCATAGGATTCCCCATAGACACTTGTTCCAGGGTCAAGGGAATTTTATCTGATAAAAACCAGAGCTTAAACAATGAACTTGCAATGAAAAAACAAAGCAAAATGAAACTACAACAGCAAAAAACCAAAAACAAAAACAAAAAACAACCCACACAAGACCCTTTCCAAAAAATAACTGAAGTGAAAAGGACTTGAATGGGTTGGAGGTGTGACTCAAGCAGTAGAGCACCTGCCTAGCAAGCACAAAGCCCTGAGTTCAAACCCTGGAAATAACAAGAAAAAAAAAAAAAAAGATTGAGAGTCCAGTGGCCCCCAAAAGCCCACCTCAGACATCAGTTTTTATTCATCTCTAAAAATGGCTATTTGAAATCATTTCTCAAATTGTCCTGGGCTCTCATGATCTGTGACACTATGGCAGCAGCTTGGAGGAGGCCAGAAAGATTGGAGAGCAATGTGAGTCATCTGGAGAGAACCAGGGCCCCAAGCTACAGAAATTGAGGGCCATGTGCACTAGTGCTTGGCTAGGAGAGAATGATGTTTGGCTAAGTGCACAGGGTGTGTGCGATAAACACATGAGCCTAGGAAATCAGGCAAGTTCCTGAAGGAAACTCCTGGTACCTCGGAGTCATTGCTGTGCTTTCATCTTCACACCTCCCATCTGTTTTCAGCTGCTGTCTGGAGGTTCTGCACTCCGTGAAAAGCTCAATTAATGAATTCCCCTGAGAATGAGGTACCTGAATTGGCCAGAGATTAATGTTCATGTCCCCATGGACACCCTGGACAGAGTACATGGAGCTGCTGCTGCCAGTGGTGATGGAAAGCATGGCCTTCTTGTTCTGTGAAAGAGAAAACAAGCCTCATTGCTTCACCCTCCCCTTGGTCACAGCAAGTTAATGAAACAGCCTCAGCGAAAGGTACACATAAGTCCACCCCATTGGTTGTTTCTGTTTTTTCATACTTGGGAGCCACATAGCATGACTCTGCAGAAGATCTAGCCTAGCTGGCTCACATACAGGCCAAGGAGCTACAGGTGGTCAGCAGGTGAAAATGATCCCAGGAACTAGAGTCCTGTGGCGGCCGCCAGCTTCCTCAGTACAGTTACTTATTTAACCTATCTCCCTATGGTGCTAGGCTTGGAGGAGGTAAAGACCTTTTACACAACAGGTTGCAAAACACTTCTTATGCAGCATTTGGGTCTCCAAAACACAAAGACTTTTTAAAATTTTTTATTACGGAAATTTTCAAACATTCATAAAGATGAGAAAACAGTTCAATGATGTATTTAGCATCCAGCTTCAACTTTCAATACTTTGCCATTCTAGTTTTATCTCATCCCTTCATCCCCACTTCCCTTTTTTCTGTAATATTTTAAAACAACTCCCAAACATTGTGTCATTTCGTCTATAAAAATATTGTCATGCATTCTTCCCAAAGGACCTGGAGCCTCGTCTTAGTGACTGGTTGTACTCAAAGCTCTGCCTCAGGACAGAATCTACCAGACTCCAGCTTTTAGGAAACTCAGACCTGCTCACCTACCCGGAAAGGGCCGTTGTCATACATGGTAGCGTAGGTGTAAGCAAACTCCCCGTGAACACTCGTTCAAACCAGCCCTTCAGAATGGCAGGGACTCCGAACCATTGCAGTGGGAACTGCAGGATAAAAGCCATCCAAGAGTTTAGATCAGGGATCCCACCCCCAACCCCATTACCAGTGCTCAAGCTGCCCATGCTGTTACCACGGGGACACCTTTCGTCAGGCTTTGTCATTCCCCTTGAGGAGTCAGCACATTAAGAAAAAAGAAAAAAAAAGAAAAGTGAAAAAAGGACTGGATGTATGGCTCAACTGGTACAGTGCCTGCTTTGCAAACATGAAGACCTGAATTCAAACCTGTCTCTCATCAAAAAAAGTGAAAAAAGTTTGTTTTGAGAAAAGTGAAAATTAAAAAAAAAAAAAAGATTAATCTGCGCTGGGGGCATGGCTCAAGTAGTAGAGACATACCTAGCAAGTGCGAGATCCTGAGTTCAAATCCCAGTACTGCCAAAAAACCAAAAAGGTGGTACCCCACTCTTACAGTCCCAGCTACTCAAGGAGGCTGAGAAGAGAGGCTAGTTTGAAATCAGGAGTTTGAGGCCAACTTGGGTAACATGGTGAGCCTCCATTGCAAAAAAAAAGAAAAGAAGAGCTGGGCAAGGTCAGGCATGCTTGCTTGAGATCAGCCTGGGCTACACATACATAGTGAGATCCTGTCTTAAAGATCAAAACAGGGAAGGCATGGCTCAAGTAGTAGAGTGCTTACCTAGCAAATGGCAAAGCCTTGAGTTCAAACCCCTGGAGGTTATGAACTGAAGCACTCTTCCTCAGGATCCTTTCTTTTCATATTGAAAAATGACCATGACTTTTCTAGAATAAGACTTTTCCTGTCATCTGTCATAATAAATATACAAATCTGCAGTGTTTACATTGTCCTTAGATGTGATGTTATTTGGCAATGCACAACCTGTACAGTTGTACTGATAGTGAAAAAACTTACAATCAGATAGAAGCTAAATGTAGAGACCACTAGGTCCATCCCAATTCTAAAATACAGTGATTCTGAGACAAGCTCTGAAAGCTACCCCTCTTGCTGCCTTGGCTGCACTATAGCAGGAAACATGGATCAAGAAGGCATTCTGTGTAGCTCAGTGGTAGAGTACTCACCTAGCATGCATGATGCCCTGGGTTTCATCCCAGCACCACACAAAAATAAATAAATAAGGCATCCTGTGGGGAAAGGGCTAACATTGCGGCATCAATGCATCAGTTCATAGCCATAGGCCTGGGGAGAGGAGAAAGGATTGGATACTTTGCAGTAGTTGCAAAAACTACAGCCTGTACCACTTCCTTGGGAAGTTTCCAGGGCCATACATACTCCACGTTCCACATCTAAAAGCTGGCGGGAATGGTAAGAGCAAAGTCATTGAGTACAGCCTAGCATTTAGACAAGATGACCCACAAGATGCACACACAGTCCCAGGATTTTCTGCTAAACGATGAGCCAGTTTTGGCTTTGGGAAGAAGAAAGACCATGGTGTGCTGCTGGAACACACCAGCAGGGCCAGCCCCCTCAGCAGGGAAACTACACCAGGAGAAAGTCAGGATTCTCATGGAAAGAGGGGGAGAAGTGCAAAACTTGAAAGAGTCCACCTGGAATCAATAAATGGAAGGTTAGACACATTGAGGGAAAAGCTGAAGGCTTAACTATCATCTTTGGAGTCACGGTCCTATAAACAAATAGTAGTATGATCCCAGCACTTAGGAGGTGGAGGAAGGAGGATCACAAGTTTTGGGCCAGCCAGGGATACATAGTGGCCCTGTCTCAGAAAACAAACCAAACAAAATAAATGAGTACTACAGCCAGAATGCAGCTAGTGCATAGGTACCCATGCTAGGTTCCCACAGGCAACAGATCTAGGACAGGAAGAACTCAGGAGTCCTGGACAGTCTTTCTGATGTCCAGTCCCTACCATACCTGAAATATCACAAGGTCTGCAGCTTCCAGCTTCTTTTGTTCAGCCACAATATCAGGGCTCAGGCGGCCTTCCTTATAAGCTAGAGAAGTCTCAGCAGAATACTGAAATCTCTCAGGGTCCTTCAGCTGACCTGCCAGGAGGAAAGAGGCTGAAGCCAGAGGGGCCACAGAGCCCCCCACAAGGAGTTCCACAAAGAACTGATTAAAAGGGGAGGGGCAGCTCCTACCTGTGATGTCTTTTCTGGAAATAATAGCATTGAAGTTCATGGCGTAGAGGTCGGACTCGGCCACCTCCCATCCTTGCTTCTTTAGGACACTTACAGCAGCCTCCTTCATGGCGTAGTTGAAGGACGTCCTCTCTGGGTGTGCCAGCACAATCAGAGCTTTCTTGGCTGTTTCGAAGCACAAAAGATACTGAGAAAATCCACTGCGGGGTAATTGGAAATGCTTGGAACCACATGTGTTTCAGATTTGGGGCATATTGGTTGAAACTATATCAGTTAAGCATCCCTAATCCAAAAATAGGAAATTCGAAGTGCTCCAAAAAATCCAAAACTTTTTTTTTTGTGGAGTGGGGAGAGGCAGTACTTCGGCTTCAACCCAGGGCTCAGGCTTGTGAGGTTAGCACTCTACTCCTTGAGCCACACCTTTGCCCTGGTTATTCTGGAGGTAGGGTCTTGTTTTTTGCCCAGGTTTGCCTGGACAAACTTCAGGGAAACCTGGGAAAACTTCACATTGTAGCTAGGATGACAAACAGGTGCCATGGCACTCAGCTTTTTTCTGTTGAGATGGGGTCTTACGAAATTTTTTTTGCCCAAGCTGGCCTGGAACCATCATTCTCCCAATCTCAGCCTCCCACATAGCTAGGATGACAGGCATGTGCCACCACATTTGGTTGAGAAGGGGGTTTCAAGAACTTTTTGCCCCAACTGGCCTCCTGATTTCAGCCTCCCCAGTAGCTAGGATTATAGGTATGAGCCACCGGTGCCTGGCCAAAATTCAAAACTTTTTGAGCACTATGTTAACACTCAGAGAGACTCAGATTTTGTGGTGCACATCTGTAATCCCAGCAATTGGAAGGCTGAAGCAGGAGGAATTTGAGTTCAAGGCCAGTCTGGGCTACATAGTTACCGTGTCTCAAAATTAAGTTTCAGATTTGGAGCATTTTTTCCTTTGATTCTCTTTTGATTAGGGATGCTCCACCTGTACCAACCACCAAGGCTTCACCTACAGGGGAATTAGGGACTGTAAAGGAAGAAGTGACTTTTTAGTAATTAGGTTATTGAAATCCATCTGTCTTAAACCCACTTACTATTGCTATAACTGAATGCCATAGACTGGGTAATTATAAGAAAGAAAGGTTTATTCAGCCCAGTCCTAGAGGGCAGGAGGTTTACAGCTGCATCTGGTGAAGACCTTCTTGCTGATGGGATCCCAAATGAGTCCTGAAGCGGGGCAACATATGGCAGGAGGGGTGAATGCAAGACAGAGCCAAACTGGCTTTTACAACAGATTCACTCAAACAACCCACTAATCCATTAATTCCTTTGATGGTTTACAGCATCGATAAGGGCAGAGCTCTTGTGACCCAATCATTTCTTAAAGGTCCTACAGGGTCCCGCCTCTTAATACCTCACCCTGAGGACTGAATGTCAGTGTGAGCAAAGACATTCAAGTCATAGCACCATCCCTGCAGCCAAAACTAAAAGCAGCAGTGAATGCGACTGGGGCACAGCTTAGTTGTAGAGTGTGTGCTGTGTGTGCTTGAGGCCCTGGGCTCATTCCTGTTACGGGGAGTCAGAGGCTCGTGTACTGAACGTTTGGTCATGAGCTGGAGGTGCTACTTTGGGAGGTGGGGCCTAGCTGGAGGACATACATTTGAAGGTTATACCTGGTCTCTGTTTCTCTTCTCTCTGCTTCCTGTCCTCTGTGAAGTGAAATATCTACTCCACCAAACTCCCACAACCATGATGCTCTGCCTAAGTTCATGTGGCTGAGCAACCATGGGCTGAACCCGCTGAAATCGGGAGCAAAATATCTTCTCCCTTTAAGTTGTTCTCTCAGGTATTTTGACCACAGCTTCACAAAAGTAACAAATACCAACTTTGAAACAGACAGACAAACAGACACACACACACACACATACATACGCACAGAGAGAGAGAGAGAGAGAGAGAGACAGAGAGACAGAGAGACAGAGAATAAGAAGGTATTGTGATTCAATGAGAAATCAGTGGCTGATTTAAGAAATGTTGGCAGGGCTGGTGGAATGGCTCAGGTGGTAAGACCGCCTGCCCAGCCAAGTGTGAGACCATGAGTTCAAATCCTAGTACCACCAAAAAAAAAATAAGAGAGAGAGAGAAATGTTGGCATATTCAGTTGGCCACCTGCATGAAAATAAAAATGAGGTGACTAGAGCAGGATGGCTCATTACTGGGACTAACACACTTATGAAGGAGGCTTTCTGCCAGCTTGCCCTTCCATTTTCCACCATGTGAGGACTCCATGTTGCTTGCCTCTGGAATATGCACTCTGGCCAAATGGCACCTTGACCTTGTATTTCTCAAATTCCAGAACCGTGAGAAATAAATTTCTGTTCATTATTAATTAGCCAGCCTCAGGTATTCTGTTACAGCAATAGAAAATACTAAGGTACAGCCCTGTCTCACAAATTAGATACAATTAGCATCACCACACAATAGATGAGAAAACAGGCCCAGAAAAGTTCTGCAAGTTACTCAGGGGTCCACTGTGAGTGAAGCTGAAATATTTAAAGATAAAGATACAGATAAACCCGGGTACCAATGTGCAGGCACATAGGGGAGTGACAGAGAAAGGAAGGTTACGACAGTTGTGCTGATAATTTGTGCCACTACTTCATGCCCTAGTAAGCAGGAACAGGAGTGGCAGGGCGGAGAGAGGAGAGTTAAGCACATGCAACCTTGCAGGCTATTTGAATAAGCAGACATGATTAAGACAACTAGAAAGGCTCACTGAAGTTAAGCCTTCCAGCCTGTTCCTGCTTTGACTAGGAACTACACCTGACATGGGAAGTGCCTCCTGGGTTGAGAGCAGAAAGTCAGGGTCCTGTATGCCAAATGTGAGGATTTCCAAGCTTGGGCCTGGGGTTAAAGACTCTTTAATCTAAGACTCAAAGGAATGAATTAGACAATGGTTTCAGTGCTATGGAAGTGAGTTATCTGTTCTGGACAGGCAGCCTGGGGAAAAAAAATCAACAAATTCTTACTCCCTTTCTTTCCACTTCATGGCCTTAAAGTCCTGGGAGGAATGTGACCGTATGAAGTGCCCACATGCATTTTCTTTCTGACTTACATCATCACAGCTTACCAAACACCACTTTGTCATTTTTTATTCCATTTAGTTACTTCCTATTTTGATATTAAGCATTTCCTGATAGTAAAGTTGTGAAGGCACTTCACAGAAAATAATCAAGTTGGTGGCAGCATGGCTCAAGTGGTAGAGCACCTGTTAAGCAAGTACAAAGTCCTGAGTTCAAACCCCAGTCCCACCAAAAAAAAAAAAGAAAAAAGAAAAGAATCAAGTCAGGTATCTATTTCTTGCTCTTTCTAAGAGATCACCTTAAAAAATTAAGATGAAAAAGGAAGGCTTGTAACTGTAATCCTAGCTACTTGGGAAGTTGAGATCAGGAGAATCAAAGTTCCAGGGCAACCTGGGCAACAATGGTTGTGAGACCTCATCTCACTGGAAAAAAGCTGGGCATGGTAGTTCATGCCTGTCATCCCAGCAATAGAGTGAAGCATAAAACAGAAGGATCATGGTTCAGGCTGGCCTGGGCAAAAATCAATACTCTATCTCCAAAATAAGCAGTTTAAAAGGGCTGGAGGTATGGCTCAAGCTGTAGAGTGCCTACCTAGCCAGTGTGAAGCCCCGAGTTAAAAAAAAAAAATTTAAAAAAGGAGCCAGACATGGAATACATGTAATCTCAGCACTCAGGAGGCAGAGGCAGGTGGATCATAAGTTTGAGGCCAGTCTGGGCTTCCCAGTGAGTTCGAGGCCATCCTAAGCTGCTTAGAAAGGGACATTCATTTGCAGTGAACAGAACAGTAGTGCTCATTTGCCATAGGTAAAGGGTGAATCAGAAGAAGATTTATTACCCCAAAACAATAATCCTGTGAGTAGTTTCTCTTTCCTTTTCCTTGAACAAAACAGTTTTTATTTTTGTTGTTGTTTTGTTTTCATTTTGAGGGTTCATTTCTCCTTCCTGCTACTTAACCAACTAGCAACATGACCTGGGACAAGTTAGACTTTCTTGGTATTTATTTACCCAACTACAAGGCACAATGGAGTGAGAGGAGAGTTAAAGGACAAAGTTCCACAAAGGAAAACTGTCATCTTCAGGGCTGGGGGATTCAGAAGGGCCTTCCTTCCCTGGCAGCTCCCAGGTGAGCAGAATTCTTCAACACAAAAGGGGCTCCTCTCAGAGCCCCTAGCTTACCATCATTTCTGCTTGTCATAGGTCTGTCTCACTGAAGCAAACACAACCAACACAACTCAGCATGGTTGGTGTTTGGTCTTAGTTTTGGTTATTTGGTGCTGGGACTTGAACCCAGGACCTCATAAATGTGCTCTCCTACTGAGTCACACCTCCAGCCCCTAGCACATCTTCGTTTATGGCCCCTTCTCCGTGCACTGCTGCACTGCCAAATTGCCCTGTGAAATATGCATGTTCATCCTCACTTTTCCATGAACCTGAAAGCCCTTGTTCCTTCCCTACCACTTGTCTTTTATTTCCACACCAGCTAGCTTCTCTTTACCCCCGAAATACAAAGCAGTTGCTCAGCCTCTCTATAATTGTTTACTGGGCACCTCGTATGCACCAGGCACTATTCTGGGCATCGTTTAGGCTCCTCATCACTGTGGAGCCTAAATTCTGGTGGCTGAAATTATCTGGACTGTCCCCTGGGAAATGACCTCTATTCTCTTCTGTTCCTCCAACATTCCTCTGCCTTCAACCTCAAGCCAATCCGAAACCTAGACTTTTTACAAACCTTCTATATTAAACTGTATTCTCTAAGCTGTGTGGCTTGACAAACCACAAACACAGTAGAACTTAATGACAAGAAAAGTGTCAGAACAAGAAAGAGATTGTGGCATTGTTTTTGTTAGGGTGTTGTTAGCAGATTTATTTTCCACGATTTTTTTGGCAGAAAGCGTAAGTAAACTAAGGAAAACCAACCAGAAATATAATAAAGATGAGTCTCATATCAGTCTGGGGCATCCTGGGCTGCTTTCCATTCTCATTTGAATCCCAAAAGGAACGTGTGAATAAGTCAGGCACATTTGTAATTTGCAAACAAATGCCCTAGATGTTCCATTCAACCTCAAAACTTAGTCAGCTGCATACAGCTAAAACTAGTTACACAAGATCCAAGTCCTTCATCTTTCCTCATGGTGTCTGTTAACACGTAAATACATAATATTCTGTAGGATTGGAAAATCAGAAAGTAGTTCTTGTCCTAATTGGAGAAGGTGCTGGTGCATCAGGGCAGCTGAAGAGAGAAGTACAGTAGTGGCACCTTATCCATGGTTTCACTATCCATGGTCTCAGTTACCTTTAGTCAACAGAGGTCAGAAAATACTAAATGGGAAATTCCAGGAATAATTAAATCATATTTTATATAACTTTAATTACAGTATAATTATTATATTAGTTATTAATCATACTGTGCCTAATTTATGAACTTTATCATAGATGTATAGGTATAGGACAAAACATAGTACATATAGGAGTTCCGTACTATCTGCAGCTTCAGAAATTCACTGGGGGCTTGAAATGCTTCCCCCCATGGACAAGGAGGGGGACTGCTACATAGAGGGAAAAGGCAGTTACAGTGCATGCAGGAAACCTCATCAGCTGTCAGAAACCCTTCCCTGCTATCTCTCCCAGCAATGCCAGGTGGATAGAGTTTAGCCAACAGCTCAGCCCTTTTCTTAGAAATTCTGACAACGGTAGACCCTCACCTGCAATAACAATCTTTTCCCTCCACGTGCTTTTAGCAAGATGAGATGTGTGTGTGTGTGTGTGTGTGTTCTGTGTGAAGGAAATCACACAAAGCTAGAGTCCTGCCCAGTTGAGGAAACGTCTACATTTTAGCGCTGTCCAGTCTGAGAGTGCTGCCCTGTGGGAAGAGCTTAGAGTCCCGGAGGTGTTGTAGCTGGCCAAGGATGTGCTAGAGGCCAATGAGGAATCAGACAGAACTGAGGCGACCCCTTAGGTCCCGGATTATGGCAGAGTGGGGAGGCTCTGTCACTAAAATGTGCAGAATACCATATTGGATTTGCTCAATCCAAGAGTCACAACTTCAGGCAGTCTGGACACTATCAAAGTAAAGGCAGCTGTCTCCTCAGCTCAAGGCCCCCAAATCTCCAGATCTTCCCACTTTTCCTCTAAAAGTTGGCCATTCACAGATTTTTCTTTTTTTGGGGGGTGGGACCGGGGTTTGAACTCAGGGCTTCGTGCTCTGCAGAGCAGGCGCTCTACCACTTGAGCCAAATCTCCAGTCCAACATTAACGTTTTTAAGTGAAATCGCCTAATTGCATTTCAGGTGTTAGCAACCTATTCCCAAATGTTTTAAGTATTACCAGGCCAAACGAGGTGTGGACAGTGGGCCAGACCTGGCCAGTTTCTGACCTCTGTTTTGGACGGGATTTTGGCTCTCCAGGACAATTGTCTATTTACCCTTAGACAATTCGTGGGGACGGGTAGAGGGAGAACGCACGACTCTGGCGTACGAACAGAAGCTCCCTTTCTTTTGGAGACAAGGGAAGGCTCACTCCAGGACCCTAACCTCTGCACTTTTTCGGTTTGAGTTAAGGAACAAGACTCAAGGCGGAGCTCCAGCGTCCTTTTGCTGACAAACTAGGGCTTGGCAGACAAGAGCATCTTGCAGCACTTACCAAGCATGGCTCCCGCGGCGCTAGGCAGAGGCGCGACCCCAGGTGCTGATTGGCTGGGCTGCTGACTGACTGGGCGCTGATTGGCTGGGACGACAGTCAAGGGACTGGCGGAATCTGCACGGATTTCAACCACTGAGGAGTCTCCGGAGCCGTGCGCCGAGCACCTGCTGCTTTATACCCTGCCCGCCCCACCCATTAGAACCGGCGAGGGCGGGGCCCGACGCCAGCGCCCTGGGGCGCTGCCCAAACAGAGCCGAAAGGGGGCTTGGGGACGGCAGTAGCGAGCCTTGGGTGTGGAAATCAAGAAGGATCCCCCTGGAGTCAGGGGGTGTGAGGGACCTCAAGGATCTGGGTGGCAATGGGAGGCACCCCGTCCTGAGAACACTTGGGGATACAGAGACCGTTTCGGATGGAGGCCCGGGCTGGGTGACATGCTCTTCCGGCTTCTCCCAGCGCCTGGAAGTCGCCTGTGCACCGAAGGGGTGGACCAAAAACTGAGTGCAGCTGGCTCGGATCACTTTCTGCTGAGTCACAGTGACTTCGGATTCTGCACTCGGAGGGAGGTGGATCGCCGCACTGCGCGCCCCGGGTCACCATTGAGTAGAGGAAACTGATGAAAGTTTAATGCCTTCACACCAAGTGTGCATGGGACAGAAGAGAGCAAGAAGGTTTATATGACTTAAAGTCATCCTACAGAATAGAGGTGAGGCTGCCTTCAAAAGGCTGAGAAAAAATAGAAGTTGAAAGTCACACACACCTCTCAGAAGAACAACAAATGAGGGAAGGAAGGAGAGGGCAGGGCAGGGTATAAGATCCTTACAGTTTGCCTCTGGTGGAGAATTTAAGGAAGTCCTGGAAAACTGTCAAGATAAATAATGGGCTCAAGTGGTAGACCATGTTCCTAGAAGCCCAAGCGCCTGGTTTCAAATCCCAGTACCTCCCACCGAAAGAAAAGAGAAAGAATGCTTTTTAGTGCGGTGTTTCTAAAAATCAAAATAAATGCCCCCCCCAAGTCACAGTGAACATAAAATTACATAAAGACAATGTTGATATTTTGTTTGCCCTAGACTTTTTTCTCTTAAAATACTACACTAAATTAATTTTTTAAAAAAATACTACACGAAAATGATCTTGATCATTGGGTTTTCTGTCATTTCCTTAAATTTTGTGCGTGAGGCAAGTGTTTCACATTATTTCAGGCTAGTCTGAGCCTTGGCTGCAAATATGAACTTAAGTGTACTATTTTTTCATAATACAAAGTAAATTGATACTGCCTAAGATGATAAATCAAGAACTAGAGGCCAACACACATTATGAGAATACAGCCACTAAGTACCTTGCTTTCAAATGTTTCTTCTAGGAGTGAAAAATGATAGATGTCCATTTTACCTGCATTTAAGAATTAAAACCATAAGCAGGGCACCTGTGGTTCACACCTATAATCCTAGCTGTTAGGAAAAATTCAGCTCACAAAGAAAGCTCAGGAGAAGAGTCTCACATCCAAGAGCAAAGTTTAATAGGGGGTGGGTGAGATGGCACAGCACAGACTCTGGGCCTGGTGTGGCTTTTATAGAAGGGGAGGGTAAGGAAGTTAGCGCATGCACGGGAGTCTCTGGTAGGGGTGGGGCTGTCTTAAAGCGCAGAAATTTCTGTTAAAGGCAGGGCTGTCCTTGGGAGTTTCTCAAGTGAGGTTTGAGGATAAAATGGCCGCTGATTTACAAATGGCGACATTATTGTTCTATCACTAGCTACTTGGGAGGCTGAGATAAGGAAGATCAAGGTTCAAGGCCAGCCCAAGCATATTTGAATAGTTCAAGAGACCCCCATGTCCAAAATAACTAGAGCAAAATGGACTGGAGGTGTAGATCAAGTGGTAGAGCACCTGTTTTGCAAGTGTGAAGCCTGTTCAAACCCCAGTTCCACCAAAAATCGATCAATCAAAGTCGACTACTATTCCACCAATAGCAAGCAGTAGAAAAGAAAATCTCAGGGCCACCTAGGGAAGTGTTTCCCTATGTTCAGCCACCCAGGCATTCAGAGACCACTGCAGCCTGGCTAATGCTCAAGCTTGCAGCAGTCCCTAGCGTAATCCATATGATTCTGGTTTCACAGTCATGCAGAATGTAAGAGTTACAGGGTTAGGAAGGTTCCCACCCAGATTTCAAAGGAAGGTATGGAAGGCCAAGTACTGTGTGTCAGGATCCCTGCAGGAAGCCCCTAAGAGGATAGTGTATGAGGTTGGAAGAATGAAGGTGAAGATGCAGTGGAGACCCCAGGGAGTTAGAGATGTCAAGAACATGCCAGCTTACTGCTGCAGGCAGTAAGTAGAGCCAGTCCAAGAGAGAAGGCAGATGGGCTACAGCTGGCAGGGCTGTAGAGGCAGGGCTGTCCAAGCCTGTTGGAGCTCACATCATGACATCACATGATGTCATGATGAACATGGATTTAATGCTTGTCCTGTTGAGCTTCAGTCTTGTTTTCATCCAGCTTCTTCCTTCTATGCCCTTACTCTTCCCTTTTGGAATGGAACTATTTTGATTCTATAGGAGCTCAGAGCTGAGTTTGCTTTGAGTATCAGAGATGACTTTGAACTTGGACTTTTGAATAATTCTGGAACTATTAAGTCTATGGGGACTCTTGAAGATGAACTGAAAACATTTTGCATTGTTAGGTGAACACAAGCCTTTGGGAGTCAAGGGAGGAATGTTATGATTTGAAAATGAAATGTTCCCCACAGCCTGTTGGGGACTTGGCTGCCCACTGATGGGCTTTTGGGAAGTGACTGGATCCTGAAGGATCTGACTTAATCAATGGATTATTCCCTTGACAGAATCATATTATGTTGGCGTCATTGGGAGGGGTGAAAAGTAGAAGGTGGGGCTTAGTTGAAGGAAGTAGTCACTGGAGTCACTTGACTGCTGTATTTTGCCTTGATCCCCTTCTGTATTCCCCTTCCTCTGCTTCCTGGCCACCATGATGTGATCTGTTCTGCCTCATTACACTCTTCCCACCATAATGGACTGATCCCTCTAAAACCATGAGCCAATATAAATTCTTCCCCCTTAGGTTATGTCAGGTATTTTGTCACAGCAATGACAAAAGTAACTAATACACAGAGAAAAAGTACAGCAGCCTAAAGACTGTAGTTCCTACTAAGACTGAAATAAGAGCTAGAGATTAAGTGATGGTAGGAGCCCAAAGGATCAAAAAGGTGGGCTGTTTGGAAATACAAGAAGTAAGACAAGTTAAAATCCTGAGGCAACATCAGCAGTTTCAGAATGTGGGACACTTTTCGGTACAAATAGCCTGGTTTATGCAATAGTTCAATGCTATAAGAAGAGTGAGGAAGGAGTTAGGGTTCTCCACAGAAACTGAACCAGTAGCCTCCTACATGCTAGGTACCTTCTGTGTTACTGAGCCACACCCCCAGCTTGTGCAGAATTTTAAAAGTTAAACAGTGTATGATAAAACACCGCCTTCCCTCCATTCTTCCTCATTTGAGTCCTGTTTGCCAAACCTTCTTAGGGGTGCCTATGGTGTCTAGGTTTCTAAGCAATATGCTATTGTTTTGATATACCATTTGTAGGCATTATTTTGGTGCTCTATTATGAGAGATGAGGATGAACACTTTAATTCTACTCACCTCGCTTTTTCTCCCTCTAGTCTCCCAATATGGCACTATCCCAAAAACATTTTTTTTAATAGTACTGAGGTTTGAACTCAGTGCCTTGCACTTAAGTGCAAGGAGTCATATCCCCAGCCCTTTTTTGCTTTAGTTATTTTTCAGATATGGTCTTGCTTTTTGGCCAGGGGCTACTTACAATGACAGATGTATGCCACCATGCCCCAGCTTGTTTTGTTGAGATGGGGTCTTGCTAACTTTTTGCCTGGACTGGCTTCAAACTTCCATCCTACCAGTCTTCACCTCCTGAGTAGGGGCTACAGACATGAGCCACTGCACTTGGCTTAGAAAATCCTTTCCTCTCTCTCTCTCTCTCTCTCTTATGGCAGTGGGGTTTTAACTCAGAGCTTCAGTCTTGCTAGGCAAGCATTCTACCCCCAGCCCTCAAAGTTTTTACTAAGTCTATGTTTAGGGATTATGCTATAAAGGCAGTGAGCCAAGCAGTATATTATAATTGCATTTCCTTCTATAACCTTTTGTTTCCTTAGAGCTCTTTTTCTGCCTCTTTTTCTCATTTTTCTATGCCATGATACTAATTATTCCCAAACCCTGCGTATAAATTGTTCAAAACAAAACAAAAAGCATACCATGAATATTCTTTTTCATTTGGTCAAACCCTTCAGGTTGTATTAGTATTCGTGTATTAGTTTAGATTTATTAGTTTTCAATGTATTAGTTTCATTCTTGTAGAAAAAGTCCTAAAGCCCTCTGATCCAATATTGGTACCTTCTCTCTAGGTTTGCTGAACAGCTGTCTGTCTGGGATTCATTTGGCCTCTGTTACATTGGATCCCAGGTATTCCTCTGTTTCTCTCCCTTCCCTCCCTCTTTCCCCATTTCTCCCCTCCCCCTCTCCCTTGCTGGATTACATTCCCCAGTATTTTTCTAGGAAAGAACAAACGGAAAGTAAGTTTTCTGACACATTATCCCTTAGAATTTTAAAGGCACCGATCCAGGTTCAAGGCTGTTGTGGAGAATTTTTTACCCTCTGCTTCCTGGTTATTTGAATATGGCCTACTTTCTCCCTTGTAAAGCACTTGTGATCTGTTTACTCTCCTTGCTCTAACTTACTAGCTTTCTCTTTATGGTTTGTGCTTTTGGTGTCATAGCTAAGAAATTGGTGCCTAATCCAAAGTCATGTATGTAGGCAAATGTAGGCCCCAAAGTGAGAGTGAGAGTGAGAGAGAGAGAGAGAGAGAGAGAGAGAAGGGCAGGGGCTTAAATACCCCTCAGTGAGACTTGGCATGATCTGATTGGTTAGGATATTATGGTTCATGCTGATTGGAGGTTGCGGCAGAAGGGGAATTCAAGCTAGACTTGAGGCAGGACCATGACCCTGGGAAACAGAAGCTTAAGGGTGCAGTAAGAACCAAAACCTATAGGCGCCATCATTGCCAACAGTGTAAACTTACACAAACATTTTCTCCCAAGAGTTTTTCCACCTGGAAGTTATTTTTGTGTATGATGAGAGGTAGGGAATAAAATCTCCCATTTTACAAATGAGGAAAACTCAGATACCAAGTGGTTATGTGACTTGCCCATGGTTGTGTAGCTCTTCAGTAAAATAGTTCAGAACATGAACCCTGGTCACTTGGCTCCAGTTAGCTCACAACCCCTGATTACTGTCTGAGTTGGTCAGAATTTGTGAATCTAGCCAGACATGGTAGTACTTGCCTGGAATCCCAGCATCTGGGAGGCTGAGCCAGGAGGATCTCAAGTTCTAGGCCAGCCTGGAGTAAGATGAGGCCTCAAAAAAAAAAAAAAAAAATTCTTGAGTCTAGCTACAGGCACGGATCAGCTACTAAATGCTCTTCTCTTTGAACCCTGGCTGGGGCTGCACTGTTTTTGTTTCCTTCTGGCTTTAATTTGCTGTCAGTACAAGACCATACAATTCCCATCACATTTTCTGAAGCAGGCCTCTGTCCCAGGTATACATGAGCACTGGGCCCTGCACTAAAATCAGTGCTCTCAACCCCTCACCTCCCCCACTAGAAGGAGCAGGCCAGGCTCACAGAGCTATGAAGATTTGTTGATTGTCTTCATTATCTAGAACTAAAAAGCAGGAGCAGGAGAATCCTCAGGAGTCCCCCATCTTCCTAATTAGTCACCTGCTAATATATGGTGTCCATGTGGGCAGCTGCTTTTTTGCACAGTAAGTCCCCAAAGCCCCCTTGCTTTTCTCTGAGCTGAGGATGAAGGACTTTGTACATTAGCTCAGAGCCCTTCCTGGGTCTGTCTGGGGACCTGGGTATCTGTTGTCCTCTTTGGTTCCTGTGGATACCAGTCAAACATTCCTGGAGGAAACAGGCCCTCAGCATTAGGGGAGAAATGTTTCTTCTGCTATAAGCCCTGTCCTTTCCTGCCCTTCTGTCTCCCAGCACCACCACTGCTGCACAGGACATGTGCCATTATGTAGGACTTCCTGTTTGGGTGTGTCTTTCTGGAATTTTGTCATGTCATGTATTGCCTGAATTAGGGTGTTTTCTGTTGGCCTTAAAAAACACTCTTGATTAAACTGAAACTTCTGTTGAAATGACACACATTTGCTATGAGGGGGTTTGATCCTATATATCGAACCCTATATAGCCAGATCATAGAATGTAAGGGAACTTCTCCAGCAATTTAGCTTTTGTGTAAATACCTTTAGGGAGAGGAAACTCACTTGTTATTTTCAAGAGCAAATTAAAGGAAAAGGTATTTTTATGCCTCTTGTTTATTTTCTCCAGTCTGGTCAGAGTCATGCATTCAATTCAATGAGCATTCACTTTGGATCCAGACTTCATGAAGGATGTATAGATATACACAGTTGCCAACATCTGAGGATGTCAGAGCAACAGTTAGCAAAAGTATACCACCCCTCATCAGCATAGCTTGCAGGATTGCAGTGTCATCACTACCTGAATTATGCACAAGTTTACGTATGAGAATCTATCTCCAAACACCCCATTGTTACTGGAAAGCTGGTCCCCTGGCCTCACTGCCAATTCACAAATAATGAGAGCAGGGTTTTGAGGAAAAGAAAATAGTTTATTATTTGTCAGATGATGAGGACAGGGAGAGTCAACTTCTCAAAGCTCTGTAATCCCAGTTCTGAGAAAAAAAATGTCCACCTTCTAAAGGGGAGTTCAGGGTTCAGTCTGAGTACATGGTGAAATGTGTGTCCCAGAATGGCACCTTGTTTGTTCTCCAGGTGCCATGTCTCCAAAGTTGTATGTCTTGGCTGTATGTCTCTGGTGGTCAGAGAGCGATAAGGGGTAGGAGATTGCCTGGTTTAATTGAAGAGTAAAGGGATTTAACCTTGGGTTTTCCCATGTAGATAAAGAGGGAACAAAAAATGTCAATTTGATAAATAAGCACAGTGAACTGACCAGCATGCAAACTGGCTACACCGAATTTTTCCCTTTGTAGTTCCCAGCTACATTTTCCCCACAATCAATTTTTTCCTTTCATTTCTATGGAAAAGGGGTGTCAGAATCATGTTTCTTGCCTTTAGTTAATTTGTGGGCCCAAATAAGGAGTCAGCAGTACTCCTCAGCAAAAGCAGCTTTTAATCACAATCACATGAACACACAAACACAGTGGCCTAGACACATTCACCATCTCCACTAGAGATTTCTTCTCATCCCTATGTGCTGGAAAATATTCGTCTAGACAGCCGAGTTTGTTTTTCTTGGCTCTGCGCTCAAGCCCAGGGCCTCCTGTGTGCTAGGCAAGCACTGTACCTCTGAGCTACCGCACTAGTTCCCCTGTAGTAAAATCAAGTTAAATGTAGAACCTGATTAGTTTCCAGCTTTCCACTACATCTCAAATCAAACATGTAGTTTCAGCCAAATAGCCATCAGCTGTTGCATTTAATTGAAATAATTCTGCATTAGAATTTTTTTAAAGGTACCTTATTGATAGAAATACCAGGTTTAACATGCACAAAGCCAAGAAAACCAATGATTCCAGATACTCAGTTTCTATGGCACTGCCCTTTGAACACACCAGCAGTAATAAACTGCCGAGTGCAGATATCACAAAGACAAAAATGAAAAAAAGGGGGGTTGGAGGCAAGCCACTGGAGGGTTTTAAACAGAAAAGCAACAGACCTGGTTTACTGCTTGAGCCATTCTGCCAACCCTGGTTTATCTTTTAAAAGGTATTCACCAGATACTATGGGAATCAGAAAGTAGAGAAGGTATTTGCTGCTAAAAGCTAAGGCAAAGATAGGGAAGGCCCTATCTACAAAAATCTCATCAAACCAGGAATACGTTCCAAAAGTTTGAACTGCATTCTTCATAACAAACAGTACTGTACTAATCCTTTGGGGAAATGAACATTAACACAGTGCATGCATTAGTTACATATAGCGGTATTTTCCAGCTTGTAGGCCTTCCTGAAATATTTTATCTACTTCGCACAATATTGTGAAATGAATGTGATATTCCCATTCTGCAGAGAAGGAAACTGATCCTCAGAAAAGTTAAAGAATCTCCTCTAGGGTTATAGCTGGTACAGGGGCCTGAATCCGCACACAGGCCATAGCTTGCCATTTTCTCACTACTCTCCTGTCTCTTGTGTGGCTTAAGTCCTGGACGCCTACCACGAGAAATAGTAGCACAGTGTTGTCTTACAAACCAGCAAACTACAAAGTAAATAATACTATATTTATCTTGGGCTGGAGGTACAGCTCAGTGATAAGATGCAAGTTTCATATGTACAGGCCCTGGGTTTAATCCCCAGCACCAAATAAATTTACACTAGGTTGGCGGAGTGGCTCAAGTGGCAGAGTGTCTGCCTAGCAAGCATGAGGCCCTGAGTTCAAAGCCTGGTACGGGGGGGTGGGGGTTGGGGACCCAAACCTGACACTAAGTGCTTGATGGTGCTTTAAGGAAATAAACTTGATTAGAAATGCATGGGAAGTATAGGGACGTGAGTGGCCACGGACTTTTCACTTCAAAATGTAGGACTTTCCCAATAAGAAGAAATATTGAACTATTTTACAAGATATCACTACTTTTTTTTGACAGGAAGTACAAGTTAAAAGGTCAGAAAGGAAAATAATGAGTTTTTCTTTGGTAGGATAGTAGGATTATGGGGTGGGGGGGTTTAAAATTTCTTTTGAAGTTTTGAGATGATTTAGCTTTTTTCTTCTTTTCTAGTTATCCTTTTGGCTGTTACGAGAAACCAGAAGAGAATGGTAGTCCATTGGAGTTGGGAAGAACTGCCCTGGTAAGATATCCATCCCACACTTCTGTTATGCCAATGAATTCCGAAGAACATTCAGGAAAGCCTTTAAGTACAGTTGAATTCAGATGCATTCCTAAAGTGACCTGTAGGGGGCAGTGGTCACCACCTTTCCCCATTCCTTCCCTCTAGGGGTATGAACATCTTTAAAAGCAAGAAGATTTTCCACCTATCTTACTCTGAGTTTTAAAATTTGGTTCTTTACAACTCAGACATTTTTGGTATCTGAAATGTTTTCTTAATTTTAAGTAAACAAAGTGAGATGGTAAGACACAATGTAGCTGAATGTTGTATCACCTTACTTTTCTGTATGTTGGGTATTAATAAAGCATGAGAAGAAATAGAAAAGGCAGGTATGAATTCATCCAGGCTTGAACCACTCACTACTTAGCTTTTCTCCCACATCCTGGGCTTCAGCTGGACATCAGAATTCAGCATGAGTTTTATGATCTCTACAGGTGCATTGCTTTTTATCTTTTCCATGGTGGTACTGGACTTTGAACTCAGGGCCTCACGATTGCTAGGCAGGCGCTCTACCACTTGAGTCACTCAGCCAGCCCCACATTTGCTATTTAAAGCACGAAAGGACTAAGATGAAAACTTGGCCTGGCCACTAACACCCTATGACTTTGGGCAAGGCATTTAACATCTCTCTAGCCCAAAACTGCTAGAGATAACAGCACCTATTCACTAAATTACATCCTATGGATTAAAAGGGTTGCTGTAGGTTAAGTACTTAACATAGAGCCTGGGGTTGGGGACATAGCTCAAGTGGTAGAGCACCACCTGCCTAGGAAGTGTAAGTACCCCCCCCCCAAAAAGAAAAACAAACCAAACACCCAAAACCAAACCATAGAACCTGTAATACTTACATTAAACGCTTGACCAGATGGCTTTTCATAATTGAGTACCTGGCAGGTGGAAAAACAGTAAGCAACCTGATCTCTATGAACTGACAAGGAGTGATTTCTAGTGCTGAGTATATAGTAAATAATTTTCCTGAATTTGATAAAGGAAGACATCCTCTTCTCTTGCAATTACTTTAAATGGGGCAGGGAGGGGGTTGAAGGGGAGAGACCATGGGGGCAATGTAACTAATGTACAATATGAAGTCTAATCGGAATTGTCACTACAAATCCCCCCATAAAATGAATACACACTAATAAATTGATAAAAAAACCCGACATCCTTTTCCTAGGAGACACAGACTTTATGTATGTGTGTGTGTGAATGAGTGTGTAGAAACAGAAAGCAATGAGACAAAAACGTGAGTTCTCTATACAGAGCTTCCCTGAGTGACTGATTTTTTTTTTTTAAGAGGTTAAAGGCTGGGGATGCTGCCTGCCTAGCTATGCAAAGCCCTGACTGAAACCCCAGTACCATAAAAAAAACAAAATAATAGCTCTTAGTTTTATTGTGAAATATTTATCATTTCTGGCAAAAAAGACAAACCTAGCACTTGTTCCTCAGGTGCACAGCTTAACTGTTAGTCTTCATGATTCCAAGGTGCAAGAACTTGATCTTCTTAAAACACACAGGAGCTGGCAAGCACATTTATTAGGAAAATATTACCATTTGGGAATTCCTTTCCTTGAAGGTTTAAAATCTGCTCTGTGCACTGTTGTTTCATCAAATCCCCTCACACAGTGGTAGTCCTGGCTCTGTGGATGTTCACAGGCCAAGGGATGGCCCAGTTTCACCAAAATCCAACATAACACAGCAAGTCATGAGCAGCGCTGTGAAGTTCCCATCAGATGCTCTGCAGACAGCAAAGCTGTAGGATGAGACAGCAGCATCCTTGCAACTGCATGCAGGCCACTTTGCCTGCAGGGGCTTGCACTTCACCTTTTCTTCACAAACTTCTTTCTGGAAGCATTGGGATTTAAACGTCTTCTCCCAGCTCCTAATGTGCTGTCTCGGACCTGCAGGGTGGCTGAGCGGCTGGAAATGTCGTTCTCTGCAAAAGGAGATACTCCAGCTATGTAGTCAGGGGCAAACACATTGGTCTTTTGCCTGGCCTTTCGGGAGAGTCGCAGTTGAGGGAAGCGCTGATCCTCAGTCAGATGGGGGTTGATGGCATACTTGCCTCCTTTGGGAGTGGGTAGTGAGTACTGCAAATAAGGTAAGGGAAGGCCGTAAGAGGAATGGGGAGGGAGGGAGGGAGGGAGTGTGTGTGTGTGTGTGTGTGTCTACTCATACAGGTGCAGATGACAAAGCAGGCAGCACAGTACTGCCAGCCCAAGACATGCATTCCCCCCGCCATCTTACTCTCACCTCAAGTTACAGATGAAAACCTGAACCTGACTATGTACCCTTAGCTAAAGACAAAAAGAATCACATGTAGACAGAGAACTCCAGTAAGTTGGTACCACTTTCATAATGGTATGTATCAGCAATTCTGAAAGGTAGTATGTGTTCTAGGGCTAAACAAATTAGTAAATTGTTATGGGACCTGGTATTAACAAGGGTGTTATGAATGCAGAGAGACTTGGGAGGCTGAGATCAGGAGGACTGCAGTTTGAGGCCAGCTTGGGCAAATAATTCATGAGATTTCCATCTCCGAAATAACCAGAGCAAAAGGGACTGGAGGTGTGATTCAAGCAGTCGAATACTTGCTTTGCCAGTGTGAAGCCCTGAGTTTAAACCACAGTCCCACAAAAAACCAAAAAACCAAAACCGGGACTGGACACTAGAAGTGTAGCTTGGTGGCAGAGTGCCTGCCTAGCATATACAAGGTCCTAGGTTCAATCCCCAGCATAGTGTAGTGGGCAAAGACATGTCAGGACGGAGACTAAAGAGAAAGGACAACTAAATGCAAGGTGTAATGCAAGATTGAACCCTGGACCAAAGCATTCCTCTACCACTTGAGCCACTCTGCCAGCCCCTTAAATCTTTGTTTTAGAACAAAGAGACATTATGCATAAAACACAGTTTTAAGTGGTTCAGAAAAAAACAAACAGATGTATGTATGTGTATATATAGAGAGAGTTAAGTAAATGAGGTAGAAGACTAACACTGGGAACTCCATGTATAGGGGAAATTAAAAGTCTTTGTAGTATTTTTGTTCCCAACTTTTCTATATATCTAAAATTATTTCAAAATACAAAGTTAAGGTCTGGTGGAGTGGCTCAAGTGGAAGAGCATCTGCTTGGCAAGTGGGAGGCCTTGAGTTCAAACCCCAGTATGGAGGGGGAATAAGGGTAGCAGGGAGAACAAAGTTAAGAAATGCTTCTCATGCATTAGTGGCACATCTGTCACTTGGTGATGTCAGTGCCAGGTCAGCTTAATTCTTGTGCTCCCTTGTCTCCGAATCCATCTCTTTCCTGATTCTCTCAAACAAATCCACAGCAGCTGTGGGTCCAGTCCAGACCTCTCTTCTGTACTGGACATTCATACATTCTTTTACCTAGGCTTCATGGAGCCCCCAAAGATCCTGCAGACTCCTGCACAAATTAGCCTCCTACTCCAAAGAATCCCTGCCTTGTCTCCAGCCCCCACGCAGTCCTCATTAGCACTCACTGCCTACAATTAGTTTCTCGTTAGACTGCAACTCCCAACTTCTCAGGAAATACACAGGAAGCTTGTCCTATGCTCTCTCCATCTGTATTGGTACCTAGATCTCAGGCTTTCAATCTGTGCCTGGTGGGACCAATTAGACTGGCTTTTCTTCTGTCCTCTAGTCACTTGGATTGTGGTGTTGTTAGGGCCTAGGATATGCACTACTCACACGGAGGCCTCGAGGGTTCAGCACCTTGGGGTTGCGGGAGAAATGCATATGCAGGGTGCCATCATCGCTGACAGTCACAGACACCTTCTTCAGGGTCTTGTTCCCACAATGTGCACAGAACACTCGGTTCATATCTGATGTTGTCCTGGGGGACACAAAAGGAAATGCTATGTATGGACTGGCACCACAGGCAGATCCATTCCCCATGCACGAGTCACAGGCTTCAGAGGAGGAAATCATAAGAAATGGGAAAACAGGGCTTGTGGAGTGGCTCAAGTGGTAGATGCCTGTCTACCAAGTGTGAGGCCCTAGTTCAAACCCCAGTACTGCCAAAAAGAGAAGAAATAGGAAAAGGCTGAACTGCATTATATCTCCCTTTATAAAAACAAACAGTACCCAGCCTCAAGCAGCAAAGAGTTCCTACATGGAGTGAGATGTCACCATGAAAAAGGAGCAGAAGGTTATTGCACTAACAGTACCCATTTTCTGAACACTCTAGGCATTTCTGTTCTCAACACTTCATGGGGGAAGTGGGATTCTACAAGTTTAATATCAAAATAACCCTGAGATTGGTCCTACCTCCATTTCATGGATGGAGAAATTGAGCCAAGCTAAGGTACCTTCTTCGAGATCACATGGCTAGTAGGGGGCAGACAGACCCAGGCAGTCTGGCTACAGTATGAAAGTTCTTGACATTGCTGTTCTTTCTCAAAGAGCTTATTACAGTTCTAACTTTGTCCCCAAATGTCAGTCTGAGGTTAAACCAGAAGTCGGTAAGAGTTTATCAATGAATCACACCGAAAACACTATAAAACCTGCCATGGGCGATGAGTGTAGATGCTGAGGATAGACACCAAGGCCTTGCCCCACTCCATCCACTCAGTTTCCCAGGAAGAGTTCTGGACAGGCAAAAGCTGCCACTATAAAGGGCCAGGCAGTAGTCCTAGTCCATCTCTCAGGGAGTCTTCCCAATGCTTAGAAAACAAGCAAGGGCAGGTGACATGGCTGAAGAAGCCACACCCTGTACTGCAAGTTTCCTGAGTGAATCAAGTGCCTCCACACAGGTGCTACAGATTAAGTAACTCTATAAAAAGCCCGCCAGTCACTGGAGTTTAATCTCACAAGAATGGAGAATATTTCCTGGTATTTTTAAGAATGAGTGTTACTTTGGAGAACTAAAAGATTTTGTACAAAGGACAATGGGGGAAGTGGGATTTTATGAAGCAAGGAGCTTTACTCACTAGCCCATATGTTTAGGAGTAGGAGGGCTGGCAGCATAGCTCAAGAGATACAGCACCTACCTAGTGAGCACAAGGCTCTGTGTTCAAATCCCATGAACAACAACAACAACAAAAAGACTAGGAAACAGACACATTACACCAAAGCTCAAAACACTGAGGCAGCTCTGAATGGCTAATGAGGGGTGGCAGGACTCCAGAGGGGGTGGTGGCAAGGCTGGGTCCCAGGCCATAAGGGTCAGATTAGTTTTAATTCTTCTGGGAAACAAGGCCCCCAGGCAACTCCACTCTTAGGTAACAGCTCCAGAGCCCAATGAAACACCTCGAAGCTTCAGAACCATCTGCCACAGGCCTCTGCATTGTGAGGCTCTGCTCAATGATCTACAAGATGACCACAAGATCCAGGCTAGAAGTCAGCCCAGTCTAAGTCCTGTGACCAGGTTTCCGCAGTGAGGCTGTGGGTTAAGTCTCTTCTACTCCAACTAGAATCTGGGGCTTTGCCATAGAACACTGGCCCTACCACAGGAAGTACCAATCAGACCCAGGAAAGAAATGAAGGGAAGAGAACAGCCAATAAACTAATAATTCACCTAAAAGGAGGCATCATCTATGTGCCAGACACCTGCTAAATCCTGTGATTTATCATCCTGGTTCCTACAACAAACCTTTCAATTTTAAGAAGAATCTGAAGCACTGAGTAGGTAATCAACTTTTGCAAAATCACACAGGCAGTAGAAGGAATCTGAATGTGAACTCAGGTACTCTGGATTCCGAGTTCACTTTTTTAAAGTCACATCCTTAACCCTAGGCCACTGAGAGAGGTATGTGTGTGAGGGTGTGTGGGGGTGTCACTGGCAAGCAAGCTCTGTCTCAAGGGCTTCAGTGCCCTGGTGGAGGCTGAAGCTCGGTATCATGGGAGCGCAGAGGTGGAAAGAAAATATATGTAATGCAGGATCTCTTTTGGGAAGTTCTCAGCAGGGACCAGAAGAGATCACCAGAGGGGCCCAGGTCCTGACTATCAGGTACGTACTTGAAACAGCCGTGGCAGCGCAAGATGTAGCTCCGGGCCTCACGGATCAGCGTGCCGTTCACCGCCAGCACGCGCAGCCCCATCTGCAGCAGAACATTCTACAACCAGCAAGTTAAAGAAGAACAGAAACAAGTTCTCTCTTAGCATTAACTATGTGGACAGCCAAGGGAACTCTACATGCCCTGATTTGGCTAACAGCCTGTAGCTTTTGCTCAGCAAAGTTAGCTGGGGAATGCTTCTCCAGACCTGTACACAAAGACAGGGACCCAGGATGCCCTTCAATTGCAAGCACTGAGGTCCGAGCTCATTATCAGCAATCTCTCTCAACACAGACATTTATTCTGTGAGGAAAAATACTCCCATTTCTGGGCTGGAAATCCTGTCTACCTTCTCCAGGAACCTAAGGGCCCAGAACATTGTACAAAATAAGAACAAAGTATCAATTAATCATGAATATTGAAGATTAAAAATGTAACACACTATACAGATCTTACCACTACATCATATGATTGTCCAACTTCCAAGCAAACTTAAAAATTATCAAAAATCACAAGTAAAGTTCCTAGGACCAGGAAAAGCAGCAGTACACAATAGTAGCTCTATACATATCCCCAAACCACCATAGGACCACTGCCGGTGACATGCACCACACACAGCTCAGGGCTGGCCTGTGCCCAAACCACTCACCTGCATGGCGAAGTCTGTAGTCACACAACCGACTCGCACGTCCTTTGGAACATCGCACTGCTCCAGTTCCTGCTGGATCTGCTTGATGTTGCTGGGGGTTATCCATCCACCCCCGTCATCATCACTATCTTCTTTCTTGTCTTCAACCCCATCTTTCTCCTCCTCCTCTCTCTCCTCTCCTCTGTCAATCTGAAACATCAATAAAACTTATAAACTCCCAGCTCATAGGAATGGCTTGGGGAAGCTACTGTGTTGTCATCAGAAAGAGATCACAGCCAGGGCCTTACCAACAGCTCCTGTAGTTCCCAATCAATATTAGGCAGAGGGCTCCTCCAGAACATGAATGAACTGAACTCTAGATCCTCAGGCCTGTTGGCTGGCTGTCCATGATCTAACTTTTCTTCTGGGAGTTTAGGCTGAGATGAAAAGAAATATGATTTTTTTTTTTTTTTTGCAGTGCTGGGGATCAAACATAGGGCCTCACGTATACCAGGCAAGCACTCTACCACAGCCTCCCAAAAACTTAAAACCCTGAAAAGTGGGCTGGGGGTATAGCTCTTGCCTATCAAGGACAAATGCCCTGAGTTCAAATCCTAGTACCATCCTCAGTAACCCCCCCAAAAAACCATACAAGTCAGATCAGACAGGGCTGGAAAACTATGTTATCCATCAGGGTAAATTTGGTTGGCTGTAAACAGACAACTTGTGGGGTGGAGAAATGTGGCAAAAAAAAAAAAAAAAAAGCCTGACAAGCTGGACTTGGTGGCATACCTGTCTATAATCCTAGGAGGCTGAGGCAGCAAGATTGTAACTTTGAGACCAGCCTGGGCAACAGAGTGAGACTCTGCCTTAAAAAACCAAAACCAAAACCAAAACCAAAAAACAAAACCAAAACAAAAAGGAGCCTGAGGAGCAGAATTCATAGAAGGAATTACCTTGGAGGGCAGATGGAAGCCAGCAATGTGCAGAGGAGTTTCTGGATGCTGACTTGAGGAACTTACTTTAACCTTAAAAACAAACAAACAAAATAAACAAAAAAGTCAGCACTGAGCAAGGAAATTTATTTTGAAAATGCAACATGAAGGGAAATTATAAAAAAGAAAAGGCAACATATTCTCCCATAGTTATGTAAAGTATCTTTGGTTATATCCTTAGGATGAATACCTTAGCACAGAGCTGCTGGATCAAAGCATTTGATACAAATGTCCAATTCTAGCCAGGCACCGGTGGTTCACACCTGTAATCCTAGCTACTGTTGAGGCAGAGATCAGAAGATCTTGTTTCGAAGCCAGCCAGGCAAACAGTTTTCGAGACCCTGATAATCTCAAAAAAAATCCTTCACAAAAAAGGGCTGGTGGAGTGGCTCAAGGTGTAGGCCCTGAGTTCAAACCCCAGAACTGCAAAACAAAAACAAAAACAAAAACAAAACAAATGTCTAATTCTACCAAAGAGACTGTAGGGAATCATGGACTGTTAGATGCCAATGGAAAATCTACTACCTGTTACACTGTTTTCAGACAGAGTCATAAACTATCCTCTTCACCCTTCACCCCAAAGCATTTTGGTAACACGCAAGTTTGTGTTTTAAGGCATCACTTTTAGACTTCTGGAGGACTCTAAACCTGGTTAAAATCAAGTGAAACACCTCTGATTTGTATCAGAATGTGAGTCATCACGGTTTTGGTAACTTCAGGTAGAGGAGACGAAGCCAATTCTTTTGTCCATGTTATTAGAAATCAATTATTATTAGGTTAATTGCTTGGTTTCCAAAGTCTTCTAGCCTGGAGAGTCAATGAGACTGAGTCACAAATCCACCATCTTTCTTCAATTTAACCAAGTTTGAGTCTCTACAAGCTCAACAGGACCCCAGAGTTTTAAAGATAGTAAGAACTATAAAAAAGGCAAGCACTTAAGAGTTCCTTCTCTTTTACTTCCAAAAAGCATTCTATTAAAAACAAATCCAGGGGGAGAAATGACCCAAACATTGTATGTACATATAAATAAAAGAACAAACAAACAAACAACAACAAAAAAAACAAATCCAGATGGGTGCCAGTGGCTCACACCTGTAATCCTAGCTACTTGGGAGGCTGAGATTGGGAGGATCGTGGTTTGAGGCCAGCCTGGGCAAATAGTTTTGAGAGACCCCATCTTCAAAATAACCAGAGCAAAAATGGACTGGAGGCGTGGCTCAAGCAGTAGAGTACTTACTTTGCAAGCACAAATCCTTGAACCCCATTCCCACAAAAACAAAATAAAAAACAGAATTTTTTTTTGGCAGTACTGGGTTTTGAACCCAGGGCTTCACACTTGTTAGGCAAGCACCCTCCCACTTGAGGCTCTTCAGCAGTCCTTTTTTTTGTCTTGAGTGTTTTCTTCTTTTTGGCAGTACTGGGGTTTGAACTCAGAGCCTCATGTTTGCTAGACAGGTGCTCTACCATTTGAGACACTCCACTAGCCCTTTTTTTGTGTTGGGTATTTTCAAGATAAGGTCTCAAGAACTATTTGCCCCAGCTGGCTCCAAACTTTGATCCTCCTGATCACTGCCTCCTGATAGCTAGCATTTCAGGTGTGAGCCACCAGCACCCATCAAGAGACATTTTTACTATGCGTTTTCCAAATTTAAACAACTCTAAGAACCTACAGCTCAAGAGACTCAGAGACATTTGCTAATTGCAATTTGTGAACTCTATTTGGATCCTGACCAAAATAACTACTAATAACATTTGTAAAAAATAATGGACAAATGTAAATATTGATTGGATATTTGATCACATTAGGGGTTACTATTAATTTTGGGTAGGTGTAATGATGGCTTGAGGTTACTTTTTTTAAGAGCCTGTATCATTAGAGACACACCAAGAAAAATACATCAGTGAAATATATGGTGCCTGAATTCAAAATACTCAGGACTGGGCTCATTATAAATGAAACAGACCTGATATGAGATAGTAACTGTAGAGGTGGATGGAGGATAGGGACCCTGGGTCCATTATACAAGCATTCCCTCTACGTTCATATATCTGATACTTCTTACAATAAAAAGTTTATTAAAACAAACAAAAACCCAACCCTCCTGATTTACCTTTTCTGGTTCTTGTTTTAGGTGGGACACCCCAACAAACTCTGCTTCCAGTTGGTAAGTGAGTGCCAGCACTTGGAGATCTGTGGCAGAGAGGCTGGGGTAGTCTCCAGTTTTCTTTGAAAACTCAGTTACTGTAAAGAGATTTCCAGCTTCAGTTAGGGGCAAAAAACAATAGGACATTGGATAGCCATAATCAGAGTATCAGAAGAACTTAGAAAAAAAAATATTTCATAAAAACTGCAATACTGTAATACTGTCATTCATTTTCTGACTTTTGACTTATAGCTGAAAAATCTGTATTCTCCACCATGAAGATTTGTGCCATTTAGGTCTCTCTTTACTGAGTGCAGATAAGGACCAAAATAGTTAATAGAAAGTCACTGAATGTGCTGGGTGCTCACACCTATAATCCTAGCTACTCAGGAGGCAGAGATTAGGACAGGAGGCAGAGATCTGGAGGATCGCAGTTCAAAGCCAGCCTGGGCAAATAGTTTGCAAGACCCTATCTTGGGAAAAACCCATCACAAAAAAGGGCTGGTGACATGGCTCAAGGTGGAGGCCCTGAGTTCAAGCATCCCCCATCCACACCACCTCCCCAAAAAAAGAAAGTTACTGAATGTTAGTCCAACATTTGCTCAGGATGAGAGTTCCTATTCAAGCTTTGGTATTACATTAGAAGCCCTCTTCTCAGCTCTGAAAATCTTTGATTCTGAGTATAATAATCTAGATCAATATAATGATTAGATTCCAAAATGGGATGGAAAGTTAATTCAACATAGTCTATGATGAAATAAGAATACTGGGTTGTTTTGTAACAGTGGAAAGTTTTTGAAAATTTTGAAAAAATGCAAATCTGTGCTTTATACATAGTGAATGCCAGGTATTACTACTGTGTTTACTGAGACAGCAACAATACACACAATAAAATTTTCTGATGTCTTCTGTTACAATGGCACAAGGAAATGTGGTTCACATTTCCGAGGGAGAAGCTACAATTCTTGTGCTTTTACTATATATTGGGCACCACGTTAAGACCTTTACATGTTAATTCATTTCATCCTCAGTCAGATCCTCTTAAGTATTTAGTATTTTCTCACAGATTTTTCTCAATGTGGCAAAGATCCCAAGGTATTAAGTTGGTGAAGAAAGCTACAGAAACCAAACTATCAGAGTAGGTAACGTATCCAATATCAGCCTCTAACTTCTAAAATACTTCCAACTGCTTAGGGTCTTTCCTGAGTATCATTGCTTTGATTCCTAACGAGAATAACGCTGACTCTTAAAGTAAGAGACAACTGCTTGCTTAGTTTTCTTTCAGGTCTAAAATCATCCCTTTTTCTGTGCTGGGGGTGGATTCCACAACAGTCATCACTCCAAGGAAACGGAGGAGAGTAACAGATCTGGGTGGGTTTACTTTTTAATTAACGCTGGGGATCGACCCAGGGTCTTCAGCCTAAGAGGCATGCCTCTATCAACTAGATTCTTCTCTTGAATACAAACGAATTGACTGCATGCTCACAAGCGGTAGACACTCTTCCAAGTGCCATGTTCGACTGAATGTCCGGAGCAATCTCATTTTACAGATGAGGCCCAGTATCTGAGTGACATACCCGAGACGTGGCGCTAGTTGTAGCAAGGTCTGGCTGACTGAGGCCCAGAAAGTCCCTCTAACACCATTCCAGATCGGGATGTCCCTAAGTCAGATTCGCCACCCAGCAGCTGTGATCTGCCCCGACAAGGCCCGGCCGAGGCACTCACCGAGCCTCACGTACTCCGGGAGGGGCTCCTTGAACCGCAGCTCGTAGGGCAGCACCGCGAGTCGCCGGCGCGTGGCCTTGTCTCGAATCTCGCTGACCACCTCCCGGATGGTGTAGATGTTCTTCCCGAAGTCCTGAGGGGAGACGGGCCCAGCTCACACTCGCCTGACCCCACGCCCACCCTCAGGGGCTGCAGCCCAGACCCGGCTCCCCTCGGCTGGATCTCTCCTACCTGCAAAGGAGCGTCTCTTAAGAAAGCTCCGGCGTCAGCTACAACGTGTTCTACTGACGCCATGATGCCAGGACCAGCACGTAGCGCGCACGCGCAGAGGCTGCGCCTACGTTTCAATCCAGGCGTCTGGGAATGCAGAGCAGCGGCCGCAGCATCGCTCGATTTAGGTCTACCTTGCGCATGCGCAGCGACGCCGCCAGCCCCGCCAGGATGCCAAGCGAACGTGGCTGGGAGGTGATGGTAACTGGGTAACCCCCAAACAAACTAACTTGGAGTCATTTTTTTTCTTAATATTAATCCATCATTGCTATAAAACCACCTCTTATGTACCCCGACTTCATTTTGAGAAACTTGGGGCCAAGGTCTATGTTTTACTTATCTTAACATCCTCACCGCACTTCCCTAAGCAGGGCTTTTCATTTGCTAGAAAATAATTACTTGCTGAATTGAATGGAAAGGGTATTAAGTGACTTCCAAATTTCCTTTCAAACCTGCGATTTCATAATTATGAGATCTAGTCGATCACATGCTGGCAAATTTTGGCAAAATGTTGACTTGAGGCTCCATCTATCTTCATCCAAACTTTCTTCATCAGATCCTCAGTCTTTTTTTGTGTTACTAAGGTTTGAACTCAGGGCCTCATGTCTGCTGGGCAGGCACTGTTCCCACTTGAGCCACTCTCCCCAACTCTTTTTTTTTTTCTTGTGATGGGTTTTTCGAGATAGGATCTGGAGTCTATGTCCCTGGGGCTGGCTTCCAACCCTGCTCTCTAATCTCTGCCTCCTGAGTAGCTAGGACTACAAGCGCAAGCCACTAGCGCCTGACTCCTTCCTTACTAGTGATTTATGTGTTCTACTGCAAAAATTCTTCAGTGCCTTGATGGTACCCAGAGGCAGTTACCAAAATCCCTTTTCCTTCCCCATTTTCTGTCTTCACCTTTCTTATCGCTCAGTCTCTTCAACCCCTAGAGCCTACCTGTGCTGCCTGTCCTGAAAGAGCATTTCAGTTTTCTAGTGTATCCTGTGTTTTGGCTTTTACTTCTCAGCCTTCTTGGATTCACTGCAGGATTTGACATTGCTGATCATCTTTTTCTCTCTTTGCCTGGTTTTGTTAATTCTTCATGATCCTGGGTTGCTTCTTATCCTTTTTCATTGGATTCTTTTCTTCTTGCCTTGCAACCATGGTGCTCACCACAGAACTGTCTTTTTGTGTGTGTGTGTATGTGGTATTGAAGTTTGAACTCAGGGCCTGGCACTTGTTAGGCAGGCACTCTTAACACTTGAGCATCTATTTTTATTAAAAACATTACCAGTAGAAGCATTCAAGGTAGAAATCTCTGATTTATGCTCATCTCCATCCTCATTCTTTTTTTTAGTACTGGGGCTTGAACTCAGGGCCTACACCTGGAGCTACTCCACCAGCCCTTTTCTGTGATGGTTTTTTTCCAGAGAGAGTCTCATGAACTACTTGCCCAGGCTGGCTTTCAACTGTGATCCTCCTGATCTCTGCCTCCTGAGTTGCTAGGATTATCATGCTTAACCAGATTTCCTCTCACTACACTGTGTTGATGTCATTATGAAATGCTGTGGTGTCTGCCTCTCTTCCACATGTATTTCCACTATTCTAATCAAGTTTTTCTCTCCTCAGAAAATAAAATTCCTTCAACACTACTATTCCTATGTCTGATTTCTCCATTTCCAATGGATTTCCCACATTGACTTAAAAAGGGAAGGAAGATGTGAGAACTGGACTCTGTACTAAAGGAGGTTTATTGAGGTTAGCAGAGGTCACTGTAAACCCTAGAATGAAGACTGATCTAGGTCAGCGATTCTGAAACTCATCAGAACCACAGGAGAGCTGTGAAAACAGATTACTGGGCCTCATCCTCAGATTTTGTTTTAGTAGATCTGGGCAGGGCCTGAGAATTTGCATTTCTGGTAAATTCCAAGTAACTCTGATGCTGCTGACAGGAGAACACACTTTGAAAACTACTGAGTATTCTGGAAAACAAAGACCAAGTTTTGAGCTATTTTGTAGTAAACACTTAAAATATTTATTTATGTGAGAGTTCTTTTTTTTCTCTTGGTCCTTCTGGGTTTGAACTCAGGGCCTCAGCTTGCTAGGTAGAAGCTGTATCAATTGAGCCACACCCCCAGCCTATAGGAGTTTTCTTGACATTTCGTAGTATCTTTTGTAGCATTTTAATCTCTTTTGTTTCACTGTAAACCCCCCAACCCCACCGTAAAAGAACTTTCATTTAACAAGCATATATGGAGAGCTAACACCACCCTGGTTGGCAAAATAATAGCTGTGAACAAAGTAATATTTTGTGTACGTTCATTAACTTCAGAGTTTATGAATTTGGAGTTGGATCTTGAAAGATCACCAGGGCGAGGGTACTGAGGTGTGACAGTTCAAGGAATTGAGGGTACTGCTTGTTTATAGCACAGGAGTCGGAGAATAGAGTTTCTTCAGGATAAAGTGAGCCCCAGAGACAATTTTTTGAAGCTTGTGGATTTTATAAAAGGCAAAGGAATAAAAAAACCACCATTACCAAAATTATAGTCACTTTAAACAGTTTATATTAACAAATAAATAGAATTCATCCAAACTTGAAGACCCCAAGGTAATGGAATAATTAGTAGTGTACACAGTCCTTAAGGCTAAGTGATCATTTTAATTTTTTTTGGTGGTAGTGGGGTTTGAACCCAAGGCTTTTTGCCCTTGCTAGGCAGGTACTCTACTGCTTCAGCCATGTCTTCCAGCCCCTAATTTTTGTCTTTTTCTTTCTTGGTGCTGTGATTGAACCCAGGGCCTCGGGCATCCTAGGCAAGCGCTCTATTACTGAGCTATATCCCAGCCCCAGCCCATAATTGTAATCAATGTGATTAAAGGTGAGGCCAGGAGCTAGTGACTTATGTCTGTAATCCTGGTTACTCTGGAGGCAGAGATTAAGAGATCTTGGTTTGAGGCTAGCCCAGACAAAATAGTTTGCAAGACCCTATCTCAAAAATACCCAACACAAAAAAGGGCTGGCAGAGTGTCTCAAATGGTAGAACGCCTGCCTAAAATGTGTGAGGCCTTGAGTTCGTACTGACAAAAAAATGTGATTAAAGGTAAGAAACTGAACCTTTAGTCAACTTGTACTTGTCAAAACCAAGGGTCCAGAGTACTAATAAAGGATATTGGTTTAAAATGTTTCTACTAGCTGGGCACTGGCTCACGCCTGTAATCCTAGCTACTCAGGAGGCAGAGATGAGGAGGATCATGTTCAAAGCCATCCTGGTTCCCAGAGACCCTATCTTGAAAAACCCTTCACAGAAATAGGGCTGGTGGAGTGGCTCAAGGTGAAGGCCCTGAGTTCAAGTCCCAGTACAGCAAAAAAAAAAAAAAAAGTTTCTGCTAGTTAGGTACTGGTGGTTCATACCTGTAATCCTAGCTACTTGGGAGGCTGAGAACAGGAGGATGAGTTTGAGGCCAGACCAGGCAAAAAGTTAGCAAGATCCCCATTTCCAAAATAACCAGAACAAAATGGACTGGATGTGTGGCTCAAGAGGGTCTGCTTTGCAAGCATGGAGTCCTGAATTCAAATGCCAGTCCCAACAATGACAAAAATGTTTCTGCAAGGCATGGTGGTGTAAGGTTGTAATCCCAGCACTTGGAAGGCTGAGGCAGGAGGATCTCCAGTTTGAGACCAGCTTGGGCTACATAGTGAAGACCCTGTCTCAACCATCCCTTGCTTCCCACTCCCTAAAAAAGTTTCTGCTAATTCATAATTTTGTTTACTGAATAGGGAATGGAGGTTGGCTGGCATGGTGGGAACATTTTGTGAACTTAGGCAGAGGTTTTGAAGCTTTTCCATTTTTGGTTTCTGTCACAAGCACAGCTTTTTATTTTCTTTTGGTGGGACTGGAGTTTGAACTCAGGGCTTTGCGCTTACGAAGCTGAAGATCTACCACTTGAGCCAACCTTCAGTCCATTTTGCTTTGCTTATTTTGGAGATGAGGCCTTGTGAACTATTTTTCGAAGCCGGTGATATTTGTGTTTCCAGAATCTAGAACAAGGCCTAGCACACATTAGGTTGGGGCTGCCAGCCTACAAGATGCTGAATTAAATTTGCTTTTTAGATAATCCATACATACTTTTTTCAGGTATAAATATGTCCCTTGTAGTATTTGGGACATACTTAAATTACGCGGTTGAACATTTAAGTGGGCATCCTGTATTAAAAAAAAAATTCATCTCTTTTATTTATTAGAGCGTCTTGTATGTTATCTGGCAACTCTACTAAGAAGCTCAAATATTTGATGATTGAACTGATTAGAAGGTTTTCTCTCACCTGTCTCTCTTGGGTTGGAGGGCAGACTATTAAATAAAGCCCCGGACACTCGAAAACTTAGTTTATCTGCTTACGCAGGGTGATCATCCAGGCAGCAGAAATCCTCTGCACTTGGGAACACACCCTGGAGAAGCAGGCCTCCTGCGGGTCAAAGGTTCCCGGGTCCTAGGTTGGCCCGCACCTGCGAGCCGGGCCAGCCTCTTCCGGGTCAGCTGACCGCGCGCGGTCACGTGACCCGGCCCGAGTGCGGGCGGTGGAAGGCGGAAGTGGGAGCGGAGTACGGCGCCGCTTCTGTGGCCGCGGCAGGTAGCGAGCGCTTCCGCCGGGGTGCGGCGACGGTGGCGGCGGCGGCGGCGGCGGCGGGCGGCCCGGTGCGGGCGGGGGCGGTGCGGCCCTGGCGCCGGGGGGGGGGGGCGGTGGCTTCCTGTGGGAGGGGCCTGGCGCGGCGGTTCCGGCCTCCGAGGAGGGGTGTCCCGGCTCCCGCGCGAGCTGGGTGGGCGCGCAGTTCGCGGGCCACGCGGGGGCCTCCCGGAGGTGGGCGGCTGAGGAGGGCGCGGCGCGGGGCTGGCTGGGAGCGAGCGATCGAGCGAGCGCGCGACCCCGGAACGGACTGGAACTCGGCGTCCAGGGATGGAGAGGAACTAGCTGTGGGGAGGGCTCGGGACCAGAGGAAGGGGCGGCTTGGGATTGGGGGGCCGGCCGGGAGGTGGGGAGGAATGAGGAAGAAGAGAAGGCCTGGACCCCGTCTCTCCCTTTTTGGAAATGATCGCTGCCCAAGACTTGGATTTGGGTCCCATTCAGTTTTTAAACTTCAAGAAGGATCGTAGAATCTTGATCGTCCCGCTGTCGTCACACCCTCTTAGTCCTGCTTGGGTAGGGTTTCCACATCTTGGGAACCTAGCCCTTCAGATCATCTTTCTTGGAGATTTTCTCTAATCAGGTCATCGTCAAGGCTTTAAAAAAGAAAGAAAGAAAGAAAAAGATGTGGGCTCTTTGGCCATAAATTGGCTTTTAATTTTACCTATACTGTGACTGGGACCTAGGCCAGCGTTCCCTCAAGCCACTGTGACTGCCGAAATCTTGGATGGAGAAATGTCTACTTGTACTCCTTTATGACTTTCCCTCTTTCTTGGGTTTAAATTATTCAGCTTCCCTTACCACGTGACTGCTTATCTTGACGAACTGTAACTAGGTAGGATGAAGGAGAGGTCCGTGTTGTGTTCCTTAGAACTGTGACCTGGAGCATGAATTTGAGGTTAAATACCCCTGTTCAGATTGTTCTCCCGCCTTGTTCTCTTCATGTTTACTAGAATTTGCAGAAGTGAAATGAGTTTCATGAGTGAAGTATGACTGGAGTGGATGTTCAAACCGGATATTCACAGAATCCACAGTGGCTTGGGGTTACAAGTAGGAAATAAAAGTACTTCACAAATGTATCAGGAGTTTTTGGATTATTCGACAAACATGGGGAAGTTAATTTTTGTAGTAGTCCTGAGTGTTTACAAGGAACAAACAGGTCTAAGAGTGGGCTTGATGTTAAAAAAAAATTATTGCTTTTGTTTACTGGTCTCTTTCTTCCTGCTAACCTGCAAATCAAGGGCAGGGTTCATATTTTATTTGGCTTTCTTAGCTAGTAACCTGGTGCCTGGTATGTTGTGGGTACTTGGTCAATCCAACCCTTTTCCTCATGCCTTTATTTTCATAAGGATAAATAACAAAATGGTAAGCTTGTCTGACAAAGGAAGAGACAGGGTAGAAGACTTGCAAAATCCCGAGTTTACCACTTACAGCTATGTGACTTTTAGAAGTTCATTTATTCACCAAATGTTGACTGAGAGGGGCCAAAGATGACTTGAGAGAATTTGGTAGGAATCACTGGAAGAATGGAGTTGTCATTAGCTGAGGGGGAAGGCTGTTGGAACAGGGTTGGGACTCAGTTTTGTTGATGTTGACGATAAAATGGCTAATTGAAATCCAAATGGAGATACTTTGGGTGATTAGAGGTGGAAAGCTGGTGACAGGCCTGGGCTGAAGATGTGCATGTGGAAGCTGTTACGGGAATAGTGTGGAGTTAAGGGGCTGGACAGGGTCATCCAGGGAGTATTTGTGTACATAGCCAAGAAGAGTGCTGCTTGCTGGAAATTCACTTTTTTTTTGGTCAGTATACTGGGGTTTGAACTCAGGGCTTTGCCCTTGCTAGGCAAGCGCTCTTCTGTTTCAGCCATGCCTCCATTCCTTTTTGGTTTAGGTTATTTTTCAGATAGGATCTCCAGTTTTCTGCTCAGGCCACTAATTGTGTAGCTGGCATCACAAGCACCTGCTACCACATGCTCACTTTTTTGCCTGGGCTGGCCTTTCTATTTCTGCTTCCCAAGTAGCTGGAATTACAGGTATGAGCCACTGCACCCAGCTGGAAATTAACTTTTGAAGTAAATCTCAGTTGATACTATTCTATTAGTATTTATTTTAAGAATAGCAAAGTCTTGTTGTATATCTCTGGGAACTTGGGTTTTTCTCCTTTTCTTTTTTCATTTAAAGATCCTTTTGAAGACCACAAGCTAATGGGTTTCTTTCTTTATTTAAGGAGGCAGCTCTTTCACTTGGGCATCGTTGTAGCGCTGCTAAAGTCAATTTGAGTGCCAGTTTCTGAAATTAATCTGGCTTGCTGTTTGGCAACCAATTTAGAGACTTCGAAGAAGAATGGGAAAGAGACAGCCAGGATAATGGGTTTTTAATGCTTAAAATACTGGTTTTATCAAACACGATTGAACATGTTTTTGTCAGGCATCCCACCACTATAGATTTGATACAAACAACCACACTGAGGGTGAGTTGACCTGCATGAGGTCATGTGTCTAACAAATGGAAGAGCTGGAATTTGCATCTTGGTCATGTGAGTTCTGATCTGATGTTTTCATCAATAAGTTAGGTGGAGGTGGATATAGGAATATAACATCCCATTAGGATCAAGTTAGTGAGCTGCTTTGGAGTGACTTTGAGTCACTTAGAACTATTAGGGATTCTGGAATTTCTGAGAGGTGGCAGAACAGAAGATCTTGTCCTCCTTAGATTTTATCTAGTCCTTTTTTAGAATATTTGCAAGTTCCCTGTTCTTGCCCTTCCCCCTTGCTTGTAAGCAGCCAGTGATTTCACTTGAGTTTATTGACTACAGTTTCTAGGAGAATTTTAAGCACTGGGCCAGCCCTGACAGGCCAGCACTCTCCCTCAGGTTATCCATGCCTTTTGCTTCTTGTTTTTCATGAGCTCTGTTTTCTAGTCTTTTATGATTATTCCTGTGATTCCACTGTTCTCCCAATGGTATACCTCCCTCCCTTTCTTTTTATGTGTTTCATTATTGTATGAATGTCTTTTGGCAAAGTTCACCAGGTTCCATACTGTTTGATTGGTTTTCAGTATGGACCCAATGCCAGACAGAGGAAAAAGAGCAGGGAAGAAGCACTGGAAAAGCACAAGAGAGTGAAGGGAAGAAGAGATCTTTGGAACAATCCTTTTGCACATCTTTCGAGAAATGGATGAAGGGTTGGTCTGTAGTTAGAAACAGGACTCTGTCTGTTTCTGTGGCTGGTTAATTAGAAGTAAAATGATGGTGGTTGTATTTTTTGCTTTTTCCTGGGTCATTCTTGCACATAGGCCTGTTCATATCAAGATCAGGGTTTTGTTTTGTTTTTTTTCTTTTTTGGCAATACTGCAGTTTAAACTCAGGGCCTCACACTTGCTAGGCCTGAGCTCTACCACTTGAGCCATGCCCTCAGCCCTCATTGACTTTTTTTTTTGTTGTTGTTGAGGCTGGGGTTTGAACTCTGGGCTTTGTGCCCTCATTGGTTTCTTGATTCAAAGTTGGGTCAAGATTTTAGGAATTAAAGTTCTACAATCCCAGACTCTAGATTTTTAGTATCAAGAAATAGTAGTTTAGGACTGGGGATGTAGCTGTGTTGTAAGTATTTGCCTACCAGGCACAAGTCCCTGGGTACAATCTCCAGTGCTGCAAAAAAATCACCAAAAGTGGCTTATCTTATAGCTGTTTTTTTTTTGTTAGTTTGTTTTTTTTGTTGGGATTGGGGTTTGAACTCTGGGCCTCATGTTTGCTAGGCAGGTGCCCTACCACTTGAGTCAGTCCAGCAGCCCCGCCTTGTGTTGGATATTTTCCAAATAGGGTCTCCTGAATTGTTTGCCTTGGGCTGGCTTTGAAACATGATCCTCAAGATCTCTGCCTCCTGAGTAGCTACGATTACAAGGGTGAACCACTGATTCCTATCTTGCAGCTGATAATGACTGTTGAGGGGCTAAGCCTGTCTGCCTCCAAAAGCTTGCCTGGTCTGAAAGATTCTTGCTGAAGTAGGGTGAGATGAATGGTCAGGTACAGGCTGAGGGTATAGCTCAGTGGTAGAGTGCTTGCACAGAAGGAGCAAAGCCCTAAGTTGGATCCTCAGCCCTGAGAAAAAAGAAAGGAAGAGAGGGGGAAAAGAGAGAAGGAAGGAAGAAAAAGAATCAACTCATCCTCATGACCTAAATAATACCAACTGATGATAGATAAATGTATATGAATGCAATGGCATATTCAGTCCTAAAAACAATGAAGTTCTAATACATGTCTCAAGGAGGATGAACCTTGAAAACATGCTAAGTGGAAGAAATCAGCCACAAAAGATTACATATATGTATGAAATGTCTGAAATGGACAAATCTGTAGAGATAGAAAATAGATTAATGATTGTAGGGAGAAATGGGGGTGGCTGCTGATGGTATAGTTTCTTTTGGAGTGAAGAGAGTGTTCTGGAATTAGATAGTGACAAAGGTAGCACAAATCTGAATATGAAAACCACCAAGTCATAAAAGGAGGAATTTATATTTTATAAATTATATGTCGATAATAAAAAAGAATGAAGCAGTCCTATTTCATATGTGCCCTTTGTGTTCTGTGGGGGCCCACAAGATTCTGGTGTAGGGGGTTGCGTACACCAGAGACAGAGCCCAGTGACAGAGAACTTGACTAGTGTGCACAGGGCCTTGGGTTCCCCACCTTTGCAAAACAAAAACAAAAATGCCACTCTCCAAAAAACCAAAAAAAAAAAAAAAAAAAAAAAATGCCTGTTACTCAACTGTGCCTGAGGTCTGGTCTTCCAGTGTGGTTTAATTTTATGAGAGGTAAAAAGTTGACTCTGCTGCTTGAGATTAGGGAGGTGCAACTAACTGTGGCAAATTGGGTAGGGAGGGGACTTTGGGACTCTTAACTGTTCTCCCAAATAGAGTTTTTATTTTGAAAAATGCTTGTCAAGATTTAGGTG